CTCACTGTTGTAAAGTTATAACCCTGTCACTGTTGTAAAGTTATAACCCTGTCACTGTTGTAAAGTTATAACCCTGTCTTTGTTGTAAAGTTATAACCCTGTCACTGTTGTAAAGTTATAACCCTGTCACTGTTGTAAAGTTATAACCCTGTCACTGTTGTAAAGTTATAACCCTGTCACTGTTGTAAAGTTATGACCCTGTCTTTGTTGTAAAGTTATAACCCTGTCACTGTTGTAAAGTTATAACCAAGTCACTGTTGTAAAGTTATAACTCTGTCGTTGTAAAGTTATAACCCTGTCGTTGTTGTAAAGTTATAACCATGTTGTTGTAAAGTTATAACCATGTCACTGTCATAAAGTTATAACCCTGTCACTGTTGTAAAGTTATAACCCTGTCACTGTTGTAAAGTTATAACCCTGTCACTGTTGTAAAGTTATAACCCTGTCACTGTTGTAAAGTTATAACCCTGTCACTGTTGTAAAGTTATAACCCTTTCACTGTTGTAAAGTTATAACCCTGTCACTGTTGTAAAGTTATAACCCTGTCATTGCAAAGTTAAAACCCTGTTGTTGTAAAGTGATAACCCTGTCACTGTTGTAAAGTTATAACCCTGTCACTGTTGTTAAGTTATAACCCTGTCATTGTAAAGTTATAACCCTGTCGTTGTAAAGTTATAACCTAGTCTTTTTTTTTAAGTTGTAACCATGTCACTGTCATAAAGTTATAACTCTGACACTGTTGTAAAGTTATAAATTTGTCACTGATATAAAATTATAACCCAGTCGTTGTAAAGTTGTAACCATGTCACTGTCATAAAGTCATAACCCTGTCACTGTTGTAAAGTTATAACCCTGTCACTGTTGCAAAGTTATTACCATGTCCCTGTTGTAAAGTTATAACCCTGTCACTGTTGTAAAGTTATAACCCTGTCACTGTTGTAAAGTTATAACCCCCTGTCACTCAGTTATAACCCTGTCACTGTTGTAAAGTTATAACCCTGTCACTGTTGTAAAGTTATAACCCTGTCACTGTTGTAAAGTTATAACCCTGTCACTGTTGTAAAGTTATAACCCTGTCACTGTTATAAAGTTATAACCCTGTCATTGTTGTAAAGTTATAACCCTGTTGTTGTAAAGTTATAACCCTGTCACTGTTGTAAAGTTATAACCCTGTCACTGTCATCAAGTTATAACCCTGTCACTGTTGTAAAGTTATAACCCTGTCACTGTTGTAAAGTTATAACCCTGTCACTGTTGTAAAGTTATAACCCTGTCACTGTTGTAAAGTTATAACCCTGTCTTTGTTGTAAAGTTATAACCCTGTCACTGTTGTAAAGTTATAACCATGTCACTGTTGTAAAGTTATAACCATGTCACTGTTGTAAAGTTATAACCCTGTTGTTGTTGTAAAGTTATAACCCTGTCACTGTTGTAAAGTTATAACCCTGTCACTGTTGTAAAGTTATAACCTTGTTGTTGTAAAGTTATAACCCTGTCACTGTTATAAAGTTATAACCGTGTCACTGTTGTAAAGTTATAACCCTGTCACTGTTGTAAAGTTATAACCCTGTTGTTGTAAAGTTATTACCCTGTCACTGTTGTAAAGTTATAACCCTGTCACTGTTGTAAAGTTATAACCCTGTTGTTGTAAAGTTATAACCCTGTCACTGTTGTAAAGTTATTACCCTGTCACTGTTGTAAAGTTATAACCCTGTCACTGTTGTAAAGTTATAACCCTGTTGTTGTAAAGTTATTACCCTGTCACTGTTGTAAAGTTATAACCCTGTCACTGTTGTAAAGTTATAACCCTGTTGTTGTAACGTTATTACCCTGTCACTGTCATAAAGTTATAACCCTGTCACTGTTGTAAAGTTATAACCCTGTCACTGTTGTAAAGTTATAACCCTGTCACTGTTTGTTGTAAAGTTATTACCCTGTCACTGTTGTAAAGTTATAACCCTGTCACTGTTGTAAAGTTATAACCCTGTCACTGTTGTAAAGTTATAACCCTGTTGTTGTAAAGTTATAACCCTGTCACTGTTGTAAAGTTATAACCCTGTCACTGTTGTAAAGTTATAACCCTGTCACTGTTGTAAAGTTATAACCCTGTCACTGTTGTAAAGTTATAACCCTGTCACTGTTGTAAAGTTATAACCCTGTTGTTGTAAAGTTATAACCCTGTCACTTTGTTGTAAAGTTATAACCCTGTCACTGTAAAGTTATAACCCTGTTGTTGTAAAGTTATAACCCTGTCACTGTTGTAAAGTTATAACCCTGTCACTGCTTTGTAAAGTTATACCTGTCCCTGTTGTTGTTGTAAAGTTATAACCCTGTCACTGTTGTAAAGTTATAACCCTGTCACTGTTGTAAAGTTATAAATTTGTCCTGTTATAAAGTTATAACCCACTGTTGTAAAGTTATAACCCTGTCACTGTTGTAAAGTTATAACCCTGTCACTGTTGTAAAGTTATAACCCTGTCATGTTGTAAAGTTATAACCCTGTTTGTTTGTTGTAAAGTTATAACCCTGTTGTTGTAAAGTTATAACCCTGTCACTGTTGTAAAGTTATAACCCTGTCACTGTTGTAAAGTTATAACCCTGTCACTGTTGTAAAGTTATAACCCTGTCTTTGTTGTAAAGTTATAACCATGTCACTGTCATAAAGTTATAACCCTGTCACTGTTGTAAAGTTATAACCCTGTCACTGTTGTACAAGTTATAACCCTGTCACTGTTGTAAAGTTATAACCATGTCACTGTTGTAAAGTTATAACCCTGTCACTGTTGTAAAGTTATAACCCTGTCACTGTTGTAAAGTTATAACCCTGTCTGTTGTAAAAGTTATAACCCTGTCACTGTTGTAAAGTTATAACCCTGTCACTGTTGTAAAAGTTATAACCCTGTCACTGTTGTAAAGTTATAAACCCTGTCACTGTAAACTGTTGTAAAGTTATAACCCCTGTTGTGTCACCTGTTGTAAAGTTATAACCCTGTCACTGTTGTAAAGTTATAACCCTGTCACTGTTGTAAAGTTATAACCCTGTTGTAAAGTTATAACCCTGTCACTGTTGTAAAGTTATAACCCTGTTGTTGTAAAGTTATAACCCTGTCACTGTTGTAAAGTTATAACCCTGTCACTGTTGTAAAGTTATAACCCTGTCACTGTTGTAAAGTTATAACCCTGTCCTGTTGTTGTAAAGTTATAACCCTGTCACTGTTGTAAAAGTTATAACCCTGTCACTGTTGTAAAGTTATAACCCTGTCACTGTTGTAAAGTTATAACCCTGTCACTGTTGTAAAGTTATAACCCTGTCACTGTTGTAAAGTTATAACACTGTCAATGTGTAAAGTTATAACCCTGTCACTGTTGTAAAGTTATAACCCTGTCACTGTTGTAAAGTTATAACCCTGTCACTGTTGTAAAGTTATAACCCTGTCACTGTTGTAAAGTTATAACCCTGTCACTGTTGTAAAGTTATAACCCTGTCACTGTTGTAAAGTTATAACCCTGTCACTGTTGTAAAGTTATAACCCTGTCACTGTTGTAAAGTTATAACCCTGTCACTGTTGTAAAGTTATAACCCTGTCACTGTTGTAAAGTTATAACCCTGTCTTTGTTGTAAAGTTATAACCCTGTCACTGTTGTAAAGTTATAACCCTGTCACTGTTGTAAAGTTATAACCCTGTCACTGTTGTAAAGTTATAACCCTGTTGTTGTTGTAACGTTATAACCCTGTCACTGTTATAACCCTGTGTTGTTGTAAAGTTATAACCCCTGTCACTGTTGTAAAGTTATAACCCTGTCACTGTTGTAAAGTTATAACCCTGTCACTGTTGTAAAGTTATAACCCTGTCACTGTTGTAAAGTTATAACCCTGTCACTGTTGTAAAGTTATAACCCTGTCACTGTTGTAAAGTTATAACCCTGTCACTGTTGTAAAGTTATAACCCTGTCACTGTTGTAAAGTTATAACCCTGTCGTTGTAAAGTTATAACCCTGTCACTGTTGTAAAGTTATAACCATGTTGTTGTAAAGTTATAACCCTGTCACTGTTGTAAAGTTATAACCCTGTCATTGCAAAGTTATAACCCTGTTGTTGTAAAGTTATAACCCTGTCACTGTTGTAAAGTTATAACCCTGTCATTGTAAAGTTATAACCTAGTCTTTGTTTTTAAGTTGTAACCATGTCACTGTTGTAAAGTTATAACCCTGTCACTGTTGTAAAGTTATAAATTTGTCACTGATATAAAATTATAACCCAGTCGTTGTAAAGTTATAACCCTGTCACTGTTGTAAAGTTATAACCCTGTCACTGTTGTAAAGTTATAACCCTGTCATTGCAAAGTTAAAACCCTGTTGTTGTAAAGTGATAACCCTGTCACTGTTGTAAAGTTATAACCCTGTCACTGTTGTTAAGTTATAACCCTGTCATTGTAAAGTTATAACCCTGTCGTTGTAAAGTTATAACCTAGTCTTTGTTTTTAAGTTGTAACCATGTCACTGTCATAAAGTTATAACTCTGACACTGTTGTAAAGTTATAAATTTGTCACTGATATAAAATTATAACCCAGTCGTTGTAAAGTTGTAACCATGTCACTGTCATAAAGTCATAACCCTGTCACTGTTGTAAAGTTATAACCCTGTCACTGTTGTAAAGTTATTACCATGTCCCTGTTGTAAAGTTATAACCCTGTCACTGTTGTAAAGTTATAACCCTGTCATTGTTGTAAAGTTATAACCCTGTCACTGTTGTAGTTATAACCCTGTCACTGTTGTAAAGTTATAACCCTGTCACTGTTGTAAAGTTATAACCCTGTCTTTGTTGTAAAGTTATAACCCTGTCACTGTTGTAAAGTTATAACCCTGTCACTGTTGTAAAGTTATAACCAAGTCATTGTAAAGTTATAACCCTGTCATTGTAAAGTTATAACCATGTCACTGTTTTAAAGTTATAACTATGTTAATGATTCTTCACATGACCTTTCATAAAGAACCCTACCGTCAAGCGTGTACTCTTCCGCCTTGTCTTGTCGAGCAGCTGAACCAGTCAGGGGGCGGGGCTGGGCGAGGTCACCCCCTGTGTGGGCGATCAGATCCAACACCGCAACATCATCATCATCGAGGACTGCAGCAGTGAATGAGATTGGTGCTATAACATTTTTTCAGTTTCATGTCAGTATTACATGAGAAGTCCTATACAAGGCGTAGATGTACCTCAACTTTCAGTCAGTATTTTAAATCTGATTAAGCAACTACAAATGTACTGAAAATACACTTTGCTGACTCCTTCAGAATTTGTACTGAATATCCAGTTGCTTGTCTGCTGCCCTCAACATCACTAATGGACAATTTCACTGATCTAATTTCCACTGATCTACCTGTGGGTCACTAATTTCCACTGATCTACCTGTTGGTCACTAGTTTCCACTGATCTACCTGTGGGTCACTAGTTTCCACTGATCTACCTGTGGGTCACTAGTTTCCACTGATCTACTTGTGGGTCACTAGTTTCCACTGATCTACCTGTGGGTCACTAGTTTCCACTGATCTACCTGTGGGTCACTAGTTTCCACTGATCTAACTGTGGGTCACTAGTTTCCACTGATCTACCTGTGGGTCACTAGTTTCCACTGATCTACCTGTGGGTCACTAGTTTCCACTGATCTACCTGTGGGTCACTGGTTTCCACTGATCTACTTGTGGGTCACTAGTTTCCACTGATCTACCTGTGGGTCGCTAGTTTCCACTGATCTACCTGTGGGTCACTAGTTTCCACTGATCTACCTGTGGGTCACTAGTTTCCACTGATCTACCTGTTGGTCACTAGTTTCCACTGATCTACCTGTGGGTCACTGGTTTCCACTGTCATACCTGTGGGTCACTAATTTCCACTGATCAACTTGTGGGTCACTAGTTTCCACTGATCTACTTGTGGGTCACTAGTTTCCACTGATCTACCTATGGGTCACTAGTTTCCACTGATCTACCTGTGGGTCACTAGTTTCCACTGATCTACATGTGGGTCACTAGTTTCCACTGATCTACCTGTGGGTCACTAGTTTCCACTGATCTACCTGTGGGTCACTAGTTTCCACTGATCTACCTGTGGGTCACTAGTTTCCACTGATCTACCAGTGGGTCACTAGTTTCCACTGATCTACCTGTGGGTCACTAGTTTCCACTGATCTACCTGTGGGTCACTAGTTTCCACTGATCTACCTGTGGGTCACTAGTTTCCACTGATCTACCTGTGGGTCACTAGTTTCCACTGATCTACCTGTGGGTCACTAGTTTCCACTGATCTACCTGTGGGTCACTAGTTTCCACTGATCTACCTGTGGGTCACTAGTTTCCACTGATCTACCTGTGGGTCACTAGTTTCCACTGATCTACCTGTGGGTCACCTGTTTGGGTCTACCTGTGGGTCACTAGTTTCCACTGATCTACCTGTGGGTCACTAGTTTCCACTGATCTACCTGTGGGTCACTAGTTTCCACTGATCTACCTGTGGGTCACTAGTTTCCACTGATCTACCTGTGGGTCACTAGTTTCCACTGATCTACCTGTGGGTTTCCACTGAGATCTACCTGTGGGTCACTAGTTTCCACTGATCTACCTGTGGGTCACTAGTTTCCACTGATCTACCTGTGGGTCACTAGTTTCCACTGATCTACCTGTGGGTCACTAGTTTCCACTGATCTACCTGTGGGTCACTAGTTTCCACTGATCTACCTGTGGGTCACTAGTTTCCACTGATCTACCTGTGGGTCACTAGTTTCCACTGATCTACCTGTGGGTCACTAGTTTCCACTGATCTACCTGTGGGTCACTAGTTTCCACTGATCTACCTGTGGGTCACTAGTTTCCACTGATCTACCTGTGGGTCACTAGTTTCCACTGATCTACCTGTGGGTCACTAGTTTCCACTGATCTACCTGTGGGTCACTAGTTTCCACTGATCTACCTGTGGGTCACTAGTTTCCACTGATCTACCTGTGGGTCACTAGTTTCCACTGATCTACCTGTGGGTCACTAGTTTCCACTGATCTACCTGTTGGTCACTAATTTCTACTGATCTACCTGTTGGTCACTAATTTCTACTGATCTACCTGTGGGTCACTAGTTTCCACTGATCTACCTGTGGGTCACTAGTTTCCACTGATCTACCTGTTGGTCACTAATTTCTACTGATCTACCTGTGGGTCACTAGTTTCAACTGCTTTACCTGTTGGTCTCTTCTGTAGCTTGTTAACAAACTCGGCCCTGGGGTGGGTGGCCTTCTTGGGAGGGTCATGTTCTGGTGGGTGGTGGGTCATCTCTGTAGCTTGACTGGAGCTGAAGTGTATGAGAGCTGCCTGACGTTCTCGGTCCCGCACGCCACGGTCATCTGAACACAGGAACACTGCCTGTTATACAATCATTGGCTGGACCATATACGGACAATTTTAATTTACCATGTTCTGTGTCAAGACTAACATACAAACACTGCACTATTTTCTTGCATTACAGTTTGAGTCTTGTGCAGTGCAGTTTGGACCGTAGATAAACTCAGCACTAAATAAACTGAGCACTCCTACAAACTGAGCATACACATAAACTGAGCACTTAGACAAACAGAGTACATAGTTTAACTGTGCATTTAGATAAATTGAACATTTAGATAACTGAGCACATAAACTGAGCACTTAGATAAACTGAGCATTTAGATTAAATGAGCACTTAGATTTCTATGAGTCAACAATATAAGAATGTCTGTTAGGATATCAGTAGGTCTGATGAAAGTAGAAGGTCTATGGAGATATCAGTAGGTCTGTGAGGATATCAGTAGGTCTGTTAGGATAACAGTAGGTCTGATGAAAGTAGGTCTATGGAGATATCAGGTCTGTGAGGATATCAGTAGGTCTATGAAGATATCAGTAGGTCTGTGAGGATATCATTATGACTATGAAGATATCAGGTCTATGAAGATATCAGTTGGTCTGTGAGGATATCAGTAGGTCTGTGAGGATATCATTATGACTATGAAGATATCAGGTCTATGAAGATATCAGTAGGTCTGTGAGGATATAATTATGACTATGAAGATATCAGGTCTATGACGATATCAGTAGGTCTGTGAGGAATTCAGTAGGTCTGTGAGGATATCAGTAGGTCTGTGAGGATATCAGTAGGTCTGTGAGGATATCAGTATGTCTGTGAGGATTTCAGGTCTGTGAGGATATCAGTAGGTCTGTGAGGATTTCAGGTCTGTGAGGATATCAGTATGTCTGTAAGGATATCAGTATGTCTGTGAGGATATCAGTATGTCTGTGAGGATATCAGCATGTCTGTTAGGATATCAGTAGGTCTGATGGTATCAGTAGGTCTATGAAGATATCAGTAGGTCTGTGAAGGTATGAAGTATTACCCAGCTTCTGTAGACTGGGCAGCATATGGATGAGGTAGAGGCGTGAGTCGGGCTCGCTGCGGGTGATGGGGTTGAGGCGGAGGTCCAGCTCCTTCAGGCTGGTGTTCATCTGCAGCCTCTTCAGCTCCTCCAGACTGTTGATGTTGTTGTAGTAGCTGCTGCAGTTAAGGCAGTGTGGTGACTCACCACAACAGACATACTTCTTGCCCCCCAGTCCAGGCTGATACACCTCTGTCAACGTTTATTGATCGGGCAAGTTCATGTTGGGTAATATGTATCTTTGCACGGAATAATTAATACATCACTATACCTCTGAGTTGACATATACATACTAAGCTGTACAAAGACACCCCTTGTAACCATGGTGACATACATATCCTGCATGCGCCATGGAACCAGACACCCCTTGTAACCATGGTGACACACATATCCTGCATGTGCCAGGCAGACACCCCTTGTAACCATGGTGATAAACATATCCTGCATGTACCAGGCAGACACCCTTGTAACCACGGTAACATAGATATCCTGCATGTGCCAGGCAGACACCCTTGTAACAACGGTAACATAGATATCCTGCATGTGCCAGGCAGACACCCTTGTAACCACGGTGACATTCATATCCTACATGTGCCATGTAAACAGACACCCCTTGTAACCATGGTGACACACATATCCTGCATGCGCCATGGAACCAGACACCCCTTGTAACCATGGTGACACACATATCCTGCATGTGCCAGGCAGACACCCTTGTAACCATGGTGACATACATATCCTGCATGTGCCAGGCAGACACCCTTGTAACCACGGTGACATACATATCCTACATGTGCCATGTAAACAGACACCCCTTGTAACCATGGTGACACACATATCCTGCAAGTGCCAGGCAGACACCCTTGTAACCACGGTGACATACATATCCTACATGTGCCATGTAAACAGACACCCCTTGTAACCATGGTGACACATAACCTGCATGTGCCATGTAAACGGAAACTACATGTTAAACCTTTCAGCAGCAAGGATACAGATTCAGTTTTTCCAGCAGTTTGAGATTCTCTAAACCCTGCAACAAATCATCATAACATGTTCGTAAGAATCAATACAATGGGTACTACAACGACGTAATGCTTATATACCATGACATAATGCTAAAAATATATACCATGACGTAATGCTTACATACCATGCCATAATGCTTATATACCATGACGTAATGCTTATATACCATGACATAATGCTTATATATCATGACATAATGTTTATATACTATTCCATCATGCTTATAGACAGTCAAGTCTCGTTAATCCAACTTCTGTTTATTCGACAATCGGCTTTATCCAACACTCTTGTTGGTAAAAAATTGAATAAACGTAATTTAGTCTCGTTAATCCGACATTGTGATCAACTACCCGTAAATACAATGCCACGTGTCACTCAAAATGTTACGATATGCAAGGAGCAATGAGGATTATGAACACAAATTCTGCCATCTGACGAACATTGTATAACTGCCGTAAAACTGGAAGTCAAGTCTATTTACAACTGCAGAGGGAGCAATCGTTTTGTCATTTTATTGTTTAAACCCATATATAAATGCAAGAATTGATGAAGGTTTTGTAAATGTTTAATGAAAATAGGAATTGGTTTTGAAAACAATGAATACTCCTTACGAATATTAACATGTGATTGAAACAAGCAGTTTGATTGGCTAAAGAAAATGCCTGCTTCCCCGCACATGTTCGCTTCAATAAAACATTCCGTGTTTGCGAAAGGCTAAGTTCTCTTGTGATCTAAAGTCGATAAACGATCATGGTCTAAGAGGATGATTCCCAACACTAACTACACACACACACACACACACGCTTAATATGAATCATGATTGTCCTGTTTTTTACCATGAACGTGATTGGTACTCAGAATTCGATAATCTGACATCCTCGTTAATCCGACAATTTGCTGTGCAATGGACGATGTCGGATCAACGAGACTTGACTGTATTCTGCCATAATGCTTATATATTATGGCAAAATACTTATATACAATGCCATGTTGCCTATATACCATGCCATGTTGCCTATATACCATGCCATGTTGCCTATATACCATGACATAATGCTTATATACCATGACATAATGCCAGTGTAACATGACATAATGCTTATATACCATGACATTATGCCAATGTACCATGACATAATGCCAATGTACCATGACATAATGCTTATATACCATGACATAATGCCAATGTACCATGACATAATGCTTATATACCATGACATAATGCCTATATACCATGACATAATGCCAATGTACCATGACCTAATGCTTATATACCATGACATAATGCTTATATACCATGACATAATGCCAATGTACCATGACATAATGCTTATATATCATGCCATACCATGACATCTACCATGACATGACATGCTACAACAATAAACAATGTCCCTGCTGACTGAGTTCCCCACCTCTAGGTTATCCAGAGCATTCCGGGACAGATCCAGGCACTTGAGGCGGCTGAATTTTCGTAAAGAATTCCCAATGCCGACAATTTTCTCATGATATGTCCCGGGAAGAGAGAGTGACTTGACATCTTCTGCAAAACAAAACACACTTCTACAGTGGAACCCTGCCAGTCCACAAACCTGTCTTTAGCTGTGTCCATTCAGTTATATAATTGGAAACAGCAATACAGATTATCAGGGTGAAAGTGTACTTGTTACCAGTCACCAAATTAAACTTTTTACCCAAAGAGCAGTCAGACTCCTTTTCATCACCAGAATAGCAGTGTGGTCATTGGTCATGAAAACTGCAAAGTATTAAAGGAACGTTTGAATTTTCCTGTGATCCTTAATTTGTTTCTCTCAGTATATTTTCAAGAAGTCAAATAGAATCCCAAGGAATCAAGTGATAGTATAACAGACAAACATAACATTGGCAATGTGCTCCTTGACTTCACAAAGTAATAAAACACAACAGGTTATGACAAGACACACATTTCAATTGTCATCGGACTCCAGGTATAGAAATAACTATATCGTGTGAAGGTGACGCTTTCCGCAAAGTAGTGAATTAGCAAAGGTAGTTCACAGTCACAATAGTCCACTCTTTATGAGTCATCAACACCAGAAACTACTACGCTCGGTTTCAATACCATCATGCATCATTCTTGAACAAAATGTATTGGCAAGAGTCAGTCCTGGTTTGAAGGTTTAACTTTAAAGACACTTGGGGTTTTCACCCAAACAAAATATGTATAAAGATGGTTAATTTTGCGATGGTTAGATGCAGACTTGACTTTTCCATGAATTCATGAATCTGGGGATCAGAAAGTAGTACTTCAAAAGAAAACAGGTGATGACAGGCTTGTTGTCAAAAGGGTGAAACATCATCTCAGACCAACAGGATCTTCCATGAGAAGTGGATGTTTTTAATCTTTTTTGTTACTTCTTCACCATATTGGGAAGTTTATAACTTTTAAATGCACGTTAAACCCCAAAAGTAAAATTCCTCCATAGTATAACAAGTAAAAACTTCAGAACAAGAATCTTGACTTTCTATGCTGAGATCAGTGAGTGAGTGAGTGTAATTTTATGCTTGACGAGCGAACGCTTTGATCAGTGAAGATCAGCTTCAAAATTGCTTTTGTGGCATTAAACAATATACGCTCACTTACCCAATGCTGAAAAATTATCACCCAGTGGTTTGTGGCTCCCCTCTATAAACTGGCTAACATTCTGAATGTAGTGAATGTTTGAGTCCAACATATTGTGCAACATATTCCGTAGTGGTGGGAATCATTTTTGATTTCATAATCGATCATCAGTTACAATCGGATTGGCCCAACCTATCAATCATCAATTAATAATCGATTAAATTAAATCACAAGAATACCCTCTAAATAATAAATATATTGCACAAGGTCATGTTTTTGTTATTGTCTCAGACTTCTAAAGGCAAGCAAGTACAGTTCAGAGACAGATGGTTGAACATGTAGAGGTACACAAAAGAAAAGAAATGATTTTTGTTGTTTCATGGTTTATTATTTACCATCAACAGCATCAATTATCAACCATTCAACAAACAACAGATCTTGTCAGATGTCATAAACACACTACACGACAAAATGCCCGTGACTAGAAAAGTGAATAAGAAACATTCAATCAAGGGGAATGAAACCTCCACTCCAACTTGTACATCTGGGTACTTCTGTTCTACTATTACTATTTATTTAGATACATAAATATGGATACGTAAATACAGGCGTTATTCGCCAAGGGAAAAGCACAAGAAGTGACTGTCTGCTCGCTTTACCTCGAAGATCGAGTTTTACGTATTTAAACTAATTAAAGTCATTTCAAAGAAAGGTAATATCGTATATTACCGTAGATAAGCCGTATTTTGAAGACCAAAAAAGGCAGCCTGTAGTAGAGGGTTGGCTTATCTTGAGGTAACACTTTCGTAAAAAAACAAATTCTGGACATCATATCATTACGCACAAGTATAAAGAGAAAACGACTTTGTCAGTGAAGATGTCAAATTTGTAATTAAACATCACTAGACAAGATTATTTACCTTTTAAGTTGTAATTTGTTTTTGCTAGGCATTGTATTATATGTATTATATTTATTAGCGTGTGTATTTGTCTCATAGCCGGAAATAGCAATTAGTTGTGCACACGTTTCCCGACGATCTTGTTGAAACATACCCATTAATATAACAGGATGAATTCTGATGCAGTGATTGGGAAAATATAATATCTAAAACTATTATTTTACCAAGAGAAATATATCTTAGCATTGTGTAATATTACTTACAGGTTTTGCTCTATAAATGAAAAATATGTTTAATTAATACTAAGGTTATACGGACCCTCATGAACATGGTAAGCGGAAGTTGTACGCTCATGGATTTCTGTGAATAATGCGGATAGAAGTTATACTTACTGGTAACTGCCAATAGTGCCATTTGTCTTGTGGTCTGAGTTTGGTATTCATTACTGTTTTCATAACAATTATTACCGACAATTGTCTATGAAACTTTGCAATCGATTGTCTCGGGAAAGGGTAGCCAATCAATTTTCGATTATAATCGATCATCGGAACACCACTAACGGCTTGCCCTCATATCGCCTACAATAATAATAATGGCCAGTTCTACCACCCTTATCATAATAATGGGTATTACCCAACGGGCTGTTAACATTGAACAAACAGATCTTGTACATTGTCTGTGTAACATGACTTACTCATCTACTTACATTAGTATCATTTGATCAACCATACGTTTTTATCGTATAAACTTACTCACCATATTAATTGGGATACTTTGATCAACCATACATATGTCTTTGTAGCATAGACATGACTTACTCGTCTTCTACTTTTATTATCTAAGCTGTTTTTTCTGTGTTAGCAAGACCTGCTCATCTCATCTTATTCTTTTTTGCAATGTCGTATATAAACCTCTGCAAGTTTCACACTAAGCGTCAAAATGGCAAATCTTCAGAGGGCTGAGTTCGTTACTTCACAGAGAGGCGGTCAACAAGTGCTTCATGCTGGACACTGCTACAGACGACGCCAGATTTCCCTGTAATATCTGGAACCAGCACGAGAACACTGGACCTCGCTCAACAACCACCAGGAGGGGTTTCACAATGGACTAAAGAAGAGAATACCCTGGTCACATCCAAACATTTGCCAGTTCATAAAAGAAATCAAGAAGAGTCAGACAGCAGATAAACAGTTTAGACGACATACAGGTCTTGGTGGTGCTGTGAAATGCTGTGCACATATTGACAAGGACAGAGATGCCCGAATTGAGAGACTAACTCTACACCTTGCAACTGGACGAAAACCTGTGATGCAGTTTCTAGATGCAGTTGGACGCTTAGTGAAATTACATTAATTGTTCTGTGACTGAATTATCACCTCTGATGATGATGACTGTGATTGACTTATGTGACTGATCATGGTGATGATATTGGTATTGTAACTTGTTGAATATATGACCTTATTAAAGTATAAATCATCAGTGCAAGAGTTTATTTTCATTAGTCGAGGTATACTAGTACCTCATTAGTGGAAGAGTCTACTTTTCTAAAGGTATAACAGCATTTACGTGATGTGCAGTCAACCCTAAATTTGTTTTGATAAGGGTGTAGGCGATATGAGGTCAGACCCCACTAACTACCGGTAGTTGCTTGTCTTATTGACAGTATTGATACTGCTCTGATGTAAAATTCTAAATGTGCTCCATCCCTTCAAAACAAGGAAAGTAGGACAAGTCGGGATCCAATTATTAGATAGACAGGATAATTGTATATTCCTTTGCGACTAACAAGTTTTGGGACTAACAACTTTATCATGCTTATTGTTCCCCATATCACTTTATTAAATATGTCAAGAATTATTGGTTTTCATGATCTGGACTCTTCAACTTGTGCATGACATCACTTATCATGCTTATTGGCTCACTGACTTGGTTGACATGTCATCGTATCCCAATTGCGTAGAACTATGCTCATGATGTTGATCACTGGATTGTCTGACTCCAGACTCCATTATTTACAGGCCACTGCCATGTAGCTGGAATACCGCTGAGTGTGATGCTAAACTAGACTTACTCACTCACTCTCCTGTAATATCTTAAAATATCTGACATCCACTACGCTTGGATGTTATTTACCCCTGCATTATAAATGTGGCCATTATCTTAGAGTTCAAGTGTTATGACTGAAGAGTGATTTATGTCCAGCACCTAGTACATAATCCGATTACGAATTTCGCATGTGTAGGCCTTGTGCTGGGGTCCCACCGCCTGAAGTGGACATGTTTTGGCATGTATTTTCGACATATTCGCTAGAAATGCAAAACATTAATAAAATCACTTATCACGAATGGAGACCTTTCAAATTGTGATCACGACATCGTAACTTGGATATCAGAAAGTGAAAGATACGAGTGTTTATTGTTGGTTATCCAAGTGCAAAACAAAAACAAACCGATTAAAATTGACAAGAAGTGACCTACATTAGCAACGTATCAACGATGCTGCGTGTTCCCGGGCGAAAGGTACACGGACACAGACACAGGAATTTCATAATGGAAAAATCACAGAAATACTTAAAAAAGTAATAAAAAATATTTACCGAGATTGTCATGAGACAAACTGACACGGCTTCGTATAAGATCCTCTGTCAAAGTAAGCGCCATGTCTAAACACTAAGCGTACTTTTCTTCAGTATTTGTTTACATTCCGATACCTAACACGAAACGAACAGAGTGAAGCGAGTACATTTCAGTTGTTAGCAGTCGGCGTTATTGAAATGAAATATGACACTTTTCATGTGTCTAACTCTGACCCAATTTAGTTTAGACGGTACCATGAGTATGCTAAAACATCAGCACAATCCCCTGTTCATCTTGTCGAGTTCGCGAAAACCTCCTTTTATTTTTCTTAAAAATATAATATTTTGGGTGCGGTAAAAAAAGGATTAAATTTACAACAACCGAAGATAGAAATTAATTTTCATATTGTTTCATTGTATGAAATCATATGTAAACTTTGATATACATTAAATACTACATGTTGTCTGTTGCTTAATATGTAAGATTATTTGGGGACGCAGTTCTTCTGCCGGGGGCGGTGGGGTAGCCTAGTGGTTAAAGCGTTGGCTCGTCACGCCGAAGACCCGGGTTTGATTCCCCACATGGGTACAATGTGTTAAGCCCATTTCTGGTGTCCCCCGCCGTGATATTGCTGGAATATTGCTAAAAGCGGCGTAAAACTAAACTCAGTCAGTCAGTCAGTCTTCTGCCCTCACATGTTGTACGGTGGAACGGCGAAAGATCGTGTGCAGATAAAGGAGTTTTGACACGCGTGCGCGCGCGTGGTGTGTGTGTGTGTGTGTGTGTGTGTGTGTGTAATTCTTATTTATACAGGGTTGAGTGGTTGTGTTTACTTCTCTTACATTTCTGTACAATATTTTCGTTATAATTCCATAATGGTGTTACTATCTAACATATGTTGTATTTGGAATTACACTTTCTCATTAGAGCACATATTCTAGTACTTATTTTTGGGCTGAGTCCAATCCGGGATTCGAACCCACACCCTCAGAGTCAGGCACCTATTCGCCAGCACACAAAGTCAGCCGCCTAACCCACTCAGCCATCGCCGCTTCCATCTACTGTTATTATAACTACATCCAAATGTCGTACTCCTTGCATGAATTTGAAGATACTTAGATTTAACTCCTGTGTTTATCATATCAAGAACTAAGTAGTATTTAAAGAGGTTAAGCAGTTGTAAATTTCTAAAACCCATTCCGAACTCAACGATGCCAAGCAACGGTGCGGCAATTGTAATTCGTTTGATGTTTACAGTGTGACCGAAAAGGTCTTATGGAAAGCACTACGAGCACTTTGCTATGACAAAATGGCGGAAGTTTCAGAACTTTCTCTTGGCGACACCGGTAGCACAAACAAGACTGATCAGATCGAACAAACTGCAATAACTCCAGCAATGGCGTTACAGAAAACAGAAGTAAATTAGTCATCATTGCTTTGCAATGCTTTTTAACATTATGCTGTCATGCGTTTGTAAAAGAAATTATCAGTGAAATTGCATGACTGTTTGTTTACGTTTTGACGTAATCTTTGAGAAGCCAATTCTGCACGTGCTTCCTTTTCCGATATGTTTTCAAACTGTGAATGAAGTCTGAGGTAAACAAATGAAGGCACTCACATGAAAGGGGATCAGTGAAATTGTAAGAAAAGCGTGGTTGTCTGCGTTTAGCCGCTGACAGATAAGCTCAAACGCACGAAAATCAGCGCGACAACGAATAATGTATGGAACACAGAGGCTAGTAACGCCCCAAAACGGACTTCAAGGTATATACTGTCACTGAACGCTAAGACCCCGTCAGTGTCATCACATACCTTGATACCCATTCTTAAGTAATGAATACAGTTGAATTTCTAATCTTGAATATAATTCAAATTAGTTTTAATCTTATGTCTACACTGGATACATTCCGTATTGACGGGTGGGGTGGGGTGAGGATGAAATTTATGGAGAATCATATACCAATGTGAATGCACACACACACACACCCGCCCACCCCACCCCCCCCATCCCCTAAAATTTATTAACAAATGGGGGCGGTGGGGTAGCCTAGTGGTTAAAGCGTTGGGTCGTCACGCCGAAGACCCGGGTTCGATTCCCCACATGGGCACAATGTGTTAAGCCCATTTCTGGTGTCCCCCGCCGTGATATTGCTGGAATATTGCTAAAAGCGGCGTAAAACTAAACTCAGTCAGTCAGTCAGTTATTAACAAATGAACTTAGTGACATCAAACACCCCCACCCCACCCCCCCTCTATCTACCCCCAAAATGAAAACCCACCGAGTGTTGAAGTAGACTAATGACAATGTTTATTGTTTACAGGAAGCTGTTAATGACCTTTTCGAGTATCGAGATCGTTATTTTGAAAGGTTTGGTGTGGAAAAATCTCATAAAAAGGCTGATGACGTGAAGGCAAAGTTGAAAGAGACGTTGCACTTGATCAGCGAGATGAGAGGTAAGCAGCTGACAGTCTGTAAAATTTATGATACATACATTAGTTGCATTGAAGGGAGGACCTGTGTTAATGTCTGACAGTAGTGTGACATCCCTCAACACACAGCACCATAGAGGTTCCCGTCCCTTGAGAGTTAGTCAGAGGTGACTTATGTCTCACATGCTTGGTGTCCCAGTACCCCAACTGCCCGGGCATTATCACATGATTCCAGTCAGAATTACTGGAGAATATAATCCTATTTTCTCTGTATTTCAGACAAAATCAACAACAAGGCAATGCTAAATATGTTGCAAGGTAAAGCACTGAATGTGACAGCAGACTTTGATGAAGAGGCCCTGGATTTACTGTCCAAAGCCGTCAAACTCGACCCGAAGCTCTTGGAAGCTTGGAATCATCTGGGTGAATGTTACTGGAAAAGTGGCAATATCCCATCAGCTAAGAACTGCTTTACAGGAGCTCTCAACTACGTAAGTGATGTCTTTCAGGGGATACCACCATGTAGCATGATATAATGTCGGAGTACCTCACCTAGAGCTTGGATGTGTGGAGTGATCAGATTATTGCCAGCTGGAATCTCCAGTCGGAGTACTTCACCTAGAGCTTGGATATGTGGAGTGATCAGATTATTGCCAGCTGGAATCTCCTGTCAGACTACCTCACCTAGAGCTTGGGAGCATTGAGTGATCAGATTATTGCCAGCTGGAATCTCCTGTCAGAGTACCTCACCTAGAGCTTGGGAGCATTGAGTGATCAGATTATTGCCAGCTGGAATCTCCTGTCAGAGTACCTAACCTAGGGCTTGGGAGTGTTGAGTGATTAGATTATTGCCAGCTGGAATCTCCTGTCAGTGTGCCTCACCTAGAGCTTGGGAGTGTTCAATGATTAGATTATTGCCAGCTGGAATCTCCTGTCAGTGTGTGTTGACACCAGCCAGCAATCAGCACTGGCTGTACAAGATGACCAAATGGATGGGTGTGTCAGGCTCTGTGAGTCATTGTCCAGGCTTGATCATTTACTGGCTGGGTGTAGTGGTAACTGTTAGTTACAGGTTGCAGTGACGTAGTTTTAACATTGCCAACAATGAAATGAAAGTTGAAACATCATTTTGTCTCATGCTAGTATATGACACGGACATGAAATGTAAGTGTTCTTATTTAACATGTCTAAGAATAAGTATTCTAAGATGCTCCAGTTGAAGACCAAACTTTCTGCATTACGTCACAATGTATTTGCATCATTGAGCCATTCTAGTCTGCCCCCTTGTCATCGAATGTATCCTTGGTAACTGACGTCATAATGCATGTCAGTTGTCATCGCCTCGTATAGCCTCTTACAGTAAACTACTCCATAGCACCCTGTTTCTTGGTTTGCAGTTGCTTCACTCGGCTAACATCACTTCTGAAAACATTACGTTTATATTTTTCGACGGATATAATGTCTCAGTTCGACTCACAGTTAAACAGTGACACAGACATTTTGCAGTGTTTACATTCCCACAATGCATCCATGGAATGTTGCGTGATGTACTGATCTAAATTTATGTTGGTAGTAGAAATGTGATGTTCATATTGCCCTAAATGGTTCAGGTTACTAACAGATGTAAATAAAATAATTTAGAGAAGATATTTAACCTGAACATAAACTGTCATCAAATTCTTCATCATTTGTATTTCTGGTAGTGTGCATCTTAATGTAGGAGAACAGATGCATCAATAGAACAGCATGTCCAGGGATTTACTGACGCAAATTCCTGCGTCCTATACTCCTATACTGGACGCAACAAAATTTATTAGCATGTACACAAGGACGCAGAAAAAGTCCAAATACTTTTTGTAAAAATTCCAATCAAGTGACAATAAGTTATCACTGAGTTTGCTACCAGCTGGGTTATGGAATCAATTTAATTATTGTAACAATGTGATGATTATCATACACAATACAATAACAGTATTAATAATAATATTTAAGTGTCTGGGACCCCTATTTTTTGTCAATGACCCCATGAGTCCCATGGACCATCAAATACAGGACTCCATGTAAATCCCTGATGTCAGTCAGCCCTGAATGAGGATGGTTAATTTAGGTCACCGACACCTTCACTTTTCTGTTTGTTTTCTGTAAGTTTATAATTTGGCACCTTAGAAAAGAAATACAGTTGGCTCTACCACCATGTATAGTGTATAAAGCACACTTTCGCTAATCACCTAAACGATTTACTTTCCTCGTCTTTCCTTCCCCAGCAAAAGAATAAAGTCTCTCTGAGGAACTTGTCGATGGTGTTGCGTCAACTGAGTGGTCCTCCAGCGGAGAAAGTGAGTTTGATTGAGGAGAGTGTGGAGAAGGCCAAGGAGGCAATACAGCTGGATATCAAAGATGGAACATCGTGGTGTGCGTACATCTCAGACATTCACTCAGTTTGTTAAGACTATTAGAAATTATTACCTTTCTTGTTTGTTAAGTAAACAATCTTCATCAGGTTGAAATTATTTATACATTTGTGTTATTTTCTTGTGAAAATGATGTCCCTGACATTGGTATTTATACATTGTCCTTTAGAAACGAAACAACCTACTATTGGAGTTGATCATGTTGCTTGGAATTATGTCAGTGGTCATCATTCTAGCTTATAAAGCCTTGCAAGTTTCTGAATCCCGGATGATGATGACAGCGTACAACATAATTGATTTCATTAATTCCAGTGATTCTGGGCAATGCCTACCTGTCTCTGTTCTTCACTGCTGGTCAGAATCCGAAGGTTTTAAAGCAGTGCATGAGTGCATACGCCCAGGCGGTGAGTAATTCTCTCCCACTACCAATAATTAGGGTATTATGTCATATAGGACAACACAGGGCCACAAACTATTTAAGGTATGTCAGTTACTTTAGCTCTAGATTGCCACCATTGTGTCACAGTATATGTATGACCAGAATCTACTGTAAATCATGAAATGTTTGTGAGTTCGATATTTTTGCGAAAATTGCGAATGACTTGAACTCGTCAAAATATCATGATGCAATTCATGATTGACCAGTTGATATTATCAACAACACATGTAGACAATACATCAATTAAGCAATGACGACACTGTTTAGAGACCGTTTGATAGGCCGACACCATCCGACGGGCAGGGATAGGTTTCATCACACTTATACGGAGATCAACAGCTTTGGTGATGTCATTGTCAGCAATTTGATAGAGGCATTGCAATTAATATAATCACTTTGATCTGGCCCGTGCAGCGTGTGTTGCTTTTAGGAAAGCACCACTGACTGCATACACAAGGAAGTACTCTACTGAGCTCAGTTCAAGATTAGCGGCAACCTTTAATATGTGATTGGATTTACATTAGGTAGTGCTTTCAGTTGCAATCTATTTTTGAGATTTAGGCACGTCGCAAAAATATCATGGCGCAAAAATGTCATGATTAACAGTAATCTATATACTTTTCCTTAACCTTACTCATGCTATTGGCTTCTCTGTCCCTTATACCGAGAAACAGTGGAAACATTCTGGAAACATTTCTCCCAACAGCAAAACCATCCAAGCTAATCCAAGCCATCCTAGCAAAATTATTTTTAAAAAATCCACAAAATTAGGCACAGATTTTTATGAGGCCCTTTATGCATCATATCTATCGAATGTTTTTTTCCCAATTTGAAGTTTAATTAAATATATTTTCATCTAAATTACAACACACAGTCACTTTCTGTAAACGTAGAGTATCAGACCGGGACCCACTCCCTACATGTTCAACATGTGTTATTAATCATTGCAACATAGGTAATAAATGTCGTTTCTTTTCCCCTCTTGGGGAAAGTGGTTGACGGGTTATCTGTTTGCAGTGCAGAAGAAGGTCATCGTCTTTAGAGAAGACTATTGAACAGTTAGCAGAGCATGAGTTTGTTCCAGTACATTCCTAGAAGGAAGATATTCATGTTAGTCTATTGATATGGATTGTTTTCCATCAGTAGAAGGTTCCTGTTCACGGGACTCTACAGTTGGTGTAAGGGCTATTGAGGCAGTCACGAACGTCATGCATAACAAGAGGAAATATCACCTGAAGAATCTACACAGAATATCTCACAAGGACTCAAACGGTTTCAAGTACAGCCATCATCTGTGGGTGAAAAAGTGACGACTTATTGGGAAATTAGAACATTCTAGAGGACCACACAAAGATTCTCAGAAAGATTATATCTCAACATTAAGAGAAGATCCTCCCTTAACAGTAAACCTCCTAGTATATCTTACTCACAATACTGCAAGTTTTCAGTAGCCTCAACTCAATTCTATTCAAAGAAGTGGAAATGGTGTCATTGGAATATTGGAAAGGCAGCATAAAATCATATGATGGTGGACTGTCAACTTGAATGTCTGTATTTCAAGTGGCAGTTCAGGAGCAAGTTGAGTGGAGGGAGATTGAGTGGAGTGAAAGAAAGGAAAGTGGACGATGACAGTGGAGTTGTCCACTGATAGACCTGTTAGCAACCTTTGTATCTCCAGTTCCAGACCCTTTGGCATGGACCCTTGATGTGCTAGCGATATCCTGGGAAGGTCTTCACATATACGCATGAGTCTTACAGAAGACTGCGCAAACAAGAAACCTGAAACTGACTTTAGTAGCACCTTACTGGCCATAGGGAACGTGAATTCCATATCAGAGGGTTGCACCAGGAAAACCAAGTCTAAAGCTTCCAAACTGGCCAAATCTTTCTTCATCATCACTCAAAACAACCTCATTCTAGACCTGAGATCTTCGAACTTCACACATACAACATATCAAGAACTGTCTTATCAGAAGAGGATATTCATCTCTTGCCCAAGGCTGTCTCTTTAGCACTCAGAAGATCTACAAGAAGTCTCTATGATGGTAAATTGAAGAACTTTTACCTGTTTGCAAGATTGAAGGAGGAGTTCATGGTAACAAAGTTTGCTCATCCTGCAGAATTGCAGAATATTTATGTCATTTAAGAAATACAGAACATCTCGAAGGTTCTACCCTAACCACTTATTCAACAACTAATAATGCTTGTCTTGACAATGGAGTTAACCTCACCACGGTCCAGAACTCATCACCCTCTGATGTCTTATAGGCAACAAGATCAGGCATGGGACTTAGATATAGTCCTTCAACATCTGACAGTGATGTTTTACAACCTCTTATACAACAGCAAGGATGTCAGAAATTCATGATATCGACTTGAATAGAACAAGATTTTATAATAGTCAGCATGTGAGTCCCTCTGGGTTTAAGATGGGATTTCAAGAATCAGCATCCAGGCCAGTCTAATAGACAGTCCACATCCCAGCTCAGACATCTTTTTTAGGAGCAGAAGATACAGAAGATTTATCACTCTGTTCATTTTCCCCTATCCGACCTGCTTGATGTAATGCTGTACCAGTAATTGGACATACACTTGTGAAATTTGTAAGTGACGGTTGTTTATCTGACCCAATCTTGATTATATTGAATCTTGTTGCAGGAGAGAGACCCAGTTGCCCAAGGGAACCCAGACCTGCATTTTAACCGTGCAACAGTGAGTGTAATGCTGATAATATTTATTTTTCCTTATCCTGACTCATGCTCTTTTGCTTGTCTTCTTCTTCTTGCGAACATAGTGGAACACTTGTATCTCCCTAATTGAAGTTCCCCTTCAATAAAGAAATCACTAATTAGTACTCACGAGTTACCTCCCTTCCACAAGTGCGGGAACGAGGGCGCCACCTCTACCCATGTGCCTCACTCTCTCCTTCTTCGCCCAGTGAGCAGGATGTGAGAGCGCCTGTGTCTCCCGACACACTATATCCTTTGATTATTTTTAGTTAGTTACCTCTTATAGGCATCTATAGAGGTTTAGCTAGTATCCTTCAACAATTATGTATTGATATTTAGTCGTGTTTCTACTGTTTATTCACGGGACGCCGTGTTTGTTCAGTGAATTACGTTGATGAAAATCTGTACTGTTTGCAGGTTAACGTTTTTTCTGCTGCTGATCCGCATTTAATATGCCCTAGCTGTACTGCGCCATGTTCATTTTCTTCACGTTGCAGTTGCTGTACTAATTTATCCAATTCTGCCTTTAATAAATATTTACTTTGCGTTTGAAACGCGCAGCAGATAGGTCGCGTAAGCAGAGTCTAGCCATGACTGATACACCTGAACCCCTCGCCAGTCTACTGCTGTTGGTCGACCCCCCTCCCGTCTGGTGTTCGGCTAGAGCGGTGGAGAGGCGTGGGAAGTAGTCCGCCGTCTCCAAGAAGCGTCCTGCTTCCCCAGACATCCCGTCGTCGCAGCCGAAGACTAGAGGGTTTCTACTTCATCTCAACGCAGACTTCGCACCCCCAGGGCAGCGTCGACCTCTGAGGGGAAATCAACAAAGTCTACTAGGACTTTCTCAGCCGAGATTGTTCCCGTCGCAGATTTGGGCCTGTATGATGATCAGCCGATCATCATACCTGATGTACATCAAAAGAATGACCGATGTCGGCAACAGTGATGTCAGCGCAGATCAACATGCAGCCTGATGTACCAACGCTGATGTTCGATGATCTTCCTGAGGGTCCCGTCGCTACCAACGCTGATAGGGCAGCAACTACTTCATCGCAGATCGTCCCAGGCGACCTGATGCGTCAGATTATGAAGATGATGTAAGACCGCTACGGTCCGGAGAGGCAACCAGCCTTGAGCCTTCGCGAAGGCTCCAACGTAGACGTCACATCAGAGGGACCCCCCATCAGCGAAGCGACTGCTACGAAGCCATCGTCGAGGAAGCCACCTTCGCGAAGGTCGTCACAGCCCACCTCCACGAAGGACCCAGATGTTCAGCATTCGCGAAAGGCCTTCGCGGAGGACAACTAGATCACCACCTACCTTGGACGCTGATGATCAACGCTCATGAAGAGGTTCGCAAAGGAAGATCCTTTCATCCCTGGACCCAGCCTTCGCTAAGGCCTTCGCGAAGGTCAAGTCGTCACTTCCCAGGACCGGACTCAGATGAAGCTTCGCGAAGGTCAAGTCGTCACTTCCCAGGACCGGACTCAGATGAAGCTTCGCGAAGGTCTTCGCGAAGGGCAAAGGGCACCAGTAACAGGCTCCGAGTCATCTTCGTCCAGAAGGTCATCCAGGGAAAAGCCTCCCTGAAGGGCAACCCAGCCCATAGCGAACACTTCGCTAAGGAAGTCCCAGGCCGCCTCCGCGAAGGAGCCAGAGCCTCTCCAGTTGCGAGGGACATCGCGGAGGAGGAGCGCTTCGCCGAGCCCACACCCTGTAGAACACAGAGGTCGTTCGCGAAGCAAGCGCTCATATATTGATCGGACTCTAGACACTTCGCTAAGGAAGTCCCAGGCCGCCTCCGCGAAGGAGCTAGAGCCTCACCAGTTGCAAGGGACGTCGCGGAGGAGTAGCGCTTCGCCGAGCCCACACCCTGTAGAACACAGAGGCCGTTCGCGAAGCAAGCGCTCATATATATTGATTGGGCTCTGACTCGATACCTTCGCGAAGATCGCGAAGGCTAAGTGGCTCCAAGTCTACTTCACCCAGTAGATCTAGAAGGGATACTTCGAGAGCTTCGCGAAGTCTCCGGCGTTCGCCGAGGAAGTCTCCTCCAAGGTCTCCATATACTAGCCACTCGTCATATATAGCCACTCGTCAGTCCATTCAAGACATCGCATGAGTTGTCTATCAACTGTATGCCATATGCCGTCTACAAGCCTACGCGAAGACAATTGCACAGGCTATTTACAACACAGAACGTCGCTGTATTAATTAGTCAACGACGTTTCATAGATCTTCACAGGAATCAACTTTTCCGTATAGATTGCTAGATATGCAATCGCGGACTACGATACGATTATCTACATGCGTGACCATTACGCAGATCTGCAGACAATTCAATATCGAAATTGAACAGCAGCCTTGTTACAGCGAGTATAACTCATAATCGTTAACGTTTTCTGAGAAGAAATATGTACAACAAGTTCAGCTTTAATTCTACAATTATGACGATACATTCATGTATACAGTCTACAAGCTGACAACTTGCAAGTTTATTGTACCTTTATATAAGGAAGTCGGAATTATATTCAAGACTGAAGTTACTTTCACTACAGCCAGGAAAATAACCTACCCAGCATTAATATTACAGAACGAGGTATTTCGGCCGCGGGTACTTTACAGAATCATAATGCCTTGTTCTGATTGGACCGCGATGGACAACGACCTACGCAGAGGTCGATCATAGTTCACAGTTCAAGACTTAGGTTGCAAGTGACAACAATATATCAGTGAACGAGCAAGCCTCCTTACAGTCCAGCTAATCTGAACCTTCATGATTGGGCTGCCTTCTTGAGGTTAGAGACCTCCCCTGTCAAGTAAGGACGAGGGCACGGCAGTCAGGCGATTTTTTACATAAAGTTCAACGATGACAGTCACACCTGGTTGTGCACCTACATCGTCAAGGACTTCGCAGCGAATTTACCTAGACGACGGGATACAAGTGGATCCAAATCCACAGCGTCTCAGCCTACTGACCAGCGAGAACGTGGTTTCCAACTCTTATTCAAGAAATCGGACAACCAATACTACAGCTTACAGAATGCTCGAATCTGTTAATACATCCGCACACCAAACAAGTGCACGGAAAGCCAGAAATATTCCAACTTCACGTATGGATTGTATCAAGGTGTGTCTGAATAAGAGGTTATTCAGCCAGAGCGGCAAAGCAGTCTAGCTTGCCCTGCGTAACTCAACTTGCAACTTATACGATGACAATTGGCACAGTTTGTCAATTATGCTGCAAAGAAAGGATTTACAGCTAGATATGCTACTCATCCTCAAGTGGCTGACTACTTATGTTATATACGTCAGACTAAGATTTTATAAGGCTCAACTTGTCCACCTATCTTGCAGCAATAGCTCTGTCATAACTGAGAACGGGCGTCAAGTTAACCTAAACCCAGTTACTCGCCTTGCTACTGAGCTTTCTGATTGGAGGATTAAAACGGAAGTTTCACGCTCCAGCTTGGGATCTGAATATAGTGCTCCAACACCTCACAAGTGAGGTTCATGAACACGCTTTGATGATATACTTGGACCCCATGATACGATGAATCTATCACGATGGCCAGTAAGAGCACTGAAAATATATCTCCAACGAGCCAAACAGGAGGGAAAAATGCAAGAGATTTATTTCCTCTATCATCAAGCTATGCAGACTGAAGTCTCACGTACTACTATCTCCTTTTGGATCAGAACTGTCATACTACGTGCCTACAAGACTGCAGGACTCGACCCTCCATGAGCTTCTAATCCTCATGATATTAGAGCGCTAACATCTACAATTGCTCTACACAAGTGCTTTTGAAATAATGGAGGGTTATTTCTGGAGATCCGATATGGTGTTTGCCAACCACTATCTGAGAGATATCACCACCGAGGACGTCTCAGGTATCCACCAATTCGGTCCCAACAGTTGACAGTTCCTCGGAGAAGATAAGTCAATCTTACAGATTTCTACTTATCTTATAACAGTACTAAATAGCTACATGCTATATATATTTTGCTTAAGTTCTTTTATTATCTTAAGCTCAGTACTATGGTCATTATATCATACAATATATAAGTTAACAACTCTACGGAGTTTGTTATTATATATTTAGCTTAAGTTAATCATATCTTAAGCTCAGTACTATGGTTACATTATAAATGTATTAGCTAACAAACTCTACAGAGTTTTTGCTATTATATATGTAGCTTAAGTTAATTATATCTTAAGCACAGTACTATACTCATATCATAAAAATATATTAGCTAACAAACTCTACAGTGTTTTTGCTATTATATATGTAGCTTAAGCTTATTCATATCTTAAGCTCAATACATTGTTTATATCATATAAGTATATTAGCTAACAAACTCTAAAGAGTTTTTGCTATTATATATTTGGCTTAAGTTTCATCATATCTTAAGCATTATGGTTACATTATAAAATGTATTAGCTAACAAACTCTACGGAGTTTTGCTATTATATATATAGCTTAAGTTTAATCATATCTTAAGCTCAGTACTATGTTTATATCATAAAAGTATATTAGCTAATAAACTCTAAGGAGTTTTTTGCTATTATATATTTAGCTTAAGTTTAATCATATCTTAAGCTCAGTACTATGTTTATATCATAAAGTATTTTAGCTAACAAACTCTAAGGAGTTTATACTATCATATTAACAAGCTTAAGTCTATTAGTCTTAAGCATTGTATTAATGTTATATATACTTTATCATAATAAGTACATTGTAATAACCTTTATATGGCAGCTGATAAGTTAGCAGCAGGAATTCATCAGTTCAGTGCCTTTATGAAGTTCCCATAGGGTTATTACAATCATCACAGTTCAAATCACTAATTATCAAAATCCAAAGTATTATATATTCCCACCTCCTTTTCCGTAGGATACTACAAGCAAAAGAGCATGAGTCAGGATAAGGAAAAATATGTAATTTTTAGAGTAAAATTGATATTTTATACTTATCCTGACTCATGAGGTAAGTGCTCCCATCCTCCCCACATAACACTTTGGATTTCCCTGAAAATTCAAATGTTGGGCTCAGTATATGAGGAGAGAGTGAGGCACATGGGTAGAGGTGGCGCCCTCGTTCCCGAGCTTGTGGAAGGGAGGTAACTCGTGAGTACTAATTAGTGATTTCTTTATTGAAGGGAACTTCAGTTAAGGAGATACAAGTGTTCCACTATGTTCGCAAGAAGAAGAAGACAAGCAAAAGAGCATGAGTCAGGATAAGTATAAAATATCAATTTTACTCTAAAAATTACATACTTGCAACACATGTCAACCTTGAAGCAATAATTTTTAAACTTATCCTATCTCACGATTTGCACTTCTCTCTCTTGCTTTGACGCTGAGTGGAACGAATGAGAACTTTTCCTGTAGGCCTTTTTCCATACGCCCGTGTTCCCCAGGCTGCTCTCCTTATAGGACAGGTCCCTAGTCCCCGGCTAAGCGTGCAGCACGTTCCCCTGTCTACCCACGTGACTACCTCAGAGTGATCATTCTTCTTCTTGTCGCACCACTGTGTGGACGTATTGTGAGAGTTCTCAGCTGTCCTTACAAGTTAACATGAGAAATATATCATGGGTAGTTGACCCTAAGTAGCGTAATTTTGCGCACACTGTAACAATATTTACTTCCTCGGATCCCACTCGTCATGTTTGGGTTGTATTGACCTGTGTTCCTGGAGCAAGCATTGTCGGGAATGTGCTCCCTTATCAAGAACGTTTTTAGAGCATGTACACATGCTTGCTCCCGTTGGCTGGCAGACAGAGCTCGTTACACTTCAACAGTTGATCACCCGACAAACCCCCGCTTTCAACGACCAGTATTAACTGCTCGTCGTTCAGAGATTCTCATGTCAGACGGTGATGATTTTATTGGCGCATCATCAGACGTCTACTCGTCGTTCCGCCTCATGTTGCCAGCTGACTCACACAGCCGATCTACATCGTCAAATCGTCGAACTGATTCACCATACCGAATGGATTCACTAGACCGAACCGTTCGCCATGACGTATGTGGATTACGATATCGACTCAATTCGCCATAATATTAAGACTGTTTCTTATCGCCAAAACGGTTCACATCATCGATTCGAATCACAGTCACGATCCAGCTCACAACGCCGATCCAGATCACGGACTGATTCAGATCACATCAACGTTCCGGCTCACCACCCTGAACCGATTTACCAGCCCGGCTCGTACCGTTTCACCAGGCCGAACCGCTTCCTATCGCCGAACCAGTTCACCTGGCCGCTCAAGATCACTAAATTGTCAGCATTCATCGAACTGTCCGCATTCGTCAATAATCCATTCCTTGGACCTTGCCAGCAATTGAGCTTATTCACGAATTGGGCGATTCACCACTCGTGTTATTTCCAACACGGCGCATCTTACCAGCCTATCAGAGCCTATGCCAAATGTTGAATGGGATGCCTCCCAATGGAGTCTCTATGGTGCCCTTCATACCGACTCAACACCTGTTCGTCGACGCATCTTTCAAGCTGGGGAGCTCACTTTCTCCATCAAGTGGCCTAGCAGAAGACATGGTCATCAGGAGAAAGGGCCCTTCATATCAACGAACTGGAATTCAGCACTGTCATTCTCGCCGTTCGGCATTGGGCAGCTGAACTACGGTTCACTCATACTGATTCAATCAGACATTTCAATGGTAATTTTGTACATAAACCATCAGGGGTCGACAGGATCAGCAGCTCTGCTTCAGTTGATGTTTCGAATTTATCATCTGATCGGTTCACTCAACACAGTGGCCAGAGCCCGACACATTCCCAGGATGAGTAATGTCATTGCCGATGCCCTGTCACGTCTCAAACGCCTGTCACTCACGGAGTGGAAACAACTGCCTCTGATATTCCAATCGAAGATCTACCTGTTATCACGACCAGAGGTAGAGCTGTTCACCACTCAGGACAACCATCAGCTTCAGCGCAGATGATCACCAGTTGCGATCGTTTCTGCTTTGTGTACAATCTGAATAAAATTCTGAATTTTATTTCTGATTTGTGTCTTTGATTCTTCTGGGACTTCGATTTCTCCTCTCAATTTAATTTGAGACTCTGGAGAGTCGCCACCTCACTTACTGTCGTCTGCTCTGTGGAGTGAGTCATTCCCGAAGTGTTACACTTTGTAGCGTTCATGCTCCTAAGTACCTATACGGTGTCTACGGGGTTGTTTCGAAGCAGGGGCTGGCCCGATACTAGTCATTACACTTTTAATACGGGGGTACCTTGGAAATCGTGTTAATGCGACTGATTACACTCGCTAAGCTGCGTCCTTTCACTTTCGTGAAGGTAGTGACTGAACACCACATTGCTCTGGAGTCCCGGTCCCTGGGAGCAATTGTGCTTAGTAAGTCAATGGGTTCAAACTAACCATCGCACGTAGTGACCTTGGTAGTTTTGGGCCTACCTTGTCGTTGCTCCCTACGGATGTAGAAGTGTTTGACAATCTCACTTGCTGACCTCTACTCCACGGAGCAATCACGTCAGTGTAGTGAGTCCTTCCCGATTTCCTTATGGATGTCGTAGCGTTCAAGCTCCTAAGTACCTTAGCACAACGTTGGGACCTAACTGTGGTAAGTAGTGGAAGTCATGTGGTATTGTTATGGTACTGAACGTTAAACTTGTGAGTTTTCCGATTCAGTTTCCTTTTCCCCTCTTCGTGATGGGGTCTGGGGAGCTGTCTCAAAGCAGGTGCGGGCCCGATCACTACTATAAATTACTAGTCGTAATTACGGGGGTACTCTGATAAATCGTGGCGAAGCAAGGTGACTTGCCTAGTTGCGTTTTCTTGCGTATGCGAGGGTTGCAGCTGAACACCACATTGATCAGGAGCACCCTCTCCTTGGGAGCGATTGTGCCTAGTATGCCAAGAGGTTCAGGAGAACCTATCACTAGTATAGGTACTATGCTAGTCGGATCTTGGGGCTGAACACCACATTGATCAGGAGCACTCACTCCTTGGGAGCGATTGTGCCTAGTACGCCAAGAGGTTCAGGAGAACCCATCACTAGTATAGGTACTATGCTAGTCGGATCTTGGGGCTGAACACCACATTGATCAGGAGCACTCACTCCTTGGGAGCGATTGTGCCTAGTACGCCAAGAGGTTCAGGAGAACCCATCACTAGTATAGGTACTATGCAAGTCGGATCCGGCCTGCCTTGTTCATTGCTATCTACGGTTGTCATTAGCCTATACAGTATATACTGTCAGTGCCTTTTGACTTAGGGTAATCTGTGACCCGCCGTCAAACCGTGGGATAAGTGCAAATCGTGAGATAGGATAAGTTTAAAAATTTGAAAATTATAACATAAATTGTATATTTATATACTTATCCTATCTCACGAGATGGATGTCCACCCAGCCTCCCCTCTACTCAGATTACGACGGTTACGTATAACTGTCATTGGCCCCAAGAAGAGAATGATCACTCTGAGGTAGTCACGTGGGTAGACAGGGGAACGTGATACACACTTAGCCGGGGACTAGGGACCTGTCCTATAAGGAGAGCAGCCTGGGGAACACCGGCGTATGGACAAAAGGCCTACAGGAAAAGTTCTCATTCATTCCACTCAGCGTCAAAGCAAGAGAGAGAAGTGCAAATCGTGAGATAGGATAAGTATATAAATATACAATTTATATTAAAATTTTCAATTTTCTAGATTATCCCAGTGTGCTCCATTGTGACAAATTTGTTTGTAAACGTATATATTAATATTATTATTCAGGGTTCAGACTTGAAAAAGCTTGAAATTTGGATTTTTAACTCAAAAATCATTTATATGAAAAGGCCCTAATTGCCAGTGATTTGCCCTAAAAAGGCCATGTGTTTAGCAAAGTTATGATTTTACAGGAAATTAATACATGATAAAATTACCTTACAATGACAGTGGGTGTTAATTAATCGCAAAGCAACACCTTCCCAGTGCAGCAATGTAGCAAGGAGTTATTTCCCCCTGATGGTCTGTCCACACTTAACCAACCATGTGTGTTTTCAACTCCATGTACTTACGTGTTATATGTGTATCTATAGTTCCTTAAAATTGTTGGTTGGGCCTTGAAATTTGATGGCCATTTACCCACTCACTCACTCACTCACTGTTGCCATAGTCGTACCAGTACCAGGAGGAGTATCAGCTGGCGCTGGCGGGCTTTGCACAGGCAACGCTCTTGGACCCAGGATGGGAGGAGCCTGGCGAGAAGGAGACGCAGCTCTTGCAGTATCTCGACACGCTCACCGACATGATCAACACAAAGGTGAGGCAACTCTTGCAGTATCTCGACACGCTCACCGACATGATCAACACAAAGGTGAGGCAACTCTTGCAGTATCTCGACATGATCAACACAAAGGTGAGGCAACTCTTGCAGTATCTCGACACGCTCACCGACATGATCAACACAAAGGTGAGGCAACTCTTGCAGTATCTCGACACGCTCACCGACATGATCAACACAAAGGTGAGGCAACTCTTGCAGTATCTCGACACGCTCACCGACATGATCAACACAAAGGTGAGGCAACTCTTGCAGTATCTCGACACGCTCACCGACATGATCAACACAAAGGTGAGGCAACTATTGCAGTATCTCGACACGCTCACCTACATGATCAACACAAAGGTGAGGCAACTCTTGCAGTATCTCGACACGCTCACCGACATGATCAACACAAAGGTGAGGCAACTCTTGCAGTATCTCGACACGCTCACCGACATGATCAACACAAAGGTGAGGCAACTCTTGCAGTATCTCGACACGCCACCGACATGATCAACACAAAGGTGAGGCAACTCTTGCAGTATCTCGACACGCCACCGACATGATCAACACAAAGGTGAGGCAACTCTTGCAGTATCTCGACACGCTCACCGACATGATCAACACAAAGGTGAGGCAACTATTGCAGTATCTCGACACGCTCACCTACATGATCAACACAAAGGTGAGGCAGCTCTTGCAGTATCTCGACACGCTCACCCGACATGATCAACACAAAGGTGAGGCAACTCTTGCAGTATCTCGACACGCTCACCGACATGATCAACACAAAGGTGAGGCAACTCTTGCAGTATCTCGACACGCCACACCGACATGATCAACACAAAGGTGAGGCAACTCTTGCAGTATCTCGACACGCTCACCGACATGATCAACACAAAGGTGAGGCAACTCTTGCAGTATCTCGACACGCTCACCGACATGATCAACACAAAGGTGAGGCAACTCTTGCAGTATCTCGACACGCTCACCTACATGATCAACACAAAGGTGAGGCAGCTCTTGCAGTATCTCGACACGCTCACCGACATGATCAACACAAAGGTGAGGCAACTCTTGCAGTATCTCGACACGCTCACCGACATGATCAACACAAAGGTGAGGCAACTCTTACCATACCTCGACATGCTTACCGACTCAACACAATAGTGAGACAGTGTAACGATTGTATTGATTCCTGGTGGAGACCTAAATAACCTGCTTATTTGATGTGAAATATTGTCAATGCTTGGTAGGGTGATTCTGATGGTACATATTAATCATGACAAAACTTGTACCAGTATTTCAGGGCAAGATGGTACATGTTCAATCATAGCAATCCATGTGCCATTTTTTCAGGGCAAGATGAAGGGGAAAAAGTTCGAGTCTCTGGTGCAGTCAATGAACGAAGACAAGGACTTGGGTCCATACAGAGGAGGGTCCTACACAGGGTCCAAGGGAAAGTCTGTGACATTGAAGAAAGTGAAACTGTCAGATCTTCAACCTGAGATTAACCATGAGCGAGTTGTGACAGGAAAAGTTGTGTGCACCCTCAGTTCCCAGGAAGCCCTTACATTGTAAGTCCAACAGAAGGTTGAACGGTGTAGATGTTCTGCTATTGGAGTAACTGTTGAGAATAACTGTTGAGAGCTTACAATGATTGTGGGGACTGTCCTACATTTGTGTTAGCCGCAGCACCATATCAGAGGAAGAAGGCTGGTATTTTCTTAATTTGTTGTACGTAAAAGTAGGATGAGACAAGCAAGTTGAGTCTCTGATAGTGGACATGTTGTTTCAGTACTTTCTGCATGGTTGACGAAGACCAAACCTGCTTTCCTGTGAATGTCTACAACATCGCGAAAGGATCTGGGGTGAAGATCGGGGACTCAGTGGCAATACCAGACCCGTATGTCCAGCTGGTCAAGGTCAACCATAAAGGAAAGGTCAGTCATAACAGTTCAGGAGTAAATTCGTTTCCTCTGTCAACTAGTGGCCGATAGCATGGTCATGATGGGTATTTGTTTCCTAGGTCAACCAGTGGCCGTTAGCATGGGTATTTGTTTCCTAGGTCAACCATTTGCAGATAGCATGGGTATTTGTTTCCTAGGTCAACTAGTGGCTGATAACATGAGCAACAGTCTCAGTATGATTCCACAATATCAGCTAAGTTGTGCTTTGCTACGTCTGTCTGTAATAGTTTGTATTTTAACAAACATGGATGGTTTAGATTTCTTCAAAACAAAGTGGTGTCTCAACAGCTGACTTCAGAGAACCCATAAAATTAATTCCCTAAAATGTACAATTAATATCACCAATATTCATTGGCTTATTTCTTCTCCATGATACTATGAATGTGGGGTTTTGTTTTGTGTGTGTGTAAAAAAGTGTTGCTAGTGTTGGGTGAGGTTGTTGGGAGATGGGAGTAAAGCATGTTGTTTTCAACAACTGTTTTAGGTTTTATAACATAAAATAGATCAAAACATTCATTAAAGATGGATGGGTATTCTCAGCATAACAAGTTTCGATTGGCTTGAAAAGGATTTTGTGATGATGTAAAGGTAAGTTGTTTGTTTCAGGTGTTCGAGTTCTCCGGTATCCGAGTGGACCTCCCAGTCATGCTGGTTGTCAATGGCAAGAAGCTGGGGCTGGACAAACAAGCTATGTCTGTGCTGTCGGTCAGCGCCATGTCAGAATAGTGCTCTGTCTATCTGTGATCTTTACTGTATATATTTATTTATACAATAAATCTATTTTTACAGCATATAGGCCTGTATTCTTCTGTCAAGAGTGGGTTATGTGTGGTTGAACCTGCAGAGCTACATGAATGAGGTTATTTGACTGTAGGGATCCAAGCCTCCATGTATTGCCAGAGGTTATTTGACTGTAGTAAGACAACACTTCTAATATGTTACATCACTATACCTTACCTTGAAGGATGCAGATATACACAATTATATTCAGTACATTTGACTTCATGTATACACTAATGGCCATACAACCAGCAGCTGCATCACAGAATGAAGTAATTCCTCCAAGTCAGAGGTGTATGTATACTACTCTCACTTTGCTAAGGATCACAAAAATTCACAACTTTACTTAAAAGTAGATTTATATTTTGAATGAGTGAGGTTTTACGCCGCACTCAGCAATATTCCAGCTATATGGCGGCGGTCTGTAAATAATCGATTCTGGACCAGACAATCCAGTGATCGACAGCATGAGCATTGATCTGCGTAATAAGGAACCGATGACATGTGTCAACCAAGCCAGCGAGCCTGACCACCTGATCCTGTTAGTTGTCTCTTACGATAAGCATGGGTTATTGAGGGTTCATTCTAACCCAGATTTATATTTTGAAATTGTATCCCTTTAAAACTGGATAAATAATGATATGGTAACCCCTCTTACGCAAACAGTCACTTTAATCTAACCTTATGCACTTGATACATCAGTAACCATGAAAATGGTTTTCATGGCACCAATCAACCATTTTGCATATCATGGAACGAGTCATTGAAAAGTACACACCACCTGTCAATAGCAGGTATGGGATCCACAAGATGTAATGACAAACTGAAACCTAGGATACATGCTTACAATAAGCTTAGATATTTAAACCAATAGTTTTGTTGAATCCATGATTTGATCCTTAGCAAAGTGTGAATGGTATATGTTCAGATCTGTTGAAGTTTGGTTACAAGAAATAGGTTCAAACATCATATCTGATGAGAAAAACCTGTTAGGAATCAGCACCTCAGTGACTGTGACAGCATGATACATCAGTATTTACACAGGACAGCCCAGATTTCCGGAGTTGTTTGGGAACCTGTGTAGAAGTATATGTTGTCATTCATCAATGAATGCAGGATGATTACACAGATAGCTGGTTGTCAACTGTTACTTGATAGTTTGGATGTACAGTTAATGTTTTGATGGCTCAGATTGGTTGTAATGTTTGTTAGAATGCCGAGTTCAAGATTCAATAATGCTGAAAGGGAATACCCGGGAATGTGGAAGTACTCGGTTAGAGTTCGTGTCATTTCAAGAAGTCAAGAAGTCCCATGAAAAACATATGACCTACAAATTGTCGCTCATGCTCATTTTGCAGTCATGTGACCTTCTCTCACCTGACAGAAAGCTTTATATCATGAATACTTCACAACAAATGTATTTAGCAGCTGTTTACAGTCACTGTACACATTACCACATGTTTTCATGAGTGTGGTAACAGTAAAAAATATGTCAGAACGCTGAAAGTGGTGAAAAGCTGATACCACACTTGAAATAGGGTTTAACATTGCACTTAAGAATATGTCGCCCATATGACGACGTGCATGCATGTGTATGTGTGGCTGCTTGTACTAGCCCAGACTTAAGCTGGTTTTATAGTGCTAGCCCACTGAGATACCATGCCGCAGTTAAGCATGAATACATCACTCCGACACATACTGACTCCGAGCCGACCAGTTCGTGTTGTACCCATTAATGCCGAGCGCCAGACAGGGACCAACAAGTACCATATTTTAATGTCTTTTGGCGGACGCTTGACCACCACACCACGGAGGCGATCTGTTTTCATGAGTCTTGTAACAGTAAAAAGTATGTCAGCAATGATGAAAAGTGGTGAAAAGCTGATACCACACTTGCAAGAGATGAACCAGAAGGTACTTGGACTTCAAAGAGAGCTACAAAAAACACTCAGCTGTAGGTTACTAGCAAATCTAGGAATTTTGTTTGTTTGTTTCTTAATGCTGGACTCAGCAATATTCCAGCTATTTGGCGGCGGTCTGTAAATAACCAAGTCTGGACCAGACAATCCAGTGATCAACAGCATCAATCTATGCAATTGGGATACGATAACAAGTGTCAACCAAGTCAGTGAGCCTAACTAACCGATCCCGTTAGTCGCCTCTTACAAGCATGGGTTACTGAAGGTCAATTCTTACCTGGATCTTCATGGGTCTCAAGGTATTTAAACAATGATTAGCTCAGTGCTAAAACTGTTTGTGGTGAGAGTCACCAAACAGTGGGATAATTTGTTCACAATTCACCACGACAACCACATTAGATTCTTTGACTGTTTATTCACACGATTACAGCACGGCCCATGAAACAACACAGGTGTCTTCCTCCATGAGTTAGAGGTCCCACTGCTTAACACTGTTGGACTACGTGGAACACACGCTCAGATTGTAACTGCCAAGTCCTTGTGTCCTAGAAGATTCATTCCTTGTTGGCAGAGAACTCCAGTTTCGACTCCACATCGGTTCACAGTATAAACAGTGTTATTTTCTGTCGACAGTGTTGCATCCCAAACAATATTCAGTTAACATCCCAGTCTTCAACCTTTCACATGACCACACACACTATCACATCATCATGCATACATTCAACAACATAACAAATATTTCAACAAACTCTTCTCAGCATTATTACCAATTTACAGGTTCTCTTCATTTACTATCCAAGTAATTTTTTTGCAGAAATAAATATGTAATCTTGAACTAGGTCAAATAAACGTGTAAACAAGTTGTACACACAACGAAGGTGGGTGTTGTAGAAAAGTGTTGTGTAAAATTGTGGCAGCCAGCAAGTTATCAGGTTCCCAGGAATCTGATGACTCAGAGACTGTTCCTCACAGTTGGAGGCCACCCAGTAAACCAAGGAACAGAGCCAACTACTAAATGGAGTTCTGTGGACCGACCTTGGTGCCCCACAGGGTCGATATGTGAGGGTCATCATGTGACAGAACGACTAAGATCATAAGTCAGGAAGCTTATGCACTCTTCTTTAAAGTCAGAACACAATATCTTATCACCTTCGGTGCTGTAAAATATCAGCACTGTCTGGAAACAAAGAATTTACCATTTTTATCATTTTCTTGTCAGAACGTTGTGGTGCATCAGAATATACCAGCTATGTTGAGACACATGATACTGTATCTATTAGTTGATATTATCATTGGCCAGGCAACAGAAACATGTTGTACAATCTTCGACCAGACAACGCTACCAGCAATATCAGCTTCACTACATGATCGCCACGACTTATAAAGGAGGTTACAATTATCACAAGTTCATCTATAATCCAACTTTCATCACTTGGGCTTTGCTTGGACTGTATTGTTGACATTAGATATTTGGGAAGGTTTAATGGTTTTTATCTTTGTTGGGTCGTAGCTGTAGGTCTTCACCATGGGGCCTTCTCCGGCCTTCTTGAACCTCACTGCATCCAGCCTCTGGCGCTCCTCAAACTGCGAGGCACGGCCGGCGTTGTCCATGGCTGAAGAGATGGGAAGACAATGAGACACGGCAGCCTCATCAACAGGGCTGGGACGATTCACTGATACATCACGATACATTTAAGTTGGATACAGCTATCAATCAATACAAAACGATACACAACTTTTGTTCAAAACAGTATTATCTTAAACATGTTAATGTACTTATTTAGAGAAAAATACGCAAGTATGATAGAGTTACTTGTTTGTTTATTACAATTGTGTTATTGTTAAACACAAACACCATGAAATAAATCATCTTAAATCGGAATACTGTGTCATTCTTTCAAGGTGTATGTATCATAGGGATGCCACAATACATCGATACTTTTTCCAAGACGATACAATTATCGATACATTCAAAACTGTATCGATATTTAGTTTTGAAAGTATCGGTTTAAATATGTTTATCTATCGTTTAATTTTGCAATTGTATCATGTTTTTTGATGTTATGAGAGTTATAAATGATTATTTTTCATGCACAAAGATGGGAAATCAAAACTTATTAATCTCTGAGAATAAAAAATGTTGATATCAAGTCAGCGTTCTACTACACCCCATCCCCACCCCCACCCCAAGTCAGCATTCTACAACACCCCCCAAACTTAGCCAACTATATCAATTACCTGCCACTTGTTATGACATTGAGTGACCTGGAACTACAATGACCTTCTGCAATCTGGAGTTACCATGACCTCCAGTGGCTGGAGTTATGACCTTAAGTGACCTGGAGCTAACATGACCTTCTGCAATCTGGAGTTACCATGACCTCCAGTGGCTGGAGTTATGACCTTAAGTGACCTGGTACTACCATGACCTTCTGCAATCTGGAGTTACCATGACCTCCAGTGACTGGAGTTATGACCTTTACTAACCTGGTACTACCATGACCTTCTGCAATCATTATGTGGAATTACTATGACCTGTGATCTGGAGGTCCCATGACCTTTAGTGACCTGGATTTACTATGACCATTATTGACCTTTTCTCGCACAACTGGCAGACTGCTATCTGAAGAGTTTACATCTGCATGTTACTTTCTTTACCTCCTACAAAAGTGACATACCCTCTCGGAATCCTTGAACAAATCCTTTCTTCTTTGGCATTGCATTTGCTTCATGCTTGATCATCTGTTCAATACCAAACATAGTACGCACCACTGGAATCCTCAGAAACAGAACTTGTAGAAGCGAGAAGACGTTAGTTGTGCACCAGTACGTCAGGAGGGCCTGAAAAAGAGAACAGAAACGTTTTCCCAAACTGTCATTGCTTGCTTGGCCATTATTGAAGCATGTGAGCGATATTTTACACATATTTTAACTCAACAATCAGACTGACTGCAAGTTCAGCAGCAGTGGCCTTTAACAGCAAACAATGATTAACATTTTGCAATTTTGTTTAAGGAAAAGATATTTCATTTATGACACTTCCAACACTATGTGTGCTATTCGGAAGATGGTCTGACCACGTTTGAAACTTAATGAAATTTTAGTAAGTAATATTCTGATGATGTAACTGTAAATACTGTATTGGTCTGATGGTGTAAATACTGTATTGGTCTGATGATGTAAATACTGTATTGGTCTGATGGTGTAAATACTGTATTGGTCTGATGGTGTAAATACTGTATTGGTCTGATGGTGTAAATACTGTTTTGGTCTGATGGTGCAAATACTGTTTTGGTCTGATGATGTAAATACTGTATTGGTCTGATGGTGTAAATACTGTATTGGTCTGATGGCGTAAATACTGTATTGGTCTGATGATGTAAATACTGTCTTGGTCTGATGATGTAAATACTGTATTGGTCTGATGATGTAAATACTGTATTGGTCTGATGATGTAAATACTGTATTGGTCTGATGATGTAAATACTGTATTGGTCTGATGATGTAAAAACTGTATTGATCTGATGGTGAAAACACTGTATTGGTATGATGGTGTAAATACTGTATTGGTCTGATGATGTAAACACTGTATTGGTCTGATGATGTAAATACTGTATTGGTCTGATGATGTAAATACTGTATTGGTCTGATGATGTAAATACTGTATTGGTCTGATGATGTAAATACTGTATTGGTCTGATGGTGTAAATACTGTATTGGTCTGATGATGTAAATACTGTATTGGTCTGATGATGTAAATACTGTATTGGTCTGATGATGTAAATACTGTATTGGTCTGATGATGTAAATACTGTATTGGTCTGATGATGTAAAAACTGTATTGGTCTGATGATGTAAAAACTGTATTGATCTGATGATGAAAACACTGTATTGGTATGATGGTGTAAATACTGTATTGGTCTGATGATGTAAATACTGTATTGGTCTGATGATGTAAATACTGTATTGGTCTGATGATGTAAATACTGTATTGGTCTGATGGTGTAAATACTGTATTGGTCTGATGATGTAAATACTGTATTGGTCCGATTATCTAAATACTGTATTGGTCCGATGGTGTAAATACTGTATTGGTCTGATGGTGTAAATACTGTATTGGTCTGATGGTGTAAATACTGTATTGGTCTGATGATGTAAATACTGTACTGGTCTGATGATGTAAATACTGTATTTGTCTGATGGTGTAAATACTGTATTGGTCTGATGGTGTAAATACTGTATTGGTCTGATGATGTAAATACTGTATTGGTCTGATGATGTAAATACTGTATTGGTCTGATGGTGTAAATACTGTATTGGTCTGATGGTGTAAATACTGTATTGGTCTGATGGTGTAAATACTGTATTGGTCTGATGGTGTAAATACTGTATTGGTCTGATGGTGTAAATACTGTATTGGTCTGATGATGTAAATACTGTATTGGTCTGATGATGTAAATACTGTATTGGTCTGATGATGTAAATACTGTATTGGTCTGATGATGTAAATACTGTATTGGTCTGATGATGTAAATACTGTATTGGTCTGATGGTGTAAATACTGTATTGGTCTGATGATGTAAATACTGTATTGGTCTGATGGTGTAAATACTGTATTGGTCTGATGATGTAAATACTGTATTGGTCTGATGGTGTAAATACTGTATTGGTCTGATGATGTAAATACTGTATTGGTCTGATGATGTAAATACTGTATTGGTCTGATGGTGTAAATACTGTATTGGTCTGATGATGTAAATACTGTATTGGTCTGATGATGTAAATACTGTATTGGTCTGATGGTGTAAATACTGTATTGGTCTGATGGTGTAAATACTGTATTGGTCTGATGATGTAAATACTGTATTGGTCTGATGGTGTAAATACTACTGTATTGGTCTGATGGTGTAAATACTGTATTGGTCTGATGGTGTAAATACTGTATTGGTCTGATGATGTAAATACTGTATTGGTCTGATGGTGTAAATACTGTATTGGTCTGATGGTGTAAATACTGTATTGGTCTGATGGTGTAAATACTGTATTGGTCTGATGATGTAAATTCTGCATTGGTCTGATGATGTAAATACTGTATTGGTCTCGGGCCTCACGTACAGCTGGGAAGTTGGAGATGAAGGGCAGCATGATGAAGGGCATGGCTCGCATCCCATATCGCATGAACGGACTCATCATATCTGCTCGCACACCATCAACACCAACCTTTTATTTAAGAGAAAAGTGATGACAAAGTGACATTGAGAAATATGGTCCTTGTGTTACTTGTTAGTAATTGTGTAACGTTTCCGTGACAACATGCTGCTGGAACTCCCACTCTCCTGCTTACAGGCCACCAGGTCATACTGCTTGAACATTGCTGATTAGTGCCGAGCGGTGCAGTAGAAGACAAAGATTTACATCACAATCAAGTGAGGGATCAGGAGCCATTTGGTCTATTAGTCTGAATTGAGGGTGCCCTTAACCGGAATGTCTATTACAAGAAGAGGGTGATGAAAAGTCCCCAATGACCTTGATGCTTAATTTCAAACCCTGCTGTGTTGGTACCGGTAAATGGCATTCAGCATATACTCCTTTGTACATGGTGTGCCATGTAGGACCCAGAAACACACCTGTACAATCAGAAACACACCTGTACACACCTGAACAATCAGAAACACACCTGTACAATCAGAAACACACCTGTACAATCAGAAACACACCTGTACAATCAGATACACACCTGTACAATCAGATACACACCTGTACAATCAGAAACACACCTGTACAATCAGAAACACACCTGTACAATCAGATACACACCTGTACAATCAGATACACACCTGTACAATCAGAAACACATCTGTACAATCAGAAACACACCTGTACAATCAGATACACACCTGTACAATCAGAAACACACCTGTACAATCAGATACACACCTGTACAATCAGAAACACACCTGTACAATCAGAAACACATCTGTACAATCAGATACACACCTGTACAATCAGAAACACACCTGTACAATCAGATACACACCTGTACAATCAGAAACACACCTGTACAATCAGAAACACACCTGTACAATCAGAAACACACCTGTACAGTCAGATACACACCTGTACAATCAGAAACACACCTGTACAATCAGAAACACACCTGTACACACCTGTACAATCAGAAACACACCTGTACAATCAGAAACACACCTGTACAGTCAGATACACACCTGTACAGTCAGATACACACCTGTACAATCAGAAACACACCTGTACAATCAGAAACACACCTGTACACACCTGTACAATCAGAAACACACCTGTACAATCAGATACACACCTGTACAATCAGATACACACCTGTACAATCAGATACACACCTGTACAATCAGATACACACCTGTACAATCAGATACACACCTGTACAATCAGAAACACACCTGTACAATCAGATACACACCTGTACAATCAGATACACACCTGTACAATCAGATACACACCTGTACAATCAGATACACACCTGTACAATCAACAAAAACGTTGCTGCTGTGAATATTGGCAAAGCATAGAAAGGGTCTGGAACGGTGAGATCTGTGAACCAATACATCCCTCCTAGTTTCATACTTTCTACCGGCAGGTTGGCCATCCCTCGCAACCCGAAAAACATGGACACAAATACAGGAAGCTGGAACACAGAAACATTCTTTCAATGAGTCCATGAGTCATGTTCGAGGTCTATCAGATCACTTCAGCATAATGATTAAAAACATGATCACACCCAGCTGATGGTACACATACTTTGGCAAATCCTACAATCAACCAGGAATTCCATGGCAGAATGTTGATTTCATTATGCAGTTTTGACTGGACTAAGCATGGACCAGTTAGGTCAACCCAGCTCAATATTACTCCAGCCTTGTTGGGCAATGGTGGAAACTGGAATTCCATAGTCAGTTAATTTCTTTAACCTCAGCTACAGTGTTACCATCAATGGGTTTTGTAAACAAGTACTGGGGACTATTTCTGTGCTAGAGTCACTACATCGTTTGAACTAACTGTTAGCACCTTCATGTTTAATCTATCTGTAAGTCCCTACATCGTTTGAACTAACTGTTAGCACCTTCATGTACAATCTCTCTGTAAGCCTATAACTGAACATACCCTTATCAAGAACTAACTGTTAGCACCTTCATGTACAATCTCTCTGTAAGCCTATAACTGAACATACCCTTATCAAGAACTAACTGTTAGCACCTTCATGTACAATCTCTCTGTTACTGAAGAACTCAAGAACTAACTGTTAGCACCTTCATGTACAATCTCTCTGTAAGCCTATAACTGAACATACCCTTATCAAGAACTAACTGTTAGCACCTTCATGTACAATCTCTCTGTAAGCCTATAACTGAACATACCCTTATCAAGAACTAACTGTTAGCACCTTCATGTACAATCTCTCTGTAAGCCTATAACTGAACATACCCTTATCAAGAACTAACTGTTAGCACCTTCATGTACAATCTCTCTGTAAGCCTATAACTGAACATACCCTTATCAAGAACTAACTGTTAGCACCTTCATGTGTTAGCAGCCCTGAACATCATGAACTAACTGTTAGCACCTTCATGTACAATCTCTCTGTAAGCCTATAACTGAACATACCCTTATCAAGAACTAACTGTTAGCACCTTCATGTACAATCTTATCTGTTAGCACCTTCATGTACAATCTCTCTGTAAGCCTATAACTGAACATACCCTTATCAAGAACTAACTGTTAGCACCTTCATGTACAATCTCTCTGTAAGCCTATAACTGAACATACCCTTATCAAGAACTAACTGTTAGCACCTTCATGTACAATCTCTCTGTAAGCCTATAACTGAACATACCCTTATCAAGAACTAACTGTTAGCACCTTCATGTACAATCTCTCTGTAAGCCTATAACTGAACATACCCTTATCAAGAACTAACTGTTAGCACCTTCATGTACATCTCTGTAAGCCTATAACTGAACATACCCTTATCAAGAACTAACTGTTAGCACCTTTCATGTACAATCTTATCTCTGTAAGCCTATAACTGAACATACCCTTATCAAGAACTAACTGTTAGCACCTTCATGTACAATCTCTCTGTAAGCCTATAACTGAACATACCCTTATCAAGAACTAACTGTTAGCACCTTCATGTACAATCTCTGTAAGCCTATAACTGAACATACTCTTATCAAGAACTAACTGTTAGCACCTGTTATGCACCTTCATGTACTGAACATCTCTTATCAAGAACTAACTGTTAGCACCTCATGTAATCTCTGCCTATAACTGAACATACCCTTATCAAGAACTAACTGTTAGCACCTTCATTCATGTACAATCTCTCTGTAAGCCTATAACTGTACAAGCCTATAACTGAACAACCCTTATCTCTGTAGCACCTTCATGTACAATCTCTCTGTAAGCCTATAACTGAACATACCCTTATCAAGAACTAACTGTTAGCACCTTCATGTACAATCTCTCTGTAAGCCTATAACTGAACATACCCTTATCAAGAACTAACTGTTAGCACCTTCATGTACAATCTCTGTAAGCCTATAACTGAACATAGCCCTTATCAAGAACTAACTGTTAGCACCTTCATGTACTGTAAGCCTATAACTGAACATCTCAAGAACTAACTGTTAGCAGCTCTGTAAGCCTATAACTGAACATACCCTTATCAAGAACTAACTGTTAGCACCTTCATGTACAATCTCTCTCTGAACAAGCCTATAACTGAACATGTACACCTCTTATCAAGAACTAACTGTTAGCACCTTCATGTACAATCTCTGTAAGCCTATAACTGAACATACCCTTATCAAGAACTAACTGTTAGCACCTTCATTCACTCTCTGTAAGCCTATAACTGAACATACCCTTATCAAGAACCAACTGTTAGCACCTTCATGTACAAGCCTAAGCCTATAACTGAACATACCCTTATCAAGAACTAACTGTTAGCACCTTCATGTACAATCTCTCTGTAAGCCTATAAATCTCTCTGTAAGCCTATAACTGAACAAGCTCTTATCAAGAACTAACTGTTAGCACCTTCATGTACAATCTCTCTGTAAGCCTATAACAGAACAAGCTCTTATCAAGAACTAACTGTTAGCACCTTCATGTGTAAGCCAAGCCTATAAGCCTATAACTGAACATACCCTTATCAAGAACTAACTGTTAGCACCTTCATGTACAATAACTGAACATCTGTAAAGCCTATAACTGAACATACATACCCTTATCAAGAACTAACTGTTAGCACCTTCATGTACAATCTCTCTGTAAGCCTATAACTGAACATACCCTTATCAAGAACTAACTGTTAGCACCTTCATGTACAATCTCTCTGTAAGCCTATAACTGAACATACCCTTATCAAGAACTAACTGTTGCACCTTATGTACACTCTGTAAGCCTATAACAGAACATACCCTTATCAAGAACTAACTGTTAGCACCTTCATGTACAATCTCTCTGTAAGCCTATAACTGAACATACCCTTATCAAGAACTAACTGTTAGCACCTTCATGTACAATCTCTCTGTAAGCCTATAACTGAACATACCCTTATCAAGAACTAACTGTTAGCACCTTCATGTACAATCTCTCTGTAAGCCTATAACTGAACATACCCTTATCTAACTGAACATACCCTTATCAAGAACTAACTAACTGTTAGCACCTTCATGTACAATCTCTCTGTAAGCCTATAACAGAACATACCCTTATCAAGAACTAACTGTTAGCACCTTCATGTACAATCTCTCTGTAAGCCTATAACAAGAACCAACCTGAGCAAACGGGACCAGCAGGCTTTTAAACATCTTGATACCATTCTTTTGCATGTAGGCTAAATATTCAGCAGTTGCCCTTTGCACTGAAAAACATGACGACGTACATCAATGTGTAATATTTTAACCAATGTTAGAGATGGCAGATAATTTTGTGAAGGAATCCCCTCAGGATTAGACCGTAAAATATCTTTGCAGTGATGTAAACAATTCAAATGTAAGACTCTCAGTTGATTGAAAAATATCTTTGTATCTGACACCCACTTGGCTTGACTGGCAAGTCTTGGATGTTTACCACATTGGTAACATACACAACACTGGTAATGCTGACAAAGCCTGTACACTGAAACATAATCTGGGCTGCTCTGCGATCAAGACCCGCAATCAGTAGTTACTGGTGCCTAAAGGAAGCAACAATGGAGGTGCCCATGCAGGCGCTTCACTATATCTGGTTACAACACACTTGCTATTGCATCTCCACTTGCACGGGCGTCGGTCATCCGCTCCTGCAGACGTGTCATGACGGGGGCATGGTTATGCATCAGTGCTGCATTTTGCTGTGACTTGATCACCAATGGGAACACCAGCATCCTCAAGCACACGGTTCCTGTAGGTACGGTAAATAATCACAGTGCTTAAAATATCAAATAACAATCAGAAGAGGCAAAATTGGGTGGGTTTTTTTTACTTTATATTATGATTCAACAATGTCCAGAAGGAAATTCACAGTATTACTACACTTTTCGTTTATATTCTTACTCCAAGAGTAAACAGTCGACAACAGACAAACAACATATTCTTACTAGATAATCCTGATTAAACATTGGTCATTGAGCCAGTTCGATATTTAATTAAAAGTGAAAGCTTATCACTAATATTACATGATAGAACTAACAATTCTTTCCTGTTCACAATAGATGGAACCTTGAGCCTCACCTATCATGATGGCGGCCCACCAGGGCACATCTAATCCCACATGGAGAACCTTGAGCCTCACCTATCATGATGGCGCCCCACCAGGGTACATCTAAACCCAAATGGAGAACCTTGAGCCTCACCTATCATGATGGCGCCCCACCAGGGTACATCTTATCCCACATGGAGAACCTTGAGCCTCACCTATCATGATGGCGCCCCACCAGGGCACATCTAATCCCATATGGAGAACCTTGAGCCTCACCTATCATGATGGCGCCCCACCAGGGCACATCTAATCCCACATGGAGAACCTTGAGCCTCACCTATCATGATGGCGCCCCACCAGGGTACATCTTATCCAACATGGAGAACCTTGAGCCTCACCTATCATGATGGCGCCCCACCAGAGCACATCTTATCCCACATGGATAACCTTGAGCCTCACCTATCATGATGGCGCCCCACCAGGGCACATCTTATCCCACATGGAGAACCTTGAGCCTCACCTATCATGATGGCGCCCCACCAGGGCACATCTAATCCCACATGGAGAAGTTCCAGAGCCTGCTGGACCACACCACTGGGGCTCCATCCTCCCAGCCCCAGACTCTCTATGGATGGCTCTCCAAGTGCATTCAAAGTTTCAGCCAATTGTGGGGCTTCAGGAAGGGGTGGTGGCTCTGGGATGTAGTCTGAGGTCGGGAGAGGAGCAGCCTAGAGGAAGTACAGGTTTGTTGTTACCATCAAACCAAATCAATATCATATGCTGTTAAAGTCTGCTATCAAACAAATCTTCATGGACCATCCATTCATTAAGTTAGTCGAAATGATCCTACCCAGAATCCCCAAGCAAAAGTGTGTATGCAGTTGTCAACAATATATAACTCTGGAAAGACAAATGTCTATTGATACTCTGATAGAATGATATCAGGTCGTGATAAAAGAGTCAGGAGATGGACTGCACAGGACCTGCTATACCCTCAAATATCCTTAATTGTGTGCAGTACAGATATATCATAATTAAAGATCACATATACTCTAGGGAGTACAAATACATAAATCATTTATTGGCATCGTTATAAATGAAACCCCCGTCATTAAAACTACTAATTTGACCTTTAACTTATATCAACCTTTTTGACAACAGTGCACAATTCACTCCTGCGAACGAAATTTCAACCAATCAGAGGGGCGTGTCTCCGCGACATAATGTGAGGTATACATACGAGGGGCGCTGTAGAATTCACGTACATTTCCGGGGGTAATTATCTTGTTTACAGGCTTGTTTAAACCTGCAATCATGACAATTGTTGTGAAAAGTGAAATCTTTATGTTTTCACAATCTACTGTCATTTAATCTTGTCACCTGCTTTGCCTAATTTCCGAGTTACAATTTGTTTTCATGGACGATTCTGTCAAAGTCGCTAGGCCTTATTTGTTCGAGCCAGACGCTAGTGATAGTGAAAACAGTGATCAGCCTCGCTCATCACGGTTACAAGAAGATCAACTAGTATCTATACATACTGGTGAGTGGACGTTAACCATGTGATTGTGAATGTAGCAAGGAATTTAGTGCGCAATATTGTCACTTCGACACTCACCTCCCTTTACTAATTTCAATAATGTAATTTTTATGATAAAAGTAATATTTTATATTTATCCTTACTCATGCTTATTTGCTTTCTCATCCTCTCTTCCGAACAGTCAAGTGGAAACTTGAATCCCTTCAATCCCCTTGAAGCGAACATACAATCACTCACCCTGAATTACCTCCCTATTCCCGCCAAAACTGGCACGTGACCTGCCATGCCTTGCTCCTCACTCTCTCCGATATAAGCCCCACGCAGGTTTACAGGGAAACCCGTGTGGTGTGAGGGGACGGTTGGGAGGGCTTCATCTCATGAGTCAGGATAAGTATAAAATATTAATTTTATCATAAAAATTACATATTTTTCCTTATTCTGACTCATGTTTATTTGCTTACTGAATCCGACGGAATCGGTGGTGGGTCAACCACCTAGCGGGATTCCCTGTATGATTGTATTCACGTCAGCGTTCACTTGATATATACCCCCTGGGAATATTCTTCTTCTGTGGCTAACTTCAATATTTCTTGATGCTTGTCGGGGGACCACCTTCTTATACATTCGAATTGGAAGTAAACTTCTTAAGTTTTGTGGATTTAGTATACTAGACGCCTGGTTGTCTAGATATCTGCAACGACCCAATATGTTACGGTAAGAACTTTACCGAAACTGGAATCGAGACCCATCTGTTAAGGCAAGAACATTACCATAACTGAGTCTATGTATCACTCATGCCCTGACTTATCTCGTAAGTCAGGGGGACATGGACTCTCAGCCGGTGGCAATGGACAGTTGCCTGGCGTCAACGAATCTGCGTGACAAGGGTGAGTTTCTTCAACGTCTGGCCAGTACAGTGAGTTGTTGCGCTATGACTAGAGGGCCGAACTGGTGTATCCCTGATACGTCTTCTGTGGAGATGTCTCTCAGGTAGTGATTAGCGAAGACAGTATCTGACTTCCAAAAGCAGCCTTCCATTATAGATGATATAGAGCAGATTCAATGTAGGGCGAGTGTCGAGGCCAAAGCTCTAACTTCATGTGGGATATGGTTAAGACGTCGACAGCCCATGCCAGCGGGTCTGGCACTGGTGAGACGAACGTTATCACCTGCTGGTTGAAACGGGTAGCAAACAGGTCGATGAGGGGATGGCCTTGTTGAGTTGTTACCCACTGGAACGCTTCTGGATGTAACTTCCACTCTGTCGGAGACGGACGTACTGGTCTGGATAGGGCGTCGGCTAGGACGTTCTTTGCCCCTGAGATGTGGCAAGCCCTCATCTTCAGGTTGATTTCGTCTGTGATGTCAAACAGCTGGAACGTCAGTTAAAGCAACGGCGCTGATCTCGTGGACCCTTGCAGATTTCTGTAAAAGGCCACAGTGGAGTTGTCCATGTGTATCATCAGGACCTGATCTTCTAACTGCACCGCCCAATATAGAACTGCTTCTATTACTGCTTTCAGTTCTAGCTGGTTTCAGTTCTTCTCTGTTTGTGACCACTGCCCAGCTGCAACCTCGTCGTTGAGATGTGCCCCCCAGCCTTGGAGGGACGCATCCACGTAGAGATGAAGATCGTACTCTGGCTCTCTCAAATAGGTTCCGCCGCAAACATTCGATCTTACTGTCCGACAAAGCAGGTACTGCTTTAGATGTTGCGGGACTTCTGGACATCTTCTAGATGAGCTATCAGGAACCTCTGTAGCGGTCGAAGTTGCAATCTTCCTCTGCGTGCGAGAGCCTGCGTCGACGTCAGTAGACCCAAGAGTCGCTGCCACGTTCTTAAGTCTAGTGGAGAGTTGAGGGCCTCTGGTATGCACGACTGGATGCTCTGCCATCTGGTACCAGGATGCGGTTCTCTAACTTCAGGAATCTGATGCCCAGGAACTGTAGATCTTGGGTCGGCTCGAGCTCCGACTTCTGATGATTCACCAGCCAGCCCAACTGTGTCAGCAGGTTGATCGTAAACTGCAGCTGTAGTCTGAGTTGATCTGCATCTTGATGTGCCTGGATGCCGTCTAGGTAGAAGGCACTGCGTAGCCCCTTCTGATGGAGATAAGCGACAATCGGTTTGGTTATTCGCGTAAATAACCACGGGGCCCACGAAATTCCAAAGGGCAGGACCTTCCACTGGTAGCGCCGCCCTTCGAACAGGAATCGCAGGTACTTCCGTGATTCTGAGTGCATCGGGAAATGTAGATAGGCATCTTGCAGATCTATGCTGGCCATGAAGTCGTTGGGTCGAATAAGATGTCTCAGCTGAGGTAGATGTAGCATCTTGAACTTCTCTGGTTTCAACAGGTAATCTCTGTTGAAGCTCTTCATGTTGAAGATAAGTCGAAACTTCTGTTTGGAGTTCTTTTTGGGTACTAGGAAAATTGGAGAGTAATACCTGGGCGTGAGTCTGCGTTGATTGACGACCTCTACCGCACCTTTCATCAATAACATCTCGATAGCTTCAGTGAGCTTGTCTGGCTGCAGCTGCGGATACTTGAAGACCAAGGGATTGTTGGTCAATGGCGGTGTCGACTACAACTGGATACTGTAGCCCTCTCGTAATACTTCTATGACATAGTCGTCCTGTAGTACTCTCCAATTCTCCCAGTATAGACCCAACCGTCCATCCACGGTTGACGGTTGAACAGGAACGGCTGGGAGTCGAAGACGCCAGTCGTTCCAAACCTGATCTTCAACAACGGGACCTCCGGCCGGAGTAACTTCTGGTATTACTTGGGCGACGAAAAGATCCTGAGTTGCCGCCACATGTAGACGGGAACTTCTTCTCTTTGGACCTCTGTATACCTGAGAAGCGGGATCGTAGTTGACTGCGCTGAGTAGATTGACGCACCATGGTGTTCATCGTCTGGACCGACTTGATCAACATCAAGTCCTTGGAATCTTGAGTTACTGCACACGACAACTGCCGGATGCCGCCGTCAAACAGTGTAGGCGCTGCCCAAGGTTTTCGTAGTAAAGGCTTGGTGTAGACATCTGGCCATGTAGGGAACTCAGCAGCCGCTGACGATGTGATAGTGTGATGCCGCCGACGTAGAGGCCAAGTGATTGGAGATAAACTCCTGATCCTTGCGCTGTAACACTAGTGTAGACGGGATCATTCTTTCTTCTTCCGTCTTAGGATGCTTGAAAGCACACATCAGCCCTTCGTTGATGGCTCTGGACCTTGCTAACCCGTAGAAAGCCCTACGGGTTGTCGTATCAAGCTGTGCCAACTTCTTGTCTTCCATCTTGTAACTGCGAGACTTCGAGTCTGATACAAGGTAGAAATCTTCATCGATGTCAGGCACCTTGTTTAAGTGGTCCATGTTATGATGCCGGAACCATCTAGTGCTGAACTGCGGAGTATGCTGCCCTTGCGTCTTTGAAGCCTTTTCAAAGGCTGTTTTCAGGTTGTCTGCAACCTGCGCAATGGGTTTCATCGGCGGTATGGTAATCGACTCGAAGTCATCTTTCTTCATGCAGTATGTCTCGGCCGGATTGAGTCTCTGGATGGAGACGATATCGGGAGACCATCAGCCACCCATGCCAGCACCTCTGCCTCAGTGAAGACGAAATCATCATCTTCTGTAGGTTGTCCCAGCTCAGCTGCTAGGCTCTGACTAGAGATGTCTACACTGACTGCTGACGACGTAGTAAAGGACCGGTCTGCGATGTCTGCCATCATCTCGCCCTCTGCAGCGTTGTTCTAAGGAACTGTCTGCTTCTTCTCCCGCTCTAGCCTCTTCTCCATGGCCTGCATCACCCTACGGGTGATGGTGTCAGCAAAATCTTCAACGTTGAGGACCTCTGCGTTCGTAATCGGATGCTGCTGCGGGATGACTGCAACTGACTCGTCTGTCGACATCGCTAACAATGTAGCGTTTTCAAACACCAAAGGGTTCTCAGCTGACATCTGCTGCAACTGCTGCGGTAGACTGCCAACAGGAAGAAGTAACATCTTCGACGCTCTCACAGCATCACTGCCAAGGGTAGACTACGACGATGACATCGGCGACGTCATACTTCTAATCTGCGCTGACAAGTTCTCAGCACTGGATACTCTCTGCGACGCTGCAAGGAAGACCTCAGGCTGCAACACTGGAGGTCCCAAAGGACTGGAACCAACTACTTCAGCACCAGGCGCCCCAACATCTGTTGAAGGTCGTTGCATAGGGTTATGCAACGACGACCTCGAAGATCTTGTAGAGTGGAAGATCTAGATGAGTGCCTGGATGACGTGGACTGCTTCCCTGAAGAGGCCGTCCCGTGTTTCTTATGTTGCGCCGTCTCTGCCTGTGGGGACTTCCTTTTACTTACAGTACGTGGGGTAGACTTCTCCCCTACTGGTGGCATCGCAGACTTTGACTGGGATGACATCGTAGATCAGCACAGCTCTCAAGACGTAGTCGCAGCAACTCACAGCACTCAAGACTGTATCACCTTCTCACGCAGGCTGGTTGAATCGGACAACAGGTTGTATAACTTTAGGCTCAAATTTTTCAATCACATGTGAATTTTTTTTATAAGTCTGATATTTCACAATTCAACAGATATATGAAGTCATAAATTCAATATATACACATGATTATAGACAATAATCAAACATCAAGACATATTCAAACCGTAAACCAGCCAAGAAGAACACCCAGGGTGTAAATCAAGCGTTGAGACGTGATGGACTGTTGTTTACATTGAAAACATGTGAACAAACAGTCACCTGGAACGAAGTGAAATTGTGAATTAATTTGACATACAATGTACACATTTTGTTATAAATATGATAATCAACATATTTAGAAACACAATCATGGCAGAATTTGTGCTATATATCCAAAATATTTGAAGTTAAAGCCGCGAAGGGACCCTGAAGTGACTGCCCAACCGTCCACTTTAGCGATAGAGGAGAGAGTGAGGAGCAAGGCATGGCAGGTCACGTGCTAGTTTTGGTGGGAAAAGGGAGGTTATTCAGGGTGAGTGATAGTGGTGGTCCGATTAATTGAAATAATCGAAGATTGGTCACAATGACAAAACGACCAAGCGATCGATCATATTTCTCATAATCGGACACAAATAATTTTGGACCACTTGTTTGCAATAACAATATTTTTCAAAAGGTTTATTTTGTCTCGACATTGCATAAGCACTACAAGCTCGTTCCAAGTCATGATTAAGTTTATCTTAACAACTCCAGGAAATGTATGTTCCTAACACACTAGTCATCCTTTAAAGATGTGAAATTTGCAAATGCATTTTGTGCAATTTGTGAAAAAAAACGAGTTTTTTCTTTATTGTTTGTGCATTAACAAACATAACCAGGAAAATTTGATAAATGATGCTAACCAATTATTTTCGATGATTGATCGGTTGTAATGAACCAATCATCAATTATGAGATTTACACCAATTCCCAACACTAGTGAGTGATTGTACGTTCGCTTCAAGGGAATTGAAGGGATTCAAGTTTCCACTTGACTGTTCGGAAGAGAGGATGAGAAAGCAAATATGCATGAGTCAGGATAAGGAAAACTTTATTGTTACTACGACCACAACCTCACTTCTGAGGAAGAAAACGTTATGTTACAAGTTGTGTCATGCAAAATCCTTTTGGTAATCAATCATATGTATACATAATTTACTATAAGTAGTAAGTAGTTTTGATTTTTTTAACTCCCTGATCTGAACACAAGTAAAATATGTTCCAGGATTCCACAACAATCGATTCGCACTCACAAACATGAATCATTTAGCATGAACTGCGGGGTTCGGTGAAAATCTGTGCATGGTGACACCATCACGATTCAGCATGTCTTCATTGACATCGAGAAATCAGCAAAATGACGAGCTTGTTACACATATTATATACAACTGAAAATCCTTCCTCACATAACGTCACTTCCGGTTCGCTGCAGCGCTCTGGTGACAGAGCTACGTAACCTCTCTGTGGTTTTGTTGGCGGGCGAGAGAGAAGCAGACTACTTTTTGGCAACTTTTAATTGCTCGGTATTAATTAACAAGTTTTTTAAGAATGAATTTGGTGTTCCGCTTAAGACTAACCACATATCTTTCATATGTAATGGTTAAAAAAGTACAAAAAACAAAGTTTATTCGTTCTTTAAGCAACTTGATCAAACCATGCCGGCAGTGTTACTGTTAGTATTAAACATAATACAGAATGATAAATCTTCAACTACCATTGGGTCATTCTCTTCCCACAGAGGTTACTCCTGTCATATCTTCCTACGTAACCTCTGTTCTAATACGGCCATATTTCCCGGTTCTTGTAAAATCCCCTAGCGGCAAAAGATCGCAACACGAATTATCTCCCTTTCTTTCTATCCAATTAGAACACGTGTTACATCGACTTAGATTCAACTTGACTAACACAAGCAAATGTGAGGCCACAAATATCCCCCATCTGCCGGGGACTTGTATTGATGTTACACACAAGACGTTTAATGGCTAGCTTGTCCGTTGTCAACGAGGGCGATGGAGACGCCACTGATCCGCCATAACATGACTGAGTTCTGTCTAGAAGAAACGTTTGCGCATCGCGCAGGGGAAGAGGTTTAGTTTTCTCGAAGTATACGGAAATTACCGAGGCCTTGCGAATGATCACTTTTGAAACGTCGCTGATTGCACAACTAAATCTGATTGTCTCCAATCACGAGTCTTGAACGCTCACACCATGAAAGGGCTGTATTAGAACAGAGGTTACGTAGGAAGATATGACAAGAGTAACCTCTGTGGGAAGAGAATGCCATTGGGTCTGAGGAGGTAATCTTCAATTATTTTCCCATAGCTACCTGTCTTCTTGAAAGTTTGATTGGTTACTCACATTTTCCGCTGTTGTACTCTTGCCACGGATTATCGGAAGAACACAGACAATGGCAGGCCTATTCAAATGATGTCGGCCACTGATTCGTAACTGACACAGAAAACTCTGTGATCTGACACTTGTATGCAGTCTTTTGGCCTGAAAAGAGTGAATATATACTTCCTTTCAAATCAAAAGTTGAACTCATTTAAACACTCACTATAATGTTATGCTTATATATATATGGTTATATCAAAGATTGATTTCTTCACTAACTTGGGGGAGCCAATAGCAAACCTTATGCAGATGAATTGAAAGAGGATTATGCATCAAATTGCTGAAAAGCATGTGCAAATATCGTGCATGTGAATAGCTGCGTTTTGGTGTAAAGTTTTGTTAAGAATTTGCCAGTTTTCACTGATTTGTATCATTTATCAAACTCATGACAATAATCTTTTCAGCATTTTGAATTTGTTTTACAATACATCAGTTCATGTGTAAACAGTTTAAAGAGTATGGAATATTTGGCAAAATTTATTTTAGAATTGTTGCCTGCAGTAAGGAGCTATATTTAAACTAGTGAGACTAAACTTTGGAAATAAAGTATATTAATAACTATAAACTCAACTACCTGTTGTGGCTATGACATACAATACTGCACAAATAACAGTGGTGCACCGGACACACAGAAAGAAAGAATGGTTTTGTATCTGACAACCCAAACAGATTCTTGTGACCTTCAAACTTTGATATTTTCGGACTTTAATGTATAAGTGTTTTGCTAAGAATAGGTGTTTACTTTCAAACGAAATCTTTCCAATCATGTCAGGAGTTTAATACGTGGTACTCGGATTTACTTCTCACTCATCATGTACACCGCAATCGCTAATATTAACACGAAGCCAAAATACACATGTGAACTGTCATTTTCCTCAATCCGGCATTTCGGAGGTAGTGTTCAGGTCACATCCAAACTGCAGACTTTCTAGACAAGAACGTATCGATTTACACTTAAGAGTTCTTGAAGTAGGTAACGTACACCAATCCATGTGTTCGTATTAAGAGCCGACAAAGTCTTCTGTTTGTGAATTTCTCTCGCACAAAGTCGCACATGCTTCCAACTGGCAGCCATTTTTGAACTCTTGGGACATATATATCCACAATTAATGTCTGTATGAGAAATGTTGACACGTCAAAAACACAATATCTTGTTATATACTATATTTATATTACAATATAGATATATTTTCTATATGAAATACTAAATAAGGGCCATAACATGTCGTCTGTATAACTACAAGCGTGGTTTAAGAGTATTTCAAACAGATAACCTATTTTGACAACTTATTATATATTTTATTTCATATATGTGTATAAAATGTACATTTCCCATTATGAATGCTACTCAACCACATATAAGATATCAGTGTAAGAAAGATAATACACAAATTTATTTGTTGTATTCACAAGTCAATTTTTAAACAATAATGCTAAATTGGTTAGTGTTCATAACCGTTTGACTGGGCAATAGTATGTCAAGCAAACATGGCGGCTATTGTCAGAGTGAAACGACGTAGAAGTGAAGAACCCGTCGAATCCCTGGTATTTTCCAGTAAAAGATTGAAAGAAAATGACAGCCAGGAAGGAAGCAGTAACAAAGAAATTACTGGTTTACTTAAGTTTGCTGGGACAGTACCTTTACAGGTCAGCTGAACAGTTACGAAACCATCCAAATAATTCTTGTAAATGCATTGTGCCGCTCCATGTGACATGTCACACGTTTTTATCAAAGCACGTGGGATAGTTTCCACCACGGGAACTTATGTGCTCGTTATTAAATAGTAACGTTGTTAATTCTCCGTAATAACCATTTATTGTTTGGGGAGAACTGTCCAAGGATACTGAACTTCAGAAGTGCAAACTCACCAGTCCATGTTATTGTTTTTACATTTAACAGTTGTTTCCTTTCTTTATATTGAAACGAAAGTATACTTTATCATATGTCAAACTGCAAATGGGTTAGAGAGGTATGTGACCATGTCTTAAGTGAATTCATCCCTCTTCAACTGCTATTAAATCTTACACTGAGTTCTCATGGTTTTGTCACAGTGGAAACGTGCTACTGACAAACTGTAAGAGACCACTACGTTTACCTTAGTTCATTATATGCATTTTGACAAAAATGTACAGCATGTTGCGGAGTAAAAATCCCACCAGGATTGTTATCTCTGTCAATTCTAAGCTTGCTCATTATGAACATAGTTTACTGTATTCAGTTGAGTGATGCACACTTCATTTATTTTAGGAAACTAATGTTTCAACATTCATCAGAGAAGCCATCAAAAAAGACAAATTGCAAAAAGAATACAAGAGCCACAGCCAAAGCCATGACAGCTGGACAGTGCGACAGAGGAACCACCAGAGACAGCAGTCAAGATCCAACAGATACAAGGTGGTATCCAGTTTGAGGTCTCCTCAGTTGGACAAACTTGACACAGTAGACAATGGGGGACAAGATGGGTGTAACCAACAGAAGAAACAACCAGGGAAAGAAGAAACCCCAAGTACAAGTCAAGTGAGTGATGGTGTTTTGACAGACAATGGTGTCAGTGTTCCGGAGAAGATGTTCTGTTTGTTTGATGTAGAAGAGGAGGCTGTGAATCATATCAGGGTGAGTACCTCCAAGTCACATCTCATTCTGTCTTCGTTTAGATATAAATAGTAATCAATAATAATCAATAGTACCTAAACATATGTTCACACTAGTGATCATGATGTTACTAGTCAGGACATTTACTTAACATATTCGCAGTGACCATTAGTGTTTGGGACAGTCCCAACACTTGTACTGACTGCTTTGATCATTAGTGTTTGGGACAGTCCCAACACTTGTACTGACTGCTTTGACCATTAGTGTTTGGGACAGTCCCAACACTTGTACTGACTGCTTTGATCATTAGTGTTTTGGACAGTACCAATACTTGTAATGACCATTTTGATCATTTGTGTTTGGGACAGTTCCAGCACTGACCACTTTGATCATTAGTGTTTGGGACAGTACCAATATGTGTACTGACTACTTTGATCATTAGTGTTTGGGACAGTACCAATAGTCCAATACTTGTATTGACCATTTGTGTTTGCAGTACCAGCACTGGATATTTTGATCATCAGTGTTTGGGACAGTACCAGCACTGACCACTTTGATCAGTGTGTGGATAGTACCAACACTTGCCCTGAAGACTGTTGCCATCAGCCATAGTAGTTAATAGGGGGGTATTTAATGTGGGGTTGATGTTTTCACAAGTGGCATAGCCTTTCTAAAACAAGCTGGCTTCATTTCTTTAATACCTTAATGCAGAAATATTTATCTTAAGCAACTTATGTAGTATCCCTTTGTTGATGATGGCTTTGACCTCCTGTGAAGGTTTGTTAGCTGTCCGGATGTATCAGAGGACAAAGTCTGATGTGAGTGAGATTGTTATGAACTGAGATATCACTGACTATTTTCAGACTGCATTGCCCAGCACAGCACCTGCTGCTCCCTCCTCCACATACAGCAACATAACATGCAACTCAGTGCCCATGGTCCGTGAGGCTGTAGGCAGGCAGAGAGAGAGTGAGTACGTGTACGACCTGTATTACACCAACAGCCAACAGCTGGACTTCAGACAGCTGCAGGACTTCCTCACCATCCAGGCGTTTGGAGATGAACTTGTGTTTGCGGACAATCGTGCTGATGAAGAGGAATTTGTTGAGGTGTATGATGATGAGGATGACAGTAATGATGAAGGAAACTGGAGGAATGATTACCCTGAGGAAGACCCTCACTTCATTGAGAACCATGAACAGGAGTACAGCTATGGAGATGGTACAAGTCTTTTCATGTTGCCTCAACACTGCGCTTTTCTCTTAACACCGAATGTTTTCCCTTGACACTGCATGTGTCCCCCAATCCTGCACTGCACATTTCTCTTGACACTGCACATGTCCTTTAATACACATTTTGCATGATGCTGCACAGGTTTCCCTCAAAACTGAATAGGACAGAGTCCTGTGTTACTACACAACCCTTTTTGGAATACCTCTGTTCTATTGTGGTAGTTACCCGTGACACGGTTGTTGCCATAGCTTCATTCAGAGTGTGATTAGAATGACGAGACTCTTCACTTCCAAAACCAACCTGAGATGATGAATGGGTCCAGGGTGTGTATAGTATACACAGCACTAAAATTAAAGGGATGCACCGTATCACTGATCCGTTGGTCATTGGTAACGTACACATGTACAAGGGGTCATGTTTAAAAAAATGTTTTAAGTGGAGACGTTTCCTTTTACATGTACAGGGGTTGAATTGTAAAAGGTTGTCAGGGGCCCTTCTTTTTCTACCTTTACCTGAATTTCCTTTTCCAGATGATGTTGGTCACCACAGATATGACACCGGAGACCCTCTGGCTTCATTCATGGCAGCTAGCTGTAATATTCGTAAGTGTCCACAGGCAGAATGCTGGATGCCTGGTGCTTACATTTAGTGGAATCTGATTATTCGTTACTTCTGTTCATTGTGATTCAGAGTGTTCTGTAAGTAATGGACTGTCTGCTCTGCACAGGCAGGTTCTGTAGGTATCAGACTGTGATTTCTGCATGTAGTGGACTCTGTGTTCTGCTGGTACTGGACTGTGTATTCTGCAGATTTCAGACAGTGTGTTCTGAATGTAGTGGACCGTGTTCTGCTAGTAGTGGACTGTGTGTTCTGCATGTAGTGGACTGTGTGTTCTGCATGTAGTGGACTGTGTGTTCTGCATGTAGTGGACTGTGTTCTGCTAGTAGTGGACTGTGTGTTCTGCATGTAGTGGACTGTAGGTTCTGCATGTAGTGGACTGTGTGTTCTGCATAGTGTTGGGTATTGGTTGAAATCTCACAATTGATGATTGGTTCATCAGACATTCAACATTTTTCAGATTTTCCAATTCAGGTTGTAATTGCAGATAAGTATAACAAGATGCAACTTGCTACTTTAAAGTGATGACGAAATTTCCTGTACAGAAACTTCCTGGAGTCGTCAGCTTTTTGAGAATTAAACAATTATGGCTCTGACAACTTCTAAGATATGTTCAATCATCAAGTGTTTCAAACACTAAAACAGTAGTTCCAAAATCGTTTGTGTTCGATTATGAAAAAATGTCATCAATTGCTTGGTCGTTTGGTCCCTGCCACCAATTTGCGATTATTTGAATTAATCAGAACACCACCAGTTTTGCACATAGTGGACTGTGTGTTCTACATGTTGTGGACTGTGGGGGTCTGCATGTAGCAGACTGTGTGCTCTGCATGTAGTAGACTGTTAGTTCTGCATGTAGTGGACTGTGTTCTGCATGTAGCGGACTGTTGGGGTCAGCATGTAGAGGACTGTGCTCTGCATGTAGCGTGTTGCGTACTGTGTGCTCTGCATGTAGGAGACTGTGTTCTGCATGTAGTAGACTGTGTTCTGCACGTAGCGGACTGTGTGTTCTGCACGTAGCAGACTCTGTGTTCTGCATGTAGTGGACTGTGTGTTCTGCATCTGGTGGACTGTGTGTTCTGCATGTAGATGACTGTGTTCTGAAAGTAGCTGACTGTGGTCCTGCATGATTATTAAGTTTAGTTATTGTCAACTTCAATGCATTTTTATCCCACCGGCATGTAATGCGGTGGGATATAATTGTCGCCTCGCCTGTCTGTCCATCCGTCTGTCCATAATCATTTTGTTTCCAGAGCATAACTCAAAGACTGTTTGATATTTTTCAACAAAACTTGGTAGATATATCAAACAGAACCTTAAGTGGTGCCTTTTGCTATTAGCAGATTTTTGGCATTTTGCTATTTGCAGATTTTGGCATTTTTATTTTTCCCGGTTTCCATGGAAACGATTCGGACTTAGTCCCAAAATGAGGGGTGGGTTTCGTTTCTGGAGCACAACTGGAAAACTTCTCAATATCTTTCAGCAAAACTTGGCAGATATGTGAGTCAGATCTTGAAGTGGTGCCTTTTGCTATTTGCAGATTTTTGTCATTTTTATTTTTCTCGGTTTCCATGGAAACGTTTCAGACTTAGTCTCAAAAGGGAGGGTAGGTGGAAAACTTCTTAATATCTTTCAGCAAAACTTGGCAGATATGTGAGTCAGATCTTGAAGTGGTGCCTTTTGCTATTTGCAGATTTTTGTCATTTTTATTTTTCTCGGTTTCCATGGAAACGTTTCAGACTTAGTCTCAAAAGGGCGGGGTAGGTTTCGTTTCCGGAGCACAACTGGAAAACTTCTTAATATCTTTCAGCAAAACTTGGCAGATATGTGAGTCAGATCTTGAAGTGGTGCCTTTTGCTATTTGCAGATTTTTGTCATTTTTATTTTTCTCGGTTTCCATGGAAACGTTTCAGACTTAGTCTCAAAAGGGCGGGGTAGGTTTCGTTTCCGGAGCACAACTGGAAAACTTCTTAACATCTTTCAGCAAAACTTGGCAGATGTGTGAGTCAGATCTTGAAGTGGTGCCTTTTGCTATTTGCAGATTTTTGTCATTTATTTTTTTCATGATTTCCATGGAAACGATTTGCACTTAGTCTAAAATCAAGCTGGACTTTAAGTAACTGTCAGATAATTTGTTCTTTCAAAGATGTGGGGGCCGGGGGGATATGTCATTTTCTGATGACTCTTGTTTAACACAGTTTTACAAATAGAACTTGCGGATATACAAGGATTTGATATTTACCAACATCATTATTAGTCCAACTAGGCATTATCAGACGTTAGACTAATATTCATTTAGTCACTTCAGCCATAGCTGCCCCTGCTGTGATATGGGTAAAATATTGCCATCTCTCACACTTCTTCTGGGTCCCTGCAGGTACCAGTGGGGTGCCACAGGAGGATGGTTTGGAGTATGACGTACTGGCTGGTCCTCAGAGGTCCTACGATTCCTACTACCGGTCCATGCTACAGGACCTAGGGGAGGACCTGGTGGATGAGGGTGATGATGAAGAGGACGACTACGATGTCAGATGAATTGTGGACAGTACAGTAACACAAGACGTCATGTATTTACAAGTGCAATGAATTGTCGTCAGTCCTCCATGAGAACACAGTATTCTTCATGTCAGCAGGGAAATCATAGCTGTTATGTTCAAGCACTGTCTTGCTGGAGATACATTCATTGGTGTATTATGTTTTAGTCTGGCTTAAGTATAGTGGTGTGACAGACTAGTTTAATGACAATCCATCTCTGATCTACCTGCTGTCCGAGTCTGGCTTATGAAACTCATTGGTTCTGTAGACTTTAAAGAAGTCGTCTTCACAGGCTTGTGGCTCTGAAGTATGTTTTTTGTTTGAAAAATAATATAACCAGATACAGGAACTGAACATGTTGTGACATGGGTGCAGCATGAAGCATTTAGATAATGAAGCAGTCAAAGAGTAAAGCTTGCATCAAGGAAGAGGTGTATGATGGATTGTCCCTGGCATGACTGATAGGCAGTGTTCCCGGAATCTGTCTTGATTCTCTACAATACTAACAAGGACAATTGGACCACATTGTTCTGATCAGAGCCTGGTAATGATGGCATGTTTGGTTCTGAAAGGATTATAACTCTTTCTGGATCTCCGTGCTGAAAGGTACTGTGTAGAGTTGCCTCCCTTGTGCCATCGATTTTCAAGTGTTTGGTTTATTCATTGAGCTGTCAGCATGATGCCCTGCTTCTTCGCCTCATGGAAGTGTCAATAGTTTGTGTCACTCAGGCTTCTCACACAAACCAGGATGCTGAAAAACCCTAGAAGTACTGCTTGAAGTGTTCTCAGTTCCAGTTCATTCACTACTTTGTAAACCTTGGGCCTCAGCCTCCATAATTACTGCCATTAAGGAGGAACAAGGCTTTGGCAAAACCGTAACATGAGCAAATGTCATTGAGGTAGTTTGATGAAGACAACACATCAAGTATGAAATGTAGGTGACAGCAATATGAAGTGGAGTATACATACAGCCAACACTCAGGAGAACTTGGTTCCTGGTCTTCAATGTGTGATATATGATAAGTCATCACCTTGAAGGACAAACACAAGAATTCATAGTGCATTTCTAATACACTCATTAAAACCTATTTAAAGCTGTGGCCAGTTCTCACTTATCATTCTCTACAGTTTCCATTTTTGGAAAAATGGTCAAGCTTGCCTCAGAATTTTAAGAAGCTGTGTAGTTATTTGTGGAAATCTTTCTTCACAAAAGGTAAGATGTAGGTGCAGCGAGTCAGCTGGTTGTTTGTCATGTAGTGGACGTCAGTCACCACTAGGAATGTTCATGTGTTCAGTTTTATGTTTTACTTTCTCTTGCTGCCAGTCCTAGCGGAAACACTGCTGAAGCAGTATTAAACATTAAAGGCGCTACAACCAATGGATACATGCTGAGAGGAGACTTTGACATGTTTCTATTATATATTTCAGAATGCAAATAAACCAATCATATAGTAATAACATGTTGCTTTGTCTCACACATTAACACACACTAGTCAGGAATCCTCAGATGGAATGTAACAACGCATTCAGGATGGTGCAGTCATGTAGATGTGGGTTGTCAATACAAAAAGTTATCTGTAGCTCTGGTATTTAAATGAATGCAAGATGGGGTGTGCACAGTTTTATTCATATTATACAGTTTGCATCTATGACATTCATCCTCATTGTATTAAATCGTATTATAATTCACTCATATTTAGGAAGGAGTTGAATCAAAGTTGAGAATGAAAGTACAGTGAACTATGGTTGTAACTGACTAAAGGGATCAGTAATTTTAGTTCATTATAACTGTAGTTTGTTAAACATTTCAACTGGACTATACAGCCAGCAGTCAGCACCAAGAAGCCAGTGTCTGTCAGTTCGTTATAAACAGTGTACTGCATACTTGCTGAGCAGCTGAAGACCTCGGGGATATGATTGCAAGTGCCAACCTCCACTCTTTCCACTAAATGCTGCAAATATTCTAATCTTTCATTCTCAGTATCATTGATGATTCAAAATACAAATCCCAAAAGCCTAGCGAAAAGTGTGCAATTTCAAGATAAATAACTGAACAACCATATACAGTGAGAGAATAGATATCAGGAGACATTCGTTTTTGCGTAAATCATCCGGATAACTGAATATCCGGATACCTGGATATTTGTCATCCAGGCTTAGGTGTTGAAACGGTAGCGAGCATACACTTCTGGTTTAAAATCACTTCCAAACAGCATGGTCATTTTGATTTGCCAATTACAGTTCACTCTGTGCCAGATAGGCCTACTAATCACCACCAATACCCTGCTGATTGGTCATTAATCCGGATTAGCACTTCACACAGTCAGACGTAGATTAAAGCTTCGTGCGGATAAGTTAGTTAATTTTGTGTTGATTTAGACGGTTGGTTTGTAAAATTTACCGTCCGGGAATGGAAACCGCATATCCGTTATGAACAGTCACTTCTATAATGTAAGAGATTGTTTTTTATGAAAAGGCGAGGTTTCCGGATATTTGGGGTCCGGGTATACGGGGTCTCACTGTATAGTAATGTAACAAATATCATATTTGGGATTGCACTTTCTCAGAAAAGTACAAATTCTGGTACTTTCGATTCTAGCCTTGTGTATTCACAGCTTTGGCCATGGAAGGCGTGCCAACTTACATTTGTCTTGGGTGTACACAGAGTACATGGTCTGGATGACCAGTTGTCAGATTTCCATGTTGTGGAAGCCTTGGGGGCTGAGTGGGTTAGATTGCTGACTCTGTGTGTTGGCAATCTGGTCCATCACTCTGAGAGTGTAGGTTTGAATCTGAGATGGGGCTAAGTGCCCAAATTACTAGAATTTGTACTTTACTGAGGAAGTGTAATCCCCAAATCAATATGTGATTACATATGACATTGCATGACTTCCATTCATTGTTTTGAGTAACACTTGTCAGAGGGGAACACAAAATATGTAAACTTGACTGAAAGGCATTGTGTTTCATGTATCAGAAATCTTTACATACACCTTTTGTACTTGATGTTGAATCAGTGTAGAACTTAAAATATTTTTGTTGCCTGTCTACAACCCCACTTGGTAAGTCCACCCTCAAACAGACACTTAAGTAAATAAAGAGGGATCTCCGCCTTGTTACTGCCCGCACATAATACCATGTGGTAGGTTGATGGTTGTAATTGGGCGTGTCGTTGTCCGAGGGTTGCTCTTGAACACCATGAGGACACAGGAGTCGAGGACAAAAATACCTGCGGCAGAGACAGTAATCAATCAGGTGTCCATGGTACTCGTCATGTGATCAAACAAGACCATACACCACAGTACCCGTCATGTGGTCAAACAGTACCATACACCACAGTACTTGTCATGTGGTCAAACAGTACCATACACCACGGTACCCGTCATGTGGTCAAACAGTACCATACACCACAGTACTTGTCATGTGGTCAAACAGTACCATACACCACGGTACCCGTCATGTGGTCAAACAGTACCATACACCACGGTACTTGTCATGTGGTCAAACAGTACCATACACCACAGTACTTGTCATGGGGTCAAACAGTACCAAACACCACAGTACTCATTATGTGGTCAAACAGTACCATACACCACAGTACTTGTCACATGGTCAAACAGTACCATACACCACAGTACTTGTCACATGGTCAAACAGTACCATACACCACAGTACTTGTCACATGGTCAAACAGTACCATACACCACGGTACTCATTATGTGGTAAAACAGTACCATACACCACGGTACTTGTCATGGGGTCAAACAGTACCATACACCACAGTACTTGTCATGGGGTCAAACAGTACCAAACACCACAGTACTCATTATGTGGTCAAACAGTACCATACACCACAGTACTTGTCACATGGTCAAACAGTACCATACACCACAGTACTTGTCATGTGATCAAACAGTACCATACACCGCAGTTCTCGTAATGTGGTCAAACAGTACCATACACCACAGTACTTGTCATGTGGTAAAGGGCCGGTGGGGTAGCCTAGTGGTTAAAGCGTTGGCTCGTCACGCCGAGGACCCGGGTTCGAATCCCCACAAGGGCACAATGTGTTAAGCCCATTTCTGGTGTCCCCCGCCATGATATTGCTGGAATATTGCTAAAAGCGGCGTAAAACTCAACTCAGTCAGTCAGTCAGTCAGTCATGTGGTAAAACAGTACCATACACCACGGTACTTGTCATGTAGTCAAACAGTACCATACACCACGGTACTTGTCATGTGGTCAAACAGTACCATACACCACGGTACTTGTCATGTAGTCAAACAGTACCATACACCACGGTACTTGTCATGTAGTCAAACAGTACCATGTGGTCACACCATACACTACGGTACTTGTCATGTAGTCAAACAGTACCATGTTTTCACACTGGGCACATACAGTGACACAGATGTGCCCCAGGGACTGTCACATAGATGTGCCAATAGTTGGGTGGGATGTAATACACACACGTGGCAAAAGAGGTGTGGGATGTAAGATACACACAAGTACCTGTGGCAATAGTGGGGTGGGATGTAAGATACACACAAGTACCTGTGGCAATAGTGGGGTGGGATGTTATACACACTCAGGTACCTGTGGCAATAGTGGGGTGGGATGTAATACACACAAGTACCTGGGGCAATAGAGGGGTGGGATGTAATACACACACAAGTACCTGTGTCAATAGTGGGGTGGGATGTAAGATACACACAAGTACCTGTGGCAATAGTGGGGTGGGATGTAAGACACACACAAGTACCTGTGTCAATAGAGGGGTGGGATGTAAGATACACACAAGTACCTGTGGCAATAGAGGTGTGGAATGTAAGATACACACAAGTACCTGTGTCAATAGAGGGGTGGGATGTAAGATACACACAAGTACCTGTGGCAATAGAGGTGTGGAATGTAAGATACACACAAGTACCTGTGGCAATAGAGGTGTGGAATGTAATACACACACAAGTACCTGTGGCAATAGTGGGGTGGGATGGCAACAAGTACCTGGGCAATAGTGGGGTGGGATGTAAGATACACACAAGTACCTGTGGCAATACAGGTGTGGAATGTAATATACACACAAGTACCTGTGGCAATAGAGGTGTGGAATGTAATACACACACAAGTACCTGTGGCAATAGAGGGGTGGAATGTAAGATACACACAAGTACCTGTGGCAATAGTGGGGTGGGATGTAAGACACGCACAAGTACCTGTGGCAATAGTGGGGTGGGATGTTATACACACAAGTACCTGTGGCAATAGTTGGGTGGGATGTAAGATACACACAAGTACCTGTGGCAATAGTTGGGTGGGATGTTATACACACTCAGGTACCTGTGGCAATAGTGGGGTGGGATGTAAGACACGCACAAGTACCTGTGGCAATAGTGGGGTGGGATGTAAGACACGCACAAGTACCTGTGGCAATAGTTGGGTGGGATGTAAGATACACACAAGTACCTGTGGCAATAGTTGGGTGGGATGTAAGATACACACAAGTACCTGTGGCAATAGTGGGGTGGGATGTTATACACACTCAGGTACCTGTGGCAATAGTGGGGTGGGGTGTAAGATACACACAAGTACCTGTGGCAATAGTGGGGTGGGTTGTAAGATACACACAAGTATCTGTGGCAATAGTGGGGTGGGTTGTAAGATAGAATCAGGTACCTGTGGCAATGGTGGCTTCTTCATCGGAAGGTCGTGGAGTGCGATAGATGGGATACTGACTGTCCCCTTGATCACCCAGAATAATGGTCACACCCACAACATCAGCTGGCGGTGGGAGCTGATTGGCACGGGCCTTCCTATGCTGTGAGCTGACGATATCCTTTGGTATCTGGGAGATGTTTGTGTGCTCATACCTGTAGGGAAAGAAAGTGAAGTCATAGCCCACCCTACACCCTTACATAGCCCACCTACACCCTTACATAGCCCACCCTACACCCTTATGCCACACCCTACACCCTTACATACCACACTCTACACCCTTACATACCACACTCTACACCCTTACATAGCCATTGCAAAAATCCCACTGACGGTCTAGATGGAAGTTCTGACTGTCACATCAAATCTTGGATGATAAATCATATGCTGAAACTATATGACACTAAGATTGAAGCTCTTCTGATTGGATCCAAACAACTGCTGTCGAAAATCCCCACCCGATCTGTGACAATAGCTGAAACTGTCATCCCTGTCTGTTCCACTGGTATGTTTTCCTTAACCAAATCCCCACCAGATCTGTGACAATAGCTGATGATGTCGTCCCTGTCTGTTCCACTGGTATGTTTTCCTTAACCAAATCCCCACCAGATCTGTGACAATAGCTGATGCTGTCGTCCCTGTTTGTTCCACTGGTATGTTTTCCTTAACCAAATCCCCACCAGATCTGTGACAATAGCTGATGCTGTCGTCCCTGTTTGTTCCACTGGTATGTTTTCCTTAACCAAATCCCCACCAGATCTGTGACAATAGCTGATGGTGTTGTCCCTGTCTGTTCCACTGGTATGTTTTCCTTAACCAAATCCCCACCAGATCTGTGACAATAGCTGATGCTGTAGTCCCTGTCTGTTCCACTGGTATGTTTTCCTTAACCAAATCCCCACCAGATCTGTGACAATAGCTGATGCTGTCGTCCCTGTCTGTTCCACTGGTATGTTTTCCTTAACCAAATCCCCACCAGGTCTGTGACAATAGCTGATGCTGTCGTCCCTGTCTGTTCCACTGGTATGTTTTCCTTAACCAAATCCCCACCAGATCTGTGACAATAGCTGATGCTGTCGTCCCTGTCTGTTCCACTGGTATGTTTTCCTTAACCAAATCCCCACCAGATCTGTGACAATATCTGATGCTGTCGTCCCTGTCTGTTCCACTGGTATGTTTTCCTTAACCAAATCCCCACCAGATCTGTGACAATAGCTGATGCTGTCGTCCCTGTCTGTTCCACTGGTATGTTTTCCTTAACCAAATCCCCACCAGATCTGTGACAATATCTGATGCTGTAGTCCCTGTCTGTTCCACTGGTATGTTTTCCTTAACCAAATCCCCACCAGATCTGTGACAATATCTGATGCTGTTGTCCCTGTTTGTTCCACTGGTATGTTTTCCTTAACCAAATCCCCACCAGATCTGTGACAATATTTGATGCTGTAGTCCCTGTCTGTTCCACTGGTATGTTTTCCTTAACCAAATCCCCACCAGGTCTGTGACAATAGCTGATGCTGTCGTCCCTGTCTGTTCCACTGCAAAAGATCTTGGTATTGTCCTCGACTGCTCACTTTCGATGGAAGCTCAAGTCTCTGACATCTGCAAAACCTGCCACTTTCACTTTCGTCCCATCAGTAACATCCGTCCCTATCTCTCAGTCGCTGCTACCCATGCCTTGGTCAGAGCCCTCATAACCTCAAGATTGGATTATTGCAACAGTGTATTGTTTGGCATTTCTCAGAAACTCTGTGACAGACTCCAGAAAATCCAAAACACTTCTGCCTGCCATATCAAGCCAGTACTGAAGGAGCTTCACTGGTTGCCCATCAAAGCCAGGATCGAGCATAACATACTGTGTCTGACCTACAAAGCCAAGCATGGTCTTCCTCCCCAGTACTTGTCTAACATGTTGTCATCATACTCCAGTTCACGCAATCTTCGTTCCAACAGCCAGGATCTCCTCACTGTGCCCAGCTTCAGACTGAAAACATTTGGCCAGCGTTCTTTCACCTACGCAGCCCCCTCTCTCTGGAACTCTCTTCCTTATGGCCTCAAAACTATTGACAATTCCGACTTGTTCAAGTCCAAGCTTAAAACCTACTTCTTCCAGCTGTATCTCCCTTAATCTGCGGAAGTATTACTTCTGTACATATGTACATACTTGACTCTGTAGCGTCTGTTGAGGTGGATTAGGCCCACATATAAATATGTGTTATTATTATTATTATTATTACCATTATTATAGCCCACCCTACACACCAGCTGGTCCCTACATAGGCCTCTACATGGGCTGGTCCCTACATGGGCCTCTACATGGGCTGGTGCCTACATAGTCCTCTACATGGGCTGGTCCCTACATAGTCCTCTACATGGGCTGGTCCCTACATGGGACTCTACATGGGCTGGTGCCTACATAGTCCTCTACATGGGCTGGTCCCTACATAGGCCTATACATGGGCTGGTCCCTACATAGGCCTCTACACAGGCTGGTCCCTACATGGGCCTCTACATGGGCTGGTCCCTACATAGGCCTCTACATAGGCTGGACCCTACATAGGCCTCTACATGGGCTGGTCCCTACATAGAGTGGTCCCTACATGGGCTGGTCCCTACATGGGGTCGTCCCTACACAGGTTTTGTACTCACATGTTGAAGTGGTAATAGTGTCCTGTTGTGTCCACTCCTTGAACTGATGGCCTGGCAACTGTTGCCTTGGTTACAAGATTCCCAGAAACTCCTGAAATTGGTGAGACCTCATAGTTTGTGAGAATACGGGAGCTGTTTCTGATGTCTGCATAGTTCAGACTGTAAATAAATATATACACTAATTAATGGTTAGCATCCCTTACTAAAAGCATCACACCACACAAACATCCTGGGCCCAATTTACATCATGCAGGAGTTTCCTCCACCTGCCATAGATGCCATACACTGCTGACACAAGGCCATTTACACAGAAACAACACTTCTAGTCATCCAGACATTTATGAGCCCACATAATCACTGGATGCAACTCAGCATGTCACACAACTATCTGGCTTCAGACCAGCAAGGGAGTGCCTCAGTCACACCACTATCTGGCTTCAGACCAGCAAGGGAGTGCCTCGGCCACACCTCTATCTGGGTTTCAGACCAGCAAGGGAGTGCCTCAGTCACACCACTATCTGGGTTTCAGACCAGCAAGGGAGTGCCTCGGCCACACCACTATCTGGGTTTCAGACCAGCAAGGGAGTGCCTCGGCCACACCTCTATCTGGGTTTCAGACCAGCAAGGGAGTGCCTCGGCCACACCTCTATCTGGGTTTCAGACCAGCAAGGGAGTGCCTCGGCCACACCTCTATCTGGGTTTCAGACCAGCAAGGGAGTGCCTCGGCCACACCTCTAACTGGGTTTCAGACCAGCAAGGGTGTGCCTCGGCCACACCACTATCTGGGTATCAGACCAGCAAGGGAGTGCCTCGGCCACACCTCTATCTGGGTTTCAAACCAGCAAGGGAGTGCCTCAGTCACACCACTATCTGGGTTTCAGACCAGCAAGGGAGTGCCTCGGCCACACCTCTATCTGGGTTTCAGACCAGCAAGGGAGTGCCTCAGTCACACCGCTATCTGGGTTTCAGACCAGCAAGGGAGTGCCTCGGACACACCTCTATCTGGGTATCAGACCAGCAAGGGAGAGCCTCGGCAACACCTCTATCTGGGTTTCAGACCAGCAAGGGAGTGCCTCAGTCACACCTCTATCTGGGTTTCAGACTAGCAAGGGAGAGTCTCAGCCACACCACTATCTGGGTTTCAGACCAGCAAGGGAGTGCCTCGGCCACACCACTATCTGGGTATCTGACCAGCAAGGGAGTGCCTCGGCCACACCACTATCTGGGTTTCAGACCAGCAAGGGAGTGCCTCAGTCACACCACTATCTGGCTTCACACCAGCAAGGGAGTGCCTCAGTCACGCCACTATCTAGGTTTCAGACCAGCAAGGGAGTGCCTCAGTCACACCACTATCTGGGTTTCAGACCAGCAAGGGAGTGCCTCACTCACGCCACTATCTAGGTTTCAGACCAGCAAGGGAGTGCCTCGGTGAAAACTGGTAGTATACTGGCAACCTCCAGACCTGTCTGACAGATGTCGGAGCTATTTCCACTTACGTGGAGCCATGCACTGGTGTCACCCAGGCCATTTGATATACTGGCATCCTCCACACCTGTCTGACAGATGTCGGAGTTATCTCCACTTACTTGAAGCCGTAGGCAACCCCCACACCGAGACCATGCAATAGGTCTTCAAGATCGTTCTGTGACTTTACACGCATAAGAGCTCTGTTCATGAAGTAGCGAGCTGAAACAAATTTGTGTCACTTTCTTGAAAATGTTATTCTAAATTATACACAAAGAACTTAATTAGATTTTGCAATGATAGGTTTTCAACATGTACAGAAAACGTCTCGTCGTGACCACGATCAAGTTTTTCTGACCCGTATGATCCTTTGACTCATAAAAAATTACAAAATGATTGGAATCCATGTTGATTTTAAGATGATAATTGCTCATTTTATAAAAAAAACACTGATTTTTATACAAAACCATGCCTGTACAAGTATGGCCCAGGAATGTTTAATGTTGAAGGTTTGAATGTATTGGTGAACGAGAACATTTAAAATGTCATTTTGCGTGTCTTACACGATTCAAGGTCAATACTAAGTGTAACCTCCATCTGACTGTATGACAGCCAGCACTCTCCTCCTTCTATACCCTGTCAGCCTCCTAATCCTCTGAAGGGGCAGTCTACGCCATTCTTGTAAAGCAGCTTTCAACTGGGCCAGGTTCTGTACAGGAGGATCCCTTTGTTGCACACGATGACCAATCATGTCCCAGATATGCTCAAAGGGTTAAGATCGGGGCTCATTTAATCATGAGATATGTCAGGGGGTGTTTAACTAAGTTCTTTGTGCATACAGCAAATGACTCAGCAAGATGACTATGCAGTGTCCTATATTTCCATAAAATATTACTAACTTCATTATGTAGTATTGTCTTTCTGCTTGTAGCGTGTACTTGATAATGGTGTATCAACTACAGTAGATTTCTGATAATGGTTGTATCACCTACAGCTAGTACTTGATCATGGTTGTATCACCTACAGCAGATACCTGATAATGGTTGTATCACCTACAACAGATACCTGATAATGGTTGTATCAACTACAGCAGGTACCTGATAATGGTTGTATCACCTACAACAGATACCTGATAATGGTTGTATCACCTACAGCAGATACCTGATAATGGTTGTATCAACTACAGCAGGTACCTGATAATGGTTGTATCACCTACAACAGATACCTGATAATGGTTGTATCAACTACAGCAGGTACCTGATAATGGTTGTATCACCTACAACAGATACCTGATAATGGTTGTATCACCTACAGCAGATACCTGATAATGGTTGTATCAACTACAGAAGGTACCTGATAATGGTTGTATCAACTACAGGAGGTACCTGATAATGGTTGTATCAACTACAGCAGATTTCTGATAATGGTTGTATCAACTACAGCAGATACCTGATAATGGTTGTATCACCTACAGCAGATACCTGATGATGGTTGTATCAACTACAGCAGATACCTGATGATGGTTGTATCACCTACAGCAGATACCTGATGATGGTTGTATCAACTACAGCAGATACCTGATAATGGTTGTATCAACTACAGCAGATACCTGATAATGGTTGTATCACCTACAGCAGATACCTGATAATGGTTGTATCACCTACAGCAGATACCTGATAATGGTTGTATCAACTACAGCAGATACCTGATAATGGTTGTATCAACTACAGCAGATACCTGATAATGGTTGTATCAACTACAGCAGATACCTGATAATGGTTGTATCAACTACAGCAGATACCTGATAATGGTTGTATCAACTACAGCAGATACCTGATAATGGTTGTATCAACTACAGCAGGTACCTGATAATGGTTGTATCAACTACAGCAGATACCTGATAATGGTTGTATCAACTACAGCAGATACCTGATAATGGTTGTATCAACTACAACAGATACCTGATAATGGTTGTATCAACTACAGCAGGTACCTGATAATGGTTGTATCAACTACAGCAGATACCTGATAATGGTTGTATACTACAGCAGATACCTGATAATGGTTGTATCAACTACAGCAGATACCTGATAATGGTTGTATCAACTACAGCAGATACCTGATAATGGTTGTATCAACTACAGCAGATACCTGATAATGGTTGTATCAACTACAACAGATACCTGATAATGGTTGTATCAACTACAGCAGATACCTGATAATGGTTGTATCAACTACAGCACAGATACCTGATAATGGTTGTATCAACTACAGCAGATACCTGATAATGGTTGTATCAACTACAGCAGATACCTGATAATGGTTGTATCACCTACAGCAGATACCTGATAATGGTTGTATCACCTACAGCAGATACCTGATAATGGTTGTATCACCTACAGCAGATACCTGATAATGGTTGTATCAACTACAGCAGATACCTGATAATGGTTGTATCAACTACAGCAGATACCTGATAATGGTTGTATCAACTACAGCAGATACCTGATAATGGTTGTATCAACTACAGCAGATACCTGATAATGGTTTGTATCAACTACAGCAGATACCTGATGATCAACTACAGGTACCTGATAATGGTTGTATCACCTACAGCAGATACCTGATAATGGTTGTATCAACTACAGCAGATACCTGATAATGGTTGTATCAACTACAGCAGATACCTGATAATGGTTGTATCACCTACAGCAGATACCTGATAATGGTTGTATCAACTACAGCAGTTGTATCAACTACTGATAATGGTTGTATCAACTACAGCAGATACCTGATAATGGTTGTATCAACTACAACAGATACCTGATAATGGTTGTATCAACTACAGCAGATACCTGATAATGGTTGTATCAACTACTACAGCAGATACCTGATAATGGTTGGTTGTATCAACTACAGCAGATACCTGATAATGGTTGTATCAACTACAGCAGATACCTGATAATGGTTGTATCAACTACAGCAGATACCTGATAATGGTTGTATCAACTACAGCAGATACCTGATAATGGTTGTATCAACTACAGCAGATACCTGATAATGGTTGTATCAACTGATAATGGTTGTATCAACTACAGCAGATACCTGATAATGGTTGTATCAACTACAGCAGATACCTGATAATGGTTGTATCACCTACAACAGATACCTGATAATGGTTGTATCAACTACAGCAGGTACCTGATAATGGTTGTATCAACTACAGCAGATTTCTGATAATGGTTGTATCAACTACAGCAGATACCTGATAATGGTTGTATCAACTACAGCAGATACCTGATAATGGTTGTATCAACTACAGCAGATACCTGATAATGGTTGTATCACCTACAACAGATACCTGATAATGGTTGTATCAACTACAGCAGATACCTGATAATGGTTGTATCAACTACAACAGATACCTGATAATGGTTGTATCAACTACAGCAGATACCTGATGATGGATGGTTGTATCAACTACAGCAGATACCTGATAATGGTTGTATCAACTACAGCAGATTACCTGATAATGGTTGTATCACCTACAAGCAGATACCTGATAATGGTTGTATCACCTACAACAGGTACCTGATAATGGTTGTATCAACTACAACAGATAATGGTTGTATCTGATAATGGTTGTATCAACTACAGCAGATTTCTGATAATGGTTGTATCAACTACAGCAGATACCCTGATAATGGTTGTATCAACTACAGCAGCGATAATGGTTGTACCTGATAATGGTTGTATCACCTACAGCAGATACCTGATAATGGTTGTATCACCTACAGCAGATACCTGATAATGGTTGTATCAACTACAGCAGGTACCTGATAATGGTTGTATCAACTACAGCAGATACCTGATAATGGTTGTATCAACTACAGCAGGTAGATAGATACCTGATAATGGTTGTATCAACTACAGCAGATACCTGATAATGGTTGTATCAACTACAGCAGGTACCTGATAATGGTTGTATCACCTACAGCAGATACCTGATAATGGTTGTATCAACTACAACAGATACCTGATAATGGTTGTATCAACTACAACAGATACCTGATAATGGTTGTATCAACTACAGCAGATACCTGATAATGGTTGTATCAACTACAGCAGATACCTGATAATGGTTGTATCAACTACAGCAGATACCTGATAATGGTTGTATCACCTACAACAGATACCTGATAATGGTTTATCAACTACAAGCAGATACCCTGATAATGGTTGTATCAGCACAACAGATACCTGATAATGGTTGTATCACCTACAACAGATACCTGATAATGGTTGTATCAACTACAGCAGATACCTGATAATGGTTGTATCAACTACAGCAGATACCTGATAATGGTTGTATCAACTACAGCAGATACCTGATAATGGTTGTATCACCTACAACAGATACCTGATAATGGTTGTATCAACTACAGCAGGTACCTGATAATGGTTGTATCAACTACAGCAGATACCTGATAATGGTTGTATCAACTACAGCAGGTACCTGATAATGGTTGTATCAACTACAACAGATACCTGATAATGGTTGTATCAACTACAGCAGGTATCCTGACCTGATAATGGTTGTATCAACTACAGCAGATACCTGATAATGGTTGTATCAACTACAGCAGATACCTGATAATGGTTGTATCAACTACAGCAGATACCTGATAATGGTTGTATCACCTACAACAGATACCTGATGATGGTTGTATCACCTACAACAGATACCTGATAATGGTTGTATCAACTACAACAGATACCTGATAATGGTTGTATCAACTACAGCAGATACCTGATAATGGTTGTATCAACTACAGCAGATAATGGTTGTATCAACTACAGCAGATCTGATAATGGTTGTATCAACTACAGCAGATACCTGATAATGGTTGTATCACCTACAGCAGATACCTGATAATGGTTGTATCAACTACACATCAACTACAACAGGTTGTATCACCTGATACCTGATAATGGTTGTATCAACTACAGCAGGTACCTGATAATGGTTGTATCAACTACAGCAGATACCTGATAATGGTTGTATCAACTACAACAGATACCTGATAATGGTTGTATCAACTACAGCAGATACCTGATAATGGTTGTATCACCTACAACAGATACCTGATAATGGTTGTATCAACTACAACAGATACCTGATAATGGTTGTATCAACTACAGCAGATACCTGATAATGGTTGTATCACCTACAACAGATACCTGATAATGGTTGTATCAACTACAGCAGGTACCTGATAATGGTTGTCATCAACTACAACAGCAGGTACCTGATAAGATACACCTGATAATGGTTGTATCAACTACAGCAGATACCTGATAATGGTTGTATCAACTACAGCAGATACCTGATAATGGTTGTATCAACTACACAGATACAGTTGTATCAATACCTGATAATGGTTGTATCAACTACAGCTACAGCAGTTGTACCTGATAATGGTTGTATCAACTACAACAGCAGATACAACTGATAATGGTTGTATCAACTACAACAGATACCTGATAATGGTTGTATCAACTACAGCAGGTACCTGATAATGGTTGTATCAACTACAGCAGATACCTGATAATGGTTGTATCAACTACAACAGATACCTGATAATGGTTGTATCACCTACAACAGATACCTGATAATGGTTGTATCAACTACAGCAGATACCTGATAATGGTTGTATCAACTACAGCAGATACCTGATAATGGTTGTATCAACTACAACAGATACCTGATAATGGTTGTATCAACTACAGCTGATAAGTATCAATACCTGATAATGGTTGTATCAACTACAGCAGATACCTGATAATGGTTGTATCATGGTTGTATCAACAGCAGATACCTGATAATGGTTGTATCAACTACAACAGATACCTGATAATGGTTGTATCAACTACAACAGATACCTGATAATGGTTGTATCAACTACAGCAGATACCTGATAATGGTTGTATCAACTACAGCAGATACCTGATAATGGTTGTATCACCTACAACAGATACCTGATAATGGTTGTATCAACTACAACAGATACCTGATAATGGTTGTATATCACCTACAGCAGATACCTGATAATGGTTGTATCAACTACAGCAGATACCTGATAATGGTTGTATCAACTACAACAGATACCTGATAATGGTTGTATATCACAGCCTACAGCAGATACCTGATAATGGTTGTATCTACAGCTACATGGTTGCAGATACCTGATAATGGTTGTATCAACTACAGCAGATAATGGTTGTATCACCTGATAATGGTTGTATTATCAACTACAACAGATACCTGATAATGGTTGTATCAACTACAGCAGATACCTGATAATGGTTGTATCAACTACAGCAGATACCTGATAATGGTTGTATCAACTACAGCAGGTACCTGATAATGGTTGTATCACCTACAGCAGATACCTGATAATGGTTGTATCAACTACAGCAGATACCTGATAATGGTTGTATCACCTACAGCAGATACCTGATAATGGTTGTATCACCTACAGCAGGTACCTGATAATGGTTGTATCACCTACAGCAGATACCTGATAATGGTTGTATCACCTACAACAGGTACCTGATAATGGTTGTATCAACTACAACAGATACCTGATAATGGTTGTATCACCTACAGCAGATACCTGATAATGGTTGTATCAACTACAGCAGATACCTGATAATGGTTGTATCAACTACAACAGATACCTGATAATGGTTGTATCAACTACAGCAGGTACCTGATAATGGTTGTATCACCTACAGCAGATACTTGATAATGGTTGTATCACCTACAGCAGATACCTGATAATGGTTGTATCAACTACAGCAGGTACCTGATAATGGTTGTATCAACTACAACAGATACCTGATAATGGTTGTATCAACTACAGCACACAGGTTCCTGATAATGGTTGTATCACCTACAGCAGATACCTGATAATGGTTGTATCAACTACAGCAGATACCTGATAATGGTTGTATCAACTACAGCAGGTACCTGATAATGGTTGTATCAACTACAACAGATACCTGATAATGGTTGTATCACCTACAGCAGATACCTGATAATGGTTGTATCAACTACAGCAGGTACCTGATAATGGTTGTATCAACTACAACAGATACCTGATAATGGTTGTATCAACTACAGCAGATACCTGATAATGGTTGTATCAACTACAGCAGGTCCCTGATAATGGTTGTATCAACTACAGCAGGTACCTGATAATGGTTGTATCACCTACAGCAGATACCTGATAATGGTTGTATCAACTACAGCAGGTACCTGATAATGGTTGTATCAACTACAGATACCTGATAATGGTATCAACTACAGCAGGTTCCTGATAATGGTTGTATCAACTACAGCAGGTTCCTGATAATGGTTGTATCACCTACAGCAGATACCTGATAATGGTTGTATCAACTACAGCAGGTACCTGATAATGGTTGTATCACCTACAGCAGGTTCCTGATAATGGTTGTATCACCTACAGCAGGTACCTGATAATGGTTGTATCACCTACAGCAGGTTCCTGATAATGGTTGAATCACCTACAGCAGATACCTGATAATGGTTGTATCAACTACAGCAGGTCCCTGATAATGGTTGTATCAACTACAGCAGGTACCTGATAATGGTTGTATCAACTACAGCAGGTTCCTGATAATGGTTGTATCACCTACAGCAGATACCTGATAATGGTTGTATCAACTACAGCAGGTCCCTGATAATGGTTGTATCAACTACACCAGATACCTGATAATGGTTGTATCACCTACAGCAGATACCTGATAATGGTTGTATCACCTACAGCTAGTACTTGATAATGGCTGTATCACCTACAGCAGATACCTGATAATGGTTGTATCACCTACAGCAGATACCTGATAATGGTTGTATCACCTACAGCAGGTACCTGATAATGGTTGTATCACCTACAGCAGATACCTGATAATGGTTGTATCACCAACAGCAGGTACTTGATAATGGTCGTATCACCTACCTGCTGACATGACACTACAGGGGGATGGTTCTGTGCTGACATGACACTTCAGGGTGATGGTACTGTGCTGACAGAACACTACAGGGTGATGCTACTGTGCTGACAGAACACTACAGGGTGATGGTACTGTACTGACAGAACAATACAGGGTGATGGTGTTGTGCTGACAGAACACTACAGGGTAATGGTGCTGTGCTGACATGACACTACAGGGTGATGGTACTGTGCTGACAGAACACTACAGGGTGATGGTACTGTGCTGAGAGAACACTACAGGGTGATGGTGCTGTGCTTACATGACACTACAGGGTGATGGTGTTGTGCTGACATGACACTACAGGGTGATGGTGCTGTGCTGACATGACACTACAGGGTGATGGTGCTGTGCTGACATGACACTACAGGGTGATGGTGTTGTGCTGACATGACACTAAGTGTTTAACTAGCAGGCTGCTTACGTATTTTGGCTGCTTCCACAGTATCAGGATACAGGGCGTTGACAGTGAACACCTTGCCATCGCCATTGAAGCTGAATGCATTTCCAGAAAGAGCTCCTGGAAATCACAAATACACTGTCAGGTTTGCTAAAATACCTCATTGAATTAGTTGTGTTTATATACTGTCATGTATTTACATATCTGGTTGAGTATATTGTGACAGATATATAATTCTTGGCACTAACTGAATGTCCTAGACTGCTGTTTTGGTGATTGTTATCATGTTACAGGGAGAGAAAATATACATAGTTGAGCAATAAACTTGTGGCGCAATTCAAAGCTCACACCCAAGCAGGCATTGGTTTTCATTCAAGAATACCCCCCTATTCCTGCTACATAGACAATGATATACATGTGCAACTATATATAAATGCAACAACAATGTAGAAATTAAAAAAAACCGTGAAATTCATTATGCCTGAAAGTGTATTGCCCACTGAGGGAGATGGATACGGCAAAGCAGCTGTTGTGTTTTAACACGTGTTACATTTAGGATTACACTACTGAGAGTCATGAATGCGTAATGACATATGTACAGTGTTACAGTATGTTACCTGTGTAATGACATATGTACAGTGTTACAGTATGTTACCTGTGTAATGACATATGTACAGTGTTACAGTATGTTACCTGTGTAATGACATATGTACAGTGTTACAGTATGTTACCTGTATGATGAAATATGTACAGTGTTACAGTATGTTACCTGCGTGATGACATATGTACAGTGTTACAGTATGTTACCTGTGTAATGACATATGTACAGTGTTACAGTATGTTACCTGCATGATGAAATATGTACAGTGTTACAGTATGTTACCTGCGTGATGACATATGTACAGTGTTACAGTATGTAACCTGTGTGATGAAATATGTACAGTGTTACAGTATGTTACCTGCGTGATGACATATGTAGTGTTACAGTATGTTACCTGCGTAATGACATATGTACAGTGTTACAGTATGTAACCTGCATGATGACATATGTACAGTGTTACAGTATGTTACCTGCGTAATGACATATGTACAGTGTTACAGTATGTTACCAGCGTGATGACATATGTACAGTGTTACAGTATGTTACCTGTACAGTGTTACAGCGTAATGACATATGTACAGTGTTACAGTATGTTACCTGTGTAATGACATATGTACAGTGTTACAGTATGTAACCTGCATGATGACATATGTACAGTGTTACAGTATGTTACCTGCGTGATGACATATGTACAGTGTTACAGTATGTTACCTGCGTAATGACATATGTACAGTGTTACAGTATGTTACCAGCGTGATGACATATGTACAGTGTTACAGTATGTTGTTACCTGACGTAATGACATATGTACAGTGTTACAGTATGTTACCTGTGTAATGACATATGTACAGTGTTACAGTATGTAACCTGCATGATGACATGACATATGTACAGTGTTACAGTGTTGTATGTTACCTGTGTGATGACATATGTACAGTGTTACAGTATGTTACCTGTGTAATGACATATGTACAGTGTTACAGTATGTTACCTGCATGATGACATATGTACAGTGTTACAGTATGTTACCTGTGCGATGACATATGTAGTGTTACAGTATGTTACCTGTGTAATGACATATGTACAGTGTTACAGTATGTTACCTGCGTAATGACATATGTACAGTGTTACAGTATGTTACCTGTGTAATGACATATGTACAGTGTTACAGTATGTAACCTGCATGATGACATATGTACAGTGTTACAGTATGTTACCTGCGTGATGACATATGTACAGTGTTACAGTATGTTACCTGCGTAATGACATATGTACAGTGTTACAGTATGTTACCAGCGTGATGACATATGTACAGTGTTACAGTATGTTACCTGCGTAATGACATATGTACAGTGTTACAGTATGTTACCTGTGTAATGACATATGTACAGTGTTACAGTATGTAACCTGCATGATGACATATGTACAGTGTTACAGTATGTTACCTGTGTGATGACATATGTACAGTGTTACAGTATGTTACCTGTGTAATGACATATGTACAGTGTTACAGTATGTTACCTGCATGATGACATATGTACAGTGTTACAGTATGTTACCTGTGCGATGACATATGTAGTGTTACAGTATGTTACCTGTGTAATGACATATGTACAGTGTTACAGTATGTTACCTGCGTAATGACATATGTACAGTGTTACAGTATGTTACCTGTGTAATGACATATGTACAGTGTTACAGTATGTTACCTGTGTAATGACATATGTACAGTGTTACAGTATGTTACCTGCATGATGAAATATGTACAGTGTTACAGTATGTTACCTGTGTAATGACATATGTACAGTGTTACAGTATGTTACCTGCGTGATGACATATGTACAGTGTTACAGTATGTTACCTGCGTGATGACATATGTACAGTGTTACAGTATGTTACCTGCGTATGTGTAGGCTGTGAAGTTCTCTACGATGTCACCGGCTTCACTAACAATAGTAGCATGGACCATGAACGCCCTTTCCTTCAGCAGTGGATCCGCATCTTCATTGTGACCGATGGCTATCTGAAGAAGACAACATGTTTCTTCCTGATAAATGTGGGGAATTTTGTATTTCACTTTCACAGGCATCTTATGAAGTGATATTTTTATATTTACAATGGAATATTGTGAACTGTTGCAAATGGTATTTTGTGCAATCTGGTGTTCATTTTGTATTTAATAATTTGTTAAGAAATGTTGCACCCTCTGATCCACAAACTACATGGCCCACACCCCATCTGATCCACTCACCACATGATCCACACCCCACTTGATCCAAGCATCACTTGATCCACACCCCACTTGATCTACCCACCACATGATCCACACCCCACTTGATCCAACCACCACATGAACCACACCCCACTTGATCCACCCACTACTTGGTCCACACCCCACTTGATCCACCTATCACATGATCCACACCCCACTTGATCCAACCACATGATCCACACCCCACTTGATCCAACCACATGTTCCACGTGCCTCTTGATACATTCACAACATGGTACCCCAACCCACCCCATGGTCAGCCCCACAATGCACCCCCACCTCCCCATGGTCAGCCCCACAATGCACCTCCACCTCCCCATGGTCAGCCCCACAATGCACCCCCACCTGTTAGTCTGCCCCACAATCCACCCTCACCTCCCCATGGTCAGCCCCACAATACACCCCCACCTCCCCATGGTGAGCCCCACAATACACCCCCACCTGTTAGTCTGCCCCACAATCCACCTCACCTCCCCATGGTCAGCCCCACAATGCACCCCACCTCCCCATGGTCAGCCCCACAATGCACCCCCACCTCCCCATGGTCAGCCCCACAATGCACCCCCACCTGTTGGTCCGCCAGGTACACATCACTACAGGACTCTGCTCCCTTCAGCTTCATCACGGCTTTGATCTCACTGCTGATCATCATGGAGAAGGCCTGTAGGTGAACAAAGCCTGTCTTCAGTCACACCCAATAGGATTCACTGTTACTACACAGAAACACATTACACACATCCTACGTCTCAGTGTAGAGACTACTTAGATATAGCTGACATCAGTATACTCCATGACTGCCCCACACAGTAGAGACTACTTAGATAGAGCTGACATCAGTATACTCCGTGACTGCCCCACACAGTAGAGACTACTTAAATAGAGCTGAAATCAGTATACTCCGTGACTGCCCCACACAGTAGAGACTACTTATATAGAGCTGAAATCAGTATACTCCATGACTGCCCCACACAGTAGAGACTACTTAAATAGAGCTGAAATCAGCATACTCCATGACTGCCCCACACAGTAGAGACTACTTAGATAGAGCTGAAATCAGTATACTCCATGACTGCCCCACACAGTAGAGACTACTTAAATAGAGCTGAAATCAGTATACTCCGTGACTGCCCCACACAGTAGAGACTACTTATATAGAGCTGAAATCAGTATACTCTATGACTGCCCCACACAGTAGAGACTACTTAAATAGAGCTGAAATCAGCATACTCCATGACTGCCCCACACAGTAGAGACTACTTAGATAGAGCTGAAATCAGTATACTCCATGACTGCCCCACACAGTAGAGACTACTTATATAGAGCTGAAATCAGTATACTCCATGACTGCCCCACACAGTAGAGACTACTTATATAGAGCTGAAATCAGTATACTCCATGACTGCCCCACACAGTAGAGACTACTTAAATAGAGCTGAAATCAGTATACTCCGTGACTGCCCCACACAGTAGAGACTACTTAGATAGAGCTGAAATCAGTATACTCCATGACTGCCCACACAGTAGAGACTACTTAAATAGAGCTGAAATCAGTATACTCCGTGACTGCCCCACACAGTAGAGACTACTTATATAGAGCTGAAATCAGTATACTCCATGACTGCCCCACACAGTAGAGACTACTTAGATAGAGCTGAAATCAGTATACTCCATGACTGCCCCACACAGTAGAGACTACTTATATAGAGCTGAAATCAGTATACTCCATGACTGCCCCACACAGTAGAGACTACTTATATAGAGCTGAAATCAGTATACTCCATGACTGCCCCACACAGTAGAGACTACTTAAATAGAGCTGAAATCAGTATACTCCGTGACTGCCCCACACAGAAGAGACTACTTAGATAGAGCTGAAATCAGTATACTCCATGACTGCCCCACACAGTAGAGACTACTTAGATAGAGCTGAAATCAGTATACTCCATGACTGCCCCACACAGTAGAGACTACTTATATAGAGCTGAAATCAGTATACTCCATGACTGCCCCACACAGTAGAGACTACTTATATAGAGCTGAAATCAGTATACTCCATGACTGCCCCACACAGTAGAGACTACTTAAATAGAGCTGAAATCAGTATACTCCATGACTGCCCCAAACAGTAGAGACTACTTATATAGAGCTGAAATCAGTATACTCCATGACTGCCCCGCACAGAACATCCCCCAAACACACCTGAGTGAAGCTGACACCTGCTCCGTCTGCCAGACCAGCCAACTCACTGACGTACTCAGGGAACACTTTCTTCACGGTGTCCAAGTACCCACTGTAATACTGAAACACACAAGCATACAGATTGATCAGAACCATCTACAGGAACGCTTTCTTCATGGTGTCCAAATACCCATTGTAACACTGAAACACACAAGCATACAGATTGACCAGATGATTGGTATGTTCCCCAAGGATGATTGAGTAATGATATATTTCCCAATAAAGGCTGACCAATAGAATGTTCCCCAGTGATGGTTGACTACTGGAATATTCCCCAATAATGATTGAGTAATGATATATTTCCCAATAATGGCTGACTAATAGAATGTTCCCCAATAATGGCTGACTAATGGAATGTTCCCCAATAATGGTTGACTACTGGAATATTCCCCAATAATGATTGAGTAATGATATATTCCCCAATAATGGTTGACTAATGGCATGTTCCCCAATAATAATTTACTAATTGCATGTTCCCCAATGATGATTGACGAATGGAATATTTCCCAATGACGATTGACTAATAGAATGTTCCCCAATGATTGACTAATGGAATATTCCCCAATGATGATTGACTAATGGAACATTCTCCATGATGATTGACTAATAGAATGTTCCCCAATTATGATTGACTAATGGAATATTCCCAATGATGACTGACTAATGGAATGTTCCCCAATGATGACTGACTAATGGAAAATTCCCCAATGATGATTGACTAATGGAATGTTCCCCAATGATGACTGACTAGTGGAATATTCCCCAATGATGACTGACTAAGGGAATGTTCCCCAATGATGACTGACTAGTGGAATATTCCCCAATGATGACTGACTAAGGGAATGTTCCCCAATGATGACTGACTAATGGAATGTTCCCCAATGATGACTGACTAGTGGAATATTCCCCAATGATGACTGATTAATGGCATGTTCCCCAATGATGACTGACTAGTGGAATACTCCCCAATGATGACTGATTAAGGGAATATTCCCCAATGATGACTGATTAATGGCATGTTCCCCAATGATGACTGATTAATGGCATGTTCCCCAATGATGACTGATTAATGGCATGTTCCCCTGGATCTCAAAGGTGAAGTATGCAGTGAAGCAGTGGTTATGTTCAGTTTCAGGTGTTACCTTCAGCAAGGTGTTACCTTGCACTCATGTTCAATCAGGGGTGCTTACAAGGATGCTTACCATTCATGCTAAAAAGCTAGAGAAACTGGGCGAAGGCTGCAAACTCACTTGTTTCCCTGCATCTGTTTGGATGAACTGTGTCACCTTTGCCAGGGATGAACTCTGATTGTAGAATTCCTGAATCATGCCTCTGAATGTCCTGCCCTGCAATACAACAATAGACCACTTGATTCATATTCTGGAATGTCCTACCCTGCAATACAACAACAGACCTCTTGAATCACATTCTGGAATGTCCTACCCTGCAATACAACAACAGACCTCTTGAATCACATTCTGGAATGTCCTACCCTGCAATACAACAATAGAACTCTTGAATCACATTCTGGAATGTCCTACCCTGCAATACAACAACAGACCTCTTGAATCACATTCTGGAATGTCCTACCCTGCAATACAACAATAGACCTCTTGAATCATATTCTGGAATGTCCTACCCTGGAATACAACAACAGACCTCTTGAATCATATTCTGGAATGTCCTACCCTGCAATACAACAATAGACCTCTTGAATCACGTCCAGGAATGTGATGCCCTTGAATGCAAAAGGAATATTTGTCCGTATACAACTGGTATAAATGTGATATATTTTTAGTTTAAGGAGTTGCCCCTCCCTTGAGTCTGTTGTGGTAATAGAGCAGTCCAATTAGGGAACACACTAGTTACAGCAAGTTTTTTCTTCAGGAGTTATGTTGAATATCGTTTGGACGACATTTTGCATGTACATTCTGTCTTCTACAATTTTCCTGCTGAGCAAGGCAGTGAAACAAAAGTAGTGATGTCTACAGCATCAAACACAACAACTTACCATGTCCAGCCCTATCTGGTAATTTGTGCCTATTGTGTAGAGTTCGGGGAAACTGACACCAGCGATCACCTGCATCCATGCTGCAGCAGCTAATAGCAGCAGTGTCTTCATGGCTGAAAGTATTGGCGACAATTTGACTATAGACACTACAAAAAGACAAGACAATTTTCATCTCGCCTTGCCTGAAAAGTCCAAACTCAAATGACCACAAACATTCATCAAATTATGCCTGTTTGTTGCTGTAGCTTGTGAGATAACACAGGTTGCCAGTCAGTGATGTCTTTTTACTGATCCCTTTCACGACCTGCGAGCATCATCTCAGCTTCACATGACCGGAAACTTCATCTTGTTAACGACTGAGAAGAGACAGTTTAGGATCCTGAAATGTACCACATCCGGGGCAGATTCAGCCTTTGGAGAAAGGAGGGGTGCACTGTTCAAAAAGAGGGGTGCACAGTTGGTTTTCATGCATTTCACAAGAGTTTTCACATGTGGTATGCACATGTATTAGAATCATCAAATATATCTCAATTGTTAGGAGCTTCAAAATACACTTCAGTTGCAGTGACCTTTAAAGCAAATCTCTGGTGTACGGAACTAGATCTTAAAAACCAATATTCAGACTCAAGTCAGCAGCTAGTGTCATTAACATTTCCCATGTTGTAATTAAACAATTCCCAGTTCATGTCATCTGGAGTGATGTTCTGAATGACATACCTCACTCTCATGCCAGGAACCTGGTTTAATCCTTTACATAGATCCATGGCTGGAGTAATTTGATCCCCAGCTGTTGACTACACATCTATGGTATACAGACATTTATCTAGTTCCAGATTAACACCTCCATTCTATTTATCCTGTTCATCATCTACCTGACGAAGTGATGAAACAAGTGTCAGCTCACCAGACCCAGACTGTACTGCATCTAGCACCCTGTACCTACTTGAATTATCATTATATATTTAAGTTGCATGGAGTTAAATGGTCAAGATTCTTTCACCAATTCCAGAAGATGACATTGGTCCAATATAACTTTCACACAGCCTTTCAAGCTGGACCAGAAGATGACATTGGTCCAATATAACTTTCATACAGCCTTTCAAGCTGGACCAGAAGATGACATTGGTCCAGTATAACTTTCACACAGCCTTTCAAGCTGGACCAATGGACACACGTATTTGAGATGTAGAACAAAGAAAATACGACACATGGCATGTACAAGCACTACTTCCTTAACACATACACACATTCACTGATAAAAACAAACATATTTCCTGTCCATCAAAACCATTTCACCCAACTGTAATTGGGTACAGCTAGACGACATAAATATAACTATTTCTTTTATTCAATATGAGAAATTGACATGATTACATTACAGTAAACTTGTAATGTCTATCACTATATACAGGGCTCCAGATAAGGGCCGTATCGGCGTATTGTACGGATAAAAGATATGCACGATACGGAAGGAAATAATTTAGAAAACGTAGCAGATATGCATCACAGCAATGGTGTACGGTCTTAGAATCATTTACAGACGTATTTATCTGAAAAAGTATTGTTTTATTGTTTATTGACCTGTCTACACAAGAATAGCAATGTTGTGGTGCATATATGAAACGAAACACAAGATTACGTATACTCCATTAAATTCCATTCAGTACTCTTAATGTACTCTAATGTTTTCCAGTACTCCTGTATTGAAAAAATAAGGAGTACGTACTCTTGATGTCGAAAAATTATCTGGAGCCCTGTATATAGGTAAAACATAGACCATAGATCTACACACACACACACACATATAGAGTACATTGTAATATTGTGGGTATGTGAAATAATACATATTTCATAGTAAACCACTTGATAATTTCTGTGTACGTCATGTCCATGGTTTGAATGTTGTCAGCTGTAGACATAGCAGGCACAATGACATCAGGGGTAGAAGTGTAAGCCTGAAGTCAGCCAGCACACAGATGGTCCAGATAACTGCTGGCTATGGGCCTGCCAGCTTGTATTGCAGGACACATAACCAACACATCACCAGCAACCATCGGCAAAACTTGCCAAATTGGAATTTCAGATGTTTTTGTTGAGTTAAAACGTATGTACTAGAGTTTTAACTTTATGTATAGTTTTCTGATGACCCTCCGTGTGAAGGACTTGACTGCAAACACCTTAAATCTCATTGTTTACAATCCTGACACTTGTTGTGTGAAAACGACAAGGTATATACCTCTGTTTGAAGTTCTTGTGATATGATGTTCACCACACTGTACCTAAACCCGTGGTTGTCGTCACGACAGTCGTGTTCTCAATAGAGGACAATACGTAAATGTAACATCTTATCGTGAGATAGCACAGAAACACCTGGCCCTATGTGGGTCATGATGGGCTACAGTGGTTAAAACAGCTGGAATGTATTTTAAAAGATTAATGTACAAGGCCCATAAAACCTATTTTGCATGAATTACATCTTAACGGTTTGCGGTAGTTTGTACTTTGTACGGTAAAAGTTAGTTTTGGGAGTTAACTCCCTTTGTCCTAGTTATTGCCAAGAGCGTGTAAGGCGAACCCGCCAGATTCAAACCACGCATCATAAGCAGCGTACAGAAGTTCAAGTAAAAACTATGCAGTCAATTACTAGTATGAAGGGAGCTTGGAATAAGCCCCTGTTGTTTGACCCTGAGAAGAGAGAAGTTTCAACTTTATGTAGAAAATTTAGTTGTGAAAAACAAAGATAGTTAGCGCTTTAAAATATACAGTCTTTGGTTGTCACGAATTAAAGATTTTTTTGTGTTGTTTTTGGTTTTTGGTTTAGATTGCAAGGGAATCTTTGCCGTTATTATCACTACTACTAAAAAACTAAAAGACTATTCACTCTTGCCGTTACGTCTAACAGCGCAGGGTACAACAGAGCAGACAGAAAGTGATGTGAAGGAACTCTTCAAGGCAAACCCATTTCCTACAAATGAAGAATTGAATAAACCATTTCTGTCAACAATAATTCACGAATTAGTCCCATCAAATGTACTATTTACTGAACGTGTGCAATGATTTGTTACTGAATTGATTTAGTGCAGGCTTCAGTTATTTCCATGTGGAAATGGGAGAAGTAGAAGTACTACTTTAAATGGCAGTATGAATATCTTCGTCCACAGTCATCCCGAGGTTATTCCGGAAGAGACATTTAGTTGTTGATGCTACCGTTTATACATTGTATGTATTGTACTGAGTGAGTGAGTGAGTTTAGTTTTACGCCGCACTCAGCAATATTCCAGCTATATGGCGGCGGTCTGTAAATGCTGGACCACACAACCCAGTGATCAACAGCATGAGCATCGATCTACGCAATTGGGATACGATGACATGTGTCCACCAAGTCAGTGAGCCTTACCACCCGATCCCGTTAGTCGCCTCTTACAAGCATGGGTTACGGGTTAGATTGTATTGTGATAGCTCTGTTGATTATACATTGTATAGATTTCTGCTGACTATACATTGTATATATTGTATTGTACGTGATGGCTCTGTTGACTATACATTGTATAAACTGTATTGTGATAGCTCTGCTGACTATACATTGTATAGATTGCATTGTACGTGATAGCTCTGCTGACTATGCATTGAATAGATTGTATTGTGATAGCTCTGCTGACTATACATTGTACAGATTGCATTGTACGTTATAGATCTGCTGACTATGCATTGTATAGATTGTATTGTGATACCTCTGCTCACTATACATTGTATATATTGTATTGTGATAGCTCTGCTGACTATACATTGTATAGTTGGTATTGTGATAGCTCTGCTGACTATACATTGTATAGATTGTATTGTACGTGATAGCTCTGCTGACTATGCATTGAATAGATTGTATTGTGATAGCTCTGCTGACTATACATTGTACAGATTGCATTGTACGTTATAGATCTGCTGACTATGCATTGTATAGATTGTATTGTGATACCTCTGCTCACTATACATTGTATATATTGTATTGTGATAGCTCTGCTGACTATACATTGTATAGATTGTATTGTGAAAGCTCTGCTGACTATACATTGTATAGATTGTATTGTACGTGATAGCTCTGCTGACTATACATTGTATATCTTGTATTGTGATAGCTCTGCTGACTATACATTGTATAGATTGTATTGTGATAGCTCTGCTGACTATACATTGTATATATTGTATTGTGATAGCTCTGCTGACTATACATTGTATAGATTGTATTGTGATAGCTCTGCTGACTGTACATTGTATATATTGTATGGTGATAGCTCTGCTGACTCTAAAATTGCATAGATTGTATTGTGATAGCTCTGCTGACTATACATTGTATAGATTGTATTGTGATAGCTCTGCTGACTATACATTGACCATTAATGGATTATGTAACTGTTTTACCCATCACTTGGTGCAGTTTTAGGACCTCCATTAATGGATTATCGAAAGCCTTAACTCAGTTTTACCTGCATCACTGGATTGCAGTTTTTAGGACCTCCATTAATGGATTATAAACTGTTTTACCCATCACTGGTGCAGTTTTAGGACCTCCATTAATGGATTATAAACTGTTTTACCCATCACTGATGCAGTTTTAGGACCTCCATTAATGGATTATAAACTGTTTTACCCATCACTGGTGCAGTTGTAGGACCTCCATTAATGGATTATAAACTGTTTTACCCATCACTGGTGCAGTAAGACCTCCATTAATGTATTATAAACTGTTTTACCAGTCACTGATGCAGTTGTAGGACCTCCATTAATGGATTATAAACTGTTTTACCCTTCACTGATGCAGTTGTAGGACCTCCATTAATGGATTATAAACTGTTTTACCCATCACTGGTGCAGTTTTAATGACCTCCATTAATGGATTATAAACTGTTTTACCCTTCACTGGTGCAGTTTTAGGACCTCCATTAATGGATTATAAACTGTTTTACCCATCACTGATGCAGTTTTAAGGACCTCCATTAATGGATTATTAACTGTTTTACCCATCACTGGTGCAGTTTTAATGACCTCCATTAATGGATTATAAACTGTTTTACCCATCACTGGTGCAGTTTTAGGACCTCCATTAATGTATTATAAACTGTTTTATAAACTGTTTTACCAATCACTGATGCAGTTGTAGGACCTCCATTAATGGATTATAAACTGTTTTACCAGTCACTGATGCAGTTGTAGGACCTCCATTAATGGATTATAAACTGTTTTACCCATCACTGGTGCAGTTGTAGGACCTCCATTAATGGATTATAAACTGTTTTACCCATCACTGGTGCAAACTGTTTTTAGTTTTAATGACCTCCATTAATGGATTATTAACTGTTTTACCCATCACTGGTGGTGCAGTTTTAAAGGACCTCCATTAATGGATTAATGGATTATAACTGTTTTACCCATCACTGGTGCAGTTGTAGGACCTCCATTAATGGATTATTAACTGTTTTACCCATCACTGGTGCAGTTGTAGGACCTCCATTAATGGATTATTAACTGTTTTACCCATCACTGGTGCAGTTGTAGGACCTCCATTAATGGATTATTAACTGTTTTACCCATCACTGGTGCAGTTTTAGGACCTCCATTAATGGATTATAAACTGTTTTACCCATCACTGGTGCAGTTGTAGGACCTCCATTAATGGATTATTAACTGTTTTACCCATCACTGGTGCAGTTGTAGGACCTCCATTAATGGATTATAAACTGTTTTACCCATCACTGGTGCAGTTTTAGGACCTCCATTAATGGATTATAAACTGTTTTACCCATCACTGGTGCAGTTGTAGGACCTCCATTAATGGATTATAAACTGTTTTACCCATCACTGGTGCAGTTTTAATGACCTCCATTAATGGATTATAAACTGTTTTACCCTTCACTGGGGCAGTTTTAGGACCTCCATTAATGGATTATAAACTGTTTTACCCATCACTGATGCAGTTGTAGGACCTCCATTAATGGATTATAAACTGTTTTACCCATCACTGGTGCAGTTTTAGGACCTCCATTAATGGATTATAAACTGTTTTACCCATCACTGATGCAGTTTTAGGACCTCCATTAATGGATTATAAACTGTTTTACCCATCACTGATGCAGTTTTAGGACCTCCATTAATGGATTATAAACTGTTTTACCCATCACTGGTGCAGTTTTAAGGACCTCCATTAATGGATTATAAACTGTTTTACCCTTCACTGATGCAGTTGTAGGACCTCCATTAATGGATTATAAACTGTTTTACCCATCACTGGTGCAGTTTTAATGACCTCCATTAATGGATTATAAACTGTTTTACCCATCACTGGGGCAGTTTAAGGACCTCCATTAATGTATTATAAACTGTTTTACCAATCACTGATGCAGTTCCATTAATGGGACCTCCATTAATGGATTATTAAACTGTTTTACCCATCACTGGTGCAGTTGGATTATAAGGACCTCCATTAATGGATTATAAACTGTTTTACCCATCACTGGTGCAGTTGTAGGACCTCCATTAATGGATTATAAACTGTTTTACCCATCACTGGTGCAGTTGTAGGACCTCCATTAATGGATTATAAACTGTTTTACCCATCACTGGTGCAGTTTTAGGACCTCCATTAATGGATTATAAACTGTTTTACCCATCACTGGTGCAGTTGTAGGACCTCCATTAATGGATTATAAACTGTTTTACCCATCACTGACTGCAGTTTTAGGACCTCCATTAATGGATTATTAACTGTTTTACCCATCACTGGTGCAGTTTTAGGACCTCCATTAATGGATTATAACTGTTTTACCCATCACTGTGCAGTTTAGGACCTCCATAAATGGATTATAAACTGTTTTACCCATCACTGGTTGTAGGACCTCCATTAATGGATTATAAACTGTTTTACCCATCACTGGTGCAGTTGTAGGACCTCCATTAATGGATTATAAACTGTTTTACCCATCACTGGTGCAGTTTTAGGACCTCCATTAATGGATTATAAACTGTTTTACCCATCACTGGTGCAGTTTTAATGACCTCCATTAATGGATTATAAACTGTTTTACCCATCACTGGTGCAGTTTTAGGACCTCCATTAATGGATTATAAACTGTTTTACCCATCACTGATGCAGTTGTAGGACCTCCATTAATGGATTATAAACTGTTTTACCCATCACTGATGCAGTTGTAGGACCTCCATTAATGGATTATAAACTGTTTTACCCATCACTGGTGCAGTTGTAGGACCTCCATTAATGGATTATAAACTGTTTTACCCATCACTGGTGCAGTTTTAGGACCTCCATTAATGGATTATAAACTGTTTTACCCATCATCACTGACCTCAATTAATGGATTATAAACTGTTTTACCAGTTGCAGTTAGGACCTCCATTAATGGATTATAAACTGTTTTACCCATCACTGATGCAGTTTTAGGACCTCCATTAATGGATTATAAACTGTTTTACCCATCACTGGTGCAGTTTTAATGACCTCCATTAATGGATTATAAACTGTTTTACCCATCACTGGGGCAGTTTCAGGACCTCCATTAATGGATTATAAACTGTTTTACCCATCACTGGTGCAGTTTTAATGACCTCCATTAATGGATTATTAACTGTTTTACCCATCACTGGTGCAGTTTTAATGACCTCCATTAATGGATTATAAACTGTTTTACCCATCACTGGTGCAGTTTTAGGACCTCCATTAATGGATTATAAACTGTTTTACCAATCACTGATGCAGTTGTAGGACCTCCATTAATGGATTATAAACTGTTTTACCAGTCACTGATGCAGTTTTAGGACCTCCATTAATGGATTATTAACTGTTTTACCCACCTCTGATGCAGTTTTAGGACCTCCATTAAAGGATTATTAACTGTTTTACCCACCTCTGATGCAGTTTTAGGACCTCCATTAATGGCCGTCATGGTCTCCCTGTGTCATTGACCTGATGTAGGCTTGTCCCGGTCACAGCAGTCATGGTCTCCCTGTGCCATTGACCTGATGTAGGCTTGTCCCGGTCACAGCAGTCATGGTCTCCCTGTGCCATTGACCTGATGTAGGCTTGTCCCCGTCACAGCCGTCATGGTCGCCCTGTGTCATTGACCTGATGTAGGCTTGTCCCGGTCACAGCAGTCATGGTCTCCCTGTGCCATTGACCTGATGTAGGCTTGTCCCCGTCACAGCCGTCATGGTCTCCCTGTGTCATTGACCTGATGTAGGCTTGTCCCAGTCACAGCAGTCATGGTCTCCCTGTGTCATTGACGTGATGTAGGCTTGTCCCGGTCACAGCCGTCATGGTTTCCCTGTGTCATTGACCTGATGTAGGCTTGTCCCAGTCACAGCAGTCATGGTTTCCCTGTGTCATTGACCTGATGTAAGCTTGTCCCAGTCACAGCAGTCATGGTTTCCCTGTGTCATTGACCTGATGTAAGCTTGTCCCAGTCACAGCAGTCATTGTTTCCCTGTGTCATTGACCTGATGTAGGCTTGTCCCGGTCACAGCAGTCATGGTCTCCCTGTGTCATTGACCTGATGTAGGCTTGTCCCAGTCACAGCAGTCATGGTTTCCCTGTGTCATTGACCTGATGTAAGCTTGTCCCAGTCACAGCAGTCATGGTTTCCCTGTGTCATTGACCTGATGTAGGCTTGTCCCGGTCACAGCAGTCATGGTCTCCCTGTGTCATTGACCTGATGTAGGCTTGTCCCAGTCACAGCCGTCATGGTCTCCCTGTGTCATTGACCTGATGTAGGCTTGTCCCGGTCACAGCAGTCATGGTCTCCCTGTGTCATTGACCTGATGTAGGCTTGTCCCTGTCACAGCAGTCATGGTGTCCCTGTGTCATTGACCTGATGTAGGCTTGTCCCGGTCACAGCAGTCATGGTGTCCCTGTGTCATTGACCTGATGTAAGCTTGTCCCAGTCACAGCAGTCATGGTTTCCCTGTGTCATTGACCTGATGTAGGCTTGTCCCGGTCACAGCAGTCATGGTCTCCCTGTGTCATTGACCTGATGTAGGCTTGTCCCGGTCACAGCAGTCATGGTTTCCCTGTGTCATTGACCTGATGTAGGCTTGTCCCGGTCACAGCAGTCATGGTCTCCCTGTGTCATTGACCTGATGTAGGCTTGTCCCGGTCACAGCAGTCATGGTTTCCCTGTGTCATTGACCTGATGTAGGCTTGTCCCGGTCACAGCAGTCATGGTTTCCCTGTGTCATTGACCTGATGTAGGCTTGTCCCGGTCACAGCAGTCATGGTCTCCCTGTGTCATTGACCTGATGTAGGCTTGTCCCGGTCACAGCAGTCATGGTTTCCCTGTGTCATTGACCTGATGTAGGCTTGTCCCGGTCACAGCAGTCATGGTCTCCCTGTGTCATTGACCTGATGTAGGCTTGTCCCAGTCACAGCAGTCATGGTTTCCCTGTGTCATTGACCTGATGTAGGCTTGTCCCGGTCACAGCCGTCATGGTCTCCCTGTGTCATTGACCTGATGTAGGCTTGTCCCGGTCACAGCTGTCATGGTTTCCCTGTGTCATTGACCTGATGTAGGCTTGTCCCGGTCACAGCAGTCATGGTCTCCCTGTGTCATTGACCTGATGTAGGCTTGTCCCGGTCACAGCAGTCATGGTCTCCCTGTGTCATTGACCTGATGTAGGCTTGTCCCAGTCACAGCAGTCATGGTTTCCCTGTGTCATTGACCTGATGTAGGCTTGTCCCGGTCACAGCCGTCATGGCAAAGGGGTAAGACGTAGTCCTCAGTGTGTATGTTTAATGAAGTCGTGACCCGATATGTATCCCTTGTCTTAATTATTTACAGCTTAATGTAAAGATTCTATTCCGTAGTGACGTTTCTACGCTGTACGGGTGATATATCTTTTTATGGTTATAGGAAGGAGTTATCTCACCGCCTGTGTGTCCTCGATGGGAGTGATCAGCGTTCACCTGCTGTGGGTTACGGTCACCGCCTCGGTTGGTTGTCTTGAGCTGTACACGTCCAGGGGAACGCACTACCAAGTCGGTCTGGATGTGGTGAGTCCCTTCTGTAGCTGGGATACCGTAATTTCACTGTTAAGGTAAACTTTACCCCCAATAAATGTAAGATTGGCCATCAACCAATATCACACAATGTGATGCTATGTATCAACCATTTAGTCTAAGACAACCTCACACGTACAATCTCACACAATGTGTTGCTATGTATCAACCATTTAGTCTAAGACAACCTCTTACCGGCCACTAGTCAGTTACAAATACTAAACACACTATTGGACGTGTGAAACAAGTACGTTCGCTGCTCACACGCCGGAATACTAAGCTGGTGCAATCTGTTTCACGACTCTAAGTGGTCAGCTTATGGCAGCGTGTATTTTTTCTATTGAAACCTTGTTCTTGCTGTTTAACGCCGCAGTCAGCAATATTCCAGCTATTTCCACCAACTGTGATCGGTTTAGGCAGGCGGTCTTCCGTCACGAGAGCTGAATATTTATTTTGTACGGCCATTGTGCAATAACATGTAAAACTCAACCTGTTCAATCTTAAAGGGAGAGGATACGGACCCAATATATTAACCTCGAGCGGAACCTTTACACACACGTACGCACGCTCGCACTCACAGTAATCGTGGAGGTATCAGTACGAAAACATTTCCTCTTTGGGACTGGCTATTTTTTCATTGGTTCTCCCTATCTGCTGGGAAATCGTGCCGTACAATTGCGACACATGTTCTGTATAACGTTGCAGTTATTTATGGTGATTTCTATGCATGACTTAAACATTGATCATCCGTGGGCCACAGGAATGCGTCCGTAAGGTCAGCTAAACCTTTGGTCTGGTGACCTTGACCCCTGTCCATTATCTGGTGACCTTAACCCCTGTCCATGATACGTTGAACTTTCGTATGTACTGTTAGGACACATCCTCTGAATGAGATTGGAATACTAGCACTGTGGTACATTGTGACATACATCTATCGATAATAAATCGCAGAACTGAAAGCTGTTTGGTTCTGTGCTGACAAGACTTGTGCACATCCAAGGTTGGGATTTCACACACCTTGTGTATTGCGATAGATTTGGCAAAACCCATTTTGCATCTTCGGTACTGTCAGTTAGGGTATAACTATCACATCGTACCATGGGGGAAACAGGATTAACATATGTCAGAATAGAATGTTGGTATTAAATCCCCAGATTCCTGAAGCTATACGATGTCTAGGAGTCAGTCTCAGACTCGGCGCTGTGTCCCCCCAGCAACATGAAGCTGGTAATAGATGAGTGTGCCTCAGACATTGATGGTCAGTCCCTTGTGGATCCTACTCTGCCTCGTGTCATCACCCCCAGACCATCTCAGACCTATCTTTGGTAGCAGTCCACTAAAAGAAGACTTTCGGGGCTTTGGCCCATTGCATTATTAAAGGTACTGGACTGGCGATGCAAGGACTATGAAGTGGATGGTTCGTCCGACATGGTCATTTGTGTCCATTGTTTAGTTTACATTTTAACGTCCTCCAGGACTGGTTGGTTAACTTCATTGGGGACATATTCAGATTCTCTGGCAGGGTCTTGAGACAGATCTCATCAAGAGGAACGGTAGAGGGCACCAGGTGTGCTACAGACTGGAGTACCTTACCGTCTGCAAGAAGTACCCGAATCATCAACTCTAACGAATCATCAGCTCCAACGAATCATCGTTTTGGAACACTTGACACCTTACACAGATTTTCGTGAAGAGTAGTTGTGAAATGAGTAATGCTTGCAAGTCGCTTTTTTTTAACCAACACTTTTAATTGCAATCAATGAGCATTTTAATAGCGAGAATCATTTACCATCTGTACCAAGTAATTAACTCCCGTTGGATGCCTCACTTGTCTCACATGGTGTATTTGTTGTTACATCTCTGGAAATGTTTTCGCATAAATGTTTAGAAGTAGGGAAACATTGGAAAACTTTACGCTGAAAAGATGCAAAACTTTGCAGAAGAAATCTTTACCGGAAGGTCGTTAATTACGTCATTAGCACGGGCGGGTGGGGGTTGGAGGGAGGAATTGTATGCCGATAGGACAATTCGTTAAAAACATGAAAAACGAGCGTGATGTATTTCGTAATATAACATTGATCCATCATGACGTCATTTCTGGAGACTGGAACATCACTCACTGATTGGCGCTACTTTAGGGAGGGTCGGGAGGTGTTCCCCTTGGATTTAACTTGGCAACGCAGACACGCGCATTGACCACAGACAGCGCCCAAAGTAGAAAGTATAATTATTTAGGTGCTTATGAAATAAAGTACCGACAATATCTTTCAGAAGAAAACAGTGTATGTAGATTCGTGTGGGGGTTGTGCTTTACTTTCTCTCACGTCTGTCTTCATAGGGCCAGCATTTCCAAGATGCCATACAGTCGTATTATGCCACGATGGCCGACCTTCACACCAAGTTACTTCCCTTTGTTGAAACCACAGGCGGGATGCGGGTGAGATTCAATCAGGAATGCAGAATGTATAAACACCCTATTGTTATCGATATGAAGTTAAGATAATCAGATCTATAAAATACGAGAAATATTTATCTAGTAGACCTATTTTACTGTAATATAGGCTACTTATGTAGACAATGAAATAGTCAGTAATATGAAAACATGTTTACTGTGTCAAGCCCTATCTTCCCTATTTGAATTCGGTGCCACAATATCATAACAATATGTGTTCAGCAAAGATGTCTGTTGTGCCTCAACAGAGATATACAGAGTTTCCTCCCCTTAACAATGCGATGTTAAAGCACTACGACTGACGTATATCATCAACTGTAGACCTGCGGCTTTTTTCAAGACGAAACCATATCTACCTTACCATAATTACAATTTCATTTTGATTTTCAATACTTTTCATAAATTAGCCCCCCGCTCTGAAAACCCTGCTAAATCCTATATCTCCTGTACTATGTAGATTATTAAACTCATCTGACCTATATCTCGTGTACTAAGTAGATTATTAAACTCTTCTGACCTATATCACCTGTACGATGTAGATTATTAAACTCATCTGACCTATATCTCGTGTACTAAGTAGATTATTAAACTCATCTGACATATATCTCCTGTACTATGTAGATTATTAAACTCATCTGACCTATATCTCGTGTACTAAGTAGATTATTAAACTCATCTGACCTATATCTCCTGTAATATGTACATTATTAAACTCATCTGACCTATATCTCGTGTACTAAGTAGATTATTAAACTCATCTGACCTATATCTCCTGTACTAAGTAGATTATTAAACTCATCTGACCTATATCTCGTGTACTATGTACATTATTAAACTCATCTGACCTATCTCCTGTACTATGTACATTATTAAACTCATCTGACCTATATCTCCTGTACTAAGTAGATTATTAAACTCATCTGACCTATATCTCCTGTACTATGTACATTATTAAACTCATCTGACCTATATCTCCTGTACGATGTAGATTATTAAACTCATCTGACCTATATCTCCTGTACTAAGTAAATTATTAAACTCATCTGACCTATATCTCCTGTACGATGTAGATTATTAAACTCATCTGACCTATATCTCCTGTACTATGTACATTATTAAACTCATCTGACCTATATCTCCTGTACGATGTAGATTATTAAACTCATCTGACCTATATCTCGTGTACTAAGTAGATTATTAAACTCATCTGACCTATATCTCCTGTACTATGTAGATTATTAAACTCATCTGACCTATATCTCCTGTACTAAGTAGATTATTAAACTCATCTGACCTATATCTCCTGTACGATGTAGATTATTAAACTCATCTGACCTATATCTCCTGTACGATGTAGATTATTAAACTCATCTGACCTATATCTCGTGTACTATGTACATTATTAAACTCATCTGACCTATATCTCCTGTACGATGTAGATTATTAAACTCATCTGACCTATATCTCGTGTACTAAGTAGATTATTAAACTCATCTGACCTATATCTCCTGTACTATGTAGATTATTAAACTCATCTGACCTATATCTCCTGTACTATGTACATTATTAAACTCATCTGACCTATATCTCCTGTACTAAGTAGATTATTAAACTCATCTGACCTATATCTCGTGTACTAAGTAGATTATTAAACTCATCTGACCTATATCTCCTGTACTATGTAGATTATTAAACTCATCTGACCTATATCTCGTGTACTAAGTAGATTATTAAACTCATCTGACCTATATCTCCTGTACTATGTAGATTATTAAACTCATCTGACCTATATCTCGTGTACTATGTACATTATTAAACTCATCTGACCTATATCTCCTGTACTAAGTAGATTATTAAACTCATCTGACCTATATCTCCTGTACTAAGTAGATTATTAAACTCATCTGACCTATATCTCCTGTACTAAGTAGATTATAAAACTCATCTGACCTATATCTCCTGTACTATGTACATTATTAAACTCATCTGACCTATATCTCCTGTACGATGTAGATTATTAAACTCATCTGACCTATATCTCCTGTACTAAGTAGATTATTAAACTCATCTGACCTATATCTCCTGTACTAAGTAGATTATTAAACTCATCTGACCTATATCTCCTGTACTATGTACATTATCAAACTCATCTGACCTATATCTCTTGTACTAAGTAGATTATTAAACTCATCTGACCTATATCTCCTGTGCTAAGTAGATTATTAAACTCATCTGACCTATATCTCCTGTACTATGTACATTATTAAACTCATCTGACCTATATTTCGTGTACTAAGTAGATTATTAAACTCATCTAGCCTATATCTCCTGTACGATGTAGATTATTAAACTCATCTGACCTATATCTCCTGTACTAAGTAGATTATTAAACTCATCTGACCTATATCTCCTGTACTAAGTAGATTATTAAACTCATCTGACCTATATCTCCTGTACTATGTACATTATTAAACTCATCTGACCTATATCTCGTGTACTAAGTAGATTATTAAACTCATCTGACCTATATCTCCTGTACGATGTAGATTATTAAACTCATCTGACCTATATCTCCTGTACTATGTACATTATTAAAGTCATCTGACCTATATCTCCTGTACTATGTAGATTATTAAACTCATCTGACCTATATCTCGTGTACTAAGTAGATTATTAAACTCATCTGACCTATATTTCCTGTACGATGTAGATTATTAAACTCATCTGACCTATATCTCCTGTACGATGTAGATTATTAAACTCATCTGACCTATATCTCCTGTACTAAGTAGATTATTAAAATCATCTGACATATATCTCCTGTACGATGTAGATTATTAAACTCATCTGACCTATATCTCCTGTACGATGTTGATTATTAAACTCATCTGACCTATATCTCCTGTACGATGTAGATTATTAAACTCATCTGACCTATATCTCCTGTACTAAGTAGATTATTAAACTCATCTGACCTATATCTCCTGTACTAAGTAGATTATTAAACTCATCTGACCTATATCTCTTGTACTATGTACATTATTAAACTCATCTGACCTATATCTCCTGTACTATGTAGATTATTAAACTCATCTGACCTATATCTCCTGTACGATGTAGATTATTAAACTCATCTGACCTATATCTCCTGTACGATGTAGATTATTAAACTCATCTGACCTATATCTCCTGTACTAAGTAGATTATTAAAATCATCTGACATATATCTCCTGTACGATGTAGATTATTAAACTCATCTGACCTATATCTCCTGTACGATGTTGATTATTAAACTCATCTGACCTATATCTCCTGTACGATGTTGATTATTAAACTCATCTGACCTATATCTCCTGTACTATGTACATTATTAAACTCATCTGACCTATATCTCGTGTACTAAGTAGATTATTAAACTCATCTGACCTATATCTCCTGTACTAAGTAGATTATTAAACTCATCTGACCTATATCTCCTGTACTAAGTAGATTATTAAACTCATCTGACCTATATCTCCTGTACTATGTACATTATTAAACTCATCTGACCTATATCTCGTGTACTAAGTAGATTATTAAACTCATCTGACCTATATCTCCTGTACTAAGTAGATTATTAAACTCATCTGACCTATATCTCCTGTACTATGTACATTATTAAACTCATCTGACCTATATCTCGTGTACTAAGTAGATTATTAAACTCATCTGACCTATATCTCCTGTACGATGTAGATTATTAAACTCATCTGACCTATATCTCCTGTACTAAGTAGATTATTAAACTCATCTGACCTATATCTCCTGTACTAAGTAGATTATTAAACTCATCTGACCTATATCTACTGTACTATGTACATTATTAAACTCATCTGACCTATATCTCGTGTACTAAGTAGATTATTAAACTCATCTGACCTATATCTCCTGTACTATGTAGATTATTAAACTCATCTGACCTATATCTCCTGTACGATGTAGATTATTAAACTGATCTGACCTATATCTCCTGTACTATGTACATTATTAAACTCATCTGACCTATATCTCCTGTACGATGTAGATTATTAAACTCATCTGACCTATATCTCGTGTACTAAGTAGATTATTAAACTCATCTGACCTATATCTCCTGTACGATGTAGATTATTAAACTCATCTGACCTATATCTCCTGTACGATGTAGATTATTAAACTCATCTGACCTATATCTCGTGTACTAAGTAGATTATTAAACTCATCTGACATATATCTCCTGTACTATGTAGATTATTAAACTCATCTGACCTATATCTCCTGTACTATGTAGATTATTAAACTCATCTGACCTATATCTCCTGTACGATGTAGATTATTAAACTCATCTGACCTATATCTCGTGTACTAAGTAGATTATTAAACTCATCTGACCTATATCTCGTGTACTAAGTACATTATTAAACTCATCTGACCTATATCTCCTGTACTATGTACATTATTAAACTCATCTGACCTATATCTCCTGTAATAAGTAGATTATTAAACTCATCTGACCTATATCTCCTGTACGATGTAGATTATTAAACTCATCTGACCTATATCTCCTGTACTAAGTAGATTATTAAACTCATCTGACCTATATCTCGTGTACTATGTACATTATTAAACTCATCTGACCTATATCTCCTGTACTATGTAGATTATTAAACTCATCTGACCTATATCTCCTGTACGATGTAGATTATTAAACTCATCTGATAATCGGTTTGTCCTATTTCCATCTCCAGATCTATGAAACATATTTGAAAATGGCTGAAACATACTTCCCTCAGTATGTAGATGAGCTTCGTGGAATCGCCGTGGGGGCCAAACTTCCCTTTAAACAGGTTCGTGCAGTAATTGGTGACTTCAAATTTATTTCAGTCGCATTTTTTGTATCAATTCTCTAATATATCTTAGTCCTAGTCTCACGAGGTGCTCCTCAATATGTTCACACAATGACACTATGTTGTTAGGGGTTCAGTTATATTATAATTATAATTATGATTCATTCATCCATGGTGACTTGATATTTCGAGATTGGAACACAATTTGATGGTTTCGTAATCTGATCGACACTACCCCCTCAATTCCTAAGATAAGTTGCAAATTGTGTTGCAAAAATGATTGGGAGACACTGAATCGTCTATCGTGCTAATTCCATGGGGTTCCAACGGTGCAACTCAGCAGAGCCGGATTACCTGTGGGGAAGTATTTGAAGAATGTAACAGCATAGTTGTCAGAAACAGGATGTCGGTGTAAAATGAATTGAAACCATATTCATATTGTCCAAACCCGTTTTGATGAAACATTATCAGACAATTGTTCTGTTGGACAGAAATTTTGTTTGCTACTGGAATGAAGACATGATACTGTGTCGGGCTGATGCTTAGCGGGTTTAATTGTTTAATTTTCGTAGGTTTTCACAAATCACATATGGGACGAGTTATCTACCCTGATTGGCGTTAAACAGGAGAAGTCGTGTACAGATGTGTACGTGAATGACGTCGGGGATGAAAAGCCAGCCGAGTTGACGGGGAAGCCACAGGTAAGTATCCTGACCAAGACTGCTTTCAACCAAGGTTACAGGTACAGTGAAGAGAGCTCCATAAAGAGTTATCTCCCTTACATCGTTAACACGTTATAGTACAGGGGTCTACCTTTGAATATAGTATGTAAATCTAGTATATAACAGCCATATAATAATAGTCATTCGTGTACTGTTCTGCCACATTTACGTCAAGAGGTAACAAATGTACATCACTAATGTAGTTTGGCTTGGGGCACAATGAAGATGGGAGTCCCAGAGCCAAGACCCGGGCCTACATCCTACACGCCATCATCGTCGACAACGTCACGGAGACGGTGGAGGAGAACTTCACGTCGTTCACGTATCCTGGTACGACCACCCTGCAGGACATACCAATACCCGAGTGAATACATCCATTACTTCTTTTATACACCTGTAAAATATTTCGGAGAGATCGTGTTCACATTTATAGCAACATAGCCATCGGAAACAGCTTTGTGGAGTGCTGGTTAAAGGAGGAATTAATGACCTTACTACCCCTCTGATTGATCATTGTTGTTGTCAGGTGAGCTATCTGGAGATGCTTACGGGTTCAACATGCACGGAGTCGTGCTCACCATGAACGCCGTGTTACCGGTGGTAGTTGGTATTGGTGCTGTTCGTAAGTATGCATGGACCTATATATTTAACATATAAACCGTTACTCCAGGCCGGCATTACTCAAGATGGTTCTGCCCCTAACGTATGAAACGCGGAAACTCGTAATACAAGTCATCACACTGCTACGTGGTATTGTCTCTTACATGATATCATTATCAAAGTGAAAGGGCAAAAGCCCTCTGTGGCCACAACCCACGGAGGGAGAAATTGGTTCGAGAACGTTCGAACGGCGTGGTTTTCATGTTGGAGTTGTGCGTTGATGAAATCGATTCTTTCAATGCGCTTTTTCGCATAGTCGGCTTGCGCGGCTTGTAATTTCTCCACGGACACATCTTGCCGTTTCCCGTTCCGCTGCGATTTTGGCCGCGTTGGACGTTCGTAATCGGGGAAAAAGGTAATTGCTGCTGGAAAAGGCCAGGGCGTTGATGATATCCCTGACGACCATGATCGCGATCGTGGCCATCTTTATATGTACGTTATTATTTTTTTATTTCAATATATTTTCCGGAATGATGCCTTGCCTGACGAGCATCGCTTTGGTGGCCATAGCCAGTCCCAAGTCGAACACGAGCATGCCCATGTCTTGCAGGTTGAAATGAAGTTTGGGTGCCGGTTGTTTGGTGATGATTTTGCTCAATCGATCGTAGCCTATGGTCAGCCCGCTGATCACGGCGGCGTAATACATGTCGTTGACGAACGTTTTTTCCGTCGGGGTTAGACATGGTGTGTATATATAAATTTATTTCTATGAGATCATCTCTCCACTCGTTACTCGTTTTACCACCCCATTCTTTCAACTTCTTGCTGGCTTCTACGAGGGGCATGTTTGGAATGATAGGAATACCCAAACTGGGATTCACACCTGGCAAACGCCAATCCGTGTTCGGATCGATTTTGGAATGTTCGTCGCGTTCCACGCCTTGTCCTGCGGAATCAGGGTGTTGATTTCTTTCAGGATGCGTCTGGTTTGGTAGTACATGTTGAAATAGAACACGGACCGACTCAGCGCATCACGACGAGTGTTGTTCAAGGTCACGTCGCAGCCGGTCGTCGCACACCACATGGATAAATTGAATTGATTCTGACAGAATTGAATCGGGTTGTTAAACCATGCGTGGACTGTCTTGACGTTCGTGACCGAAAGCCTATACTTTTCAAATCCATCGATAAATCGAGCTCGAAAGTGGGAACCCTCCTTCGCATCCACCACAATTTCCATGTGCGTGAGATTGGTAGCACTTAAATTATCACTTTAAGGATAGATCACTCCAGGCTGGTACTTGGGTGAAGCCATATTGAATTATTATAATTACGTATATATATTTTTTTCAATATGTACGTCAATCACGAATGGCGAACCTGTTCTGCTGCTGCAAGCGATCGATAACACTTCCGGGGAACTTGAAGTCGAGCTGTGCGATCTCACCTACTACCCGCGATGGTTGAATATCAGCGCTAAGAGAAACAACAACAAGCTGTTTATCGATAAGAGCCGCCACCTGTTGACCGACGGTAATTATCACGTGTGTATGCTGGACGACGAAATTTTTTAAACCCGTCGGAGCCAGTCTTAAACTCAACGAGTCAGATTCAAGTTGACAAACGGAGACCAACCAATCAACCTGGGTCGACCCTTGGCGAGAACACTGGGGCTGGCGACTTACGAGATACCACCTCGGGACATCACTACGGGCTCGAAATTGCCGAGCCTCGACCCCTACCGGGAACTGTGCATTCATCTCAATCAGCTGCGCACGACAGACAACGTTCAAGGCGAACGACCTTCCACGCTGCTGATAGCCATGCCGGTGAAAGCAGAAAAGTATAACGACGGCAGAACTGAATCGTTTTCGACCTTGCAGTACAAGAAATTAACGCGAGGCAACATCACGGAATTGAAACTATCAGTTTTAGATATAAAATATAAACCCGTTCATATAGGATACCAGAGCGTGACGCTGAACATCAAACAACGATGCACATCAAACAAGCTTCTTCGGGTCCGGGAAAGACCATGCGACCGAGAAAATGCGGCAACCTAGTGATCTCCGACCGTGGGGACACACATGGCTTCGACGAGCCCGGCGTAGACGGCAGACTGTACACCTTGCAAATCAAAACCAACATTTACAAACACGTCAAAGTGAGCGGCGGATCTGGTGGTAACCTAGGAGATTTAGACGATGTCAAGACCAGAGGTCTCTTAAATAAAACGCAGTACAATCTCGTTCGCAACGCCAATAACATATGGGTGATGGTTCCAGCCTTCGGCGGCAAACTCTTTGACCTGGACGATGTTGAGAAGACGGCCGCCGCTCGAAACACGCCGTACACACCCGTCTTTACCTACGACAACCGATGGATGTTTGTGCCCTCTCGAATCTGCTGGAATCTCAACATTGCGCTAGACTCTCCCCACCTGTTCACGGAAAACAAAGACCACCACCTCACGAAAGTCGTGAACAACGGTACGCTGATCGTGGCTTACGTCCCGGCGCAAAGACGCAGCGTCATCGTCAGCACGCTGTCGCAACCCATAGCTCACATCCTATCGAGTAAACCCGGGACGTCAAACGCAACGTTGCAGTTAGTGTCAGAATTCAACAGCGTGGTCGACATCCTGCAAAATCTGCTGGCGCAATCATCCAAGTCTACATCGGCAAACCACGGTTTGGTAACGTCAAAATCGTCAAAGGCATCAAACTCCAGTGGACCCAACAACACCATTACCTAGTTTGCTCCATTTACATACGGGTGGGCGTGGATGCCTTCACCAGTCAGCAGGGAGTCAACGTCACCGTGGAAAACACGATATCGCTCACGAAAATTTTCTTTCGCGATTACATAGAGCCGAAAAATTATCCGAAAACCAATTAAAATTTCTTCTCTAATATAAACCATGACAAACGTGACTCTGCAATCCACCATCCACCGAGATCGGAGGACGCGAGGATTCAACGAACCCGGTACGGAAAATGCCCTGTACATCCTGCACTTACAAACCAAGATGTACCAACGTCGAGAAGTTATCGTCGAATTGAACTGGATCATCAATATCGTCCTGACCTACCCCTATCTCATCATGGATCAGGATCATAATATCCTCGAACTAAAAAACAATGGGATTGTACTGAGAAGTTTTATTCTGTTTCATTAAAAGGGAATGTACGCATCACCATTACCAGATCAAACCGGTTATATGCCAGTCCCTCACTCGGAAGACAAAACGAAATGGCTCTATTTAAAACTATATAGTGAAGTCCCAGACTCTTGGATCACTGCGATACCAGGTTCTACCCTTATTATCGACGTCGTTCTTGGAAATGCCTCCGGACAACAGTTGGGACTTCTGCCCGGGTTAAACATACTCTGGCATGATCGCCATAAAAATCAACGCTGTCATATTTATGTACAACTAGAAACAGCTTCCACCACAAGCCTCGAGGGAGTCGAGGTTTTTATTGGAGATGAAATTTTACTCAACCAGATTTATGCACCCGAACACGTGCACCTCATCAACTTAAAGTATACTCATCAACGATTGACGGAGGACCAATTAAATATTATTTCGTAAACTATATATATAGTGCAAGATGGGATTGTATCCGGCCATGGACGACGTGGCTCAAACGCTCAAAACCGTGGATTGATTTCATTTGCGACGGATCAGCGACATCAAACGCCAACTGGAACGAGAACGCGACGTGCGACTCAGATTGCACAAAAAGTACCATCAGGCCGCCAATGCCATCGACGGCATGGACACATCTCTCGAGGTCGCTGGCTATCGTGGCAGCACCCGTCGTCCTCGGGTTAGAAGTAGCCGCCGGGGTATCGGGACTGGCGGGAATAGCTCTTAAACTCGTTTCACGTCGGTTGCAACGGAAGGCCTTAAAACACGACAAAGAAGTGTTCCGCCTGATTTTAACCGAAGTCGCCAGATTCCAACCAAGACTCGGAAAACCGCCAACTTCAGCGAAGAAGAGAAAAAACAGCTCATAGAACAAGGCCGACAACAAATCATTCAAGCCTTCCTGACCAAGAACAAAGACCTCGTAAAAGATTCACGTTAAACTGCTTTGTAGATGTCATTATAACCTAGCCGAGATACTAGTTTTAGTCCAAAATACTTAAAACAAAGCAAAAAAATGTTCTGTCTGGGATTCGAACGCTAAAACTCAGGGTCTGAAGTCCGGCACGTTCCCGTCAGATCAGCAGTCTCACTCTGTCAGGGATGGTGCATTCAAGCTATATATAGCTCATACGCTTTGCGAGCTTATGTGACCCGATTCTAAATTAGCTCCTCGACTAATGTGGCTTAGCATTCTTCAAACTACCTACGGGCATCGTGTTCGTATTTTATGAGACCTTGATTCGAGGTGAAAACGCCACCAAAGGTGCACGAAGTATTGAAGTGGAAGTGGAATGACGGGTTTCAGACATCCTTTGTGCTACTATAGACTGATACCGGTTAATGAGGATTATGCAATCTCAGGATTGACCTGTTAAACCGAGCACTCGGCTATAAGGTCCTCTTTGGCTCAGTCAAACGACTGCTGGGTACGATCAAGGTACAGAGTTGCGCATCTCTGTCACCGAGGTTCGAAGCGTACCGTTCGGAAAAAAACCAAAACAGGGAGCTTTCGGGGACAGCGCAGTCGACCACAACCCCACGGGAGAAATACCAGCGCACCACAAACATCATCAGACTAGGGACCAGGCGGGTCTCTGTTCAAAACACCAATTTCTCCCTCCGTGGGTTGTGGCCACAGAGGGCTTTTGCTATTTTCTTTTTGAACTTGCACATCAAAAGATGGTTCTCGATATTTTTTTAAGGGGGGCTGGGAGGCTTAATTCCCACAAATAAGCCTCTAAGCCACATCTGCGGTAGTACCCCCCCTCTGTTACTACTCCCGGCGACAGCCCTGTAATCACGAGGGGGCGTTTGGCAGTAGTTGTTCGTGCAAGGAGACACCACACGTAATATTTATAGTGAGCGATGAAGTAATGCTGATGGATGTCAATTGTATCAAGATGTAATACAAAGTGTGATATCAAATTGTTTCAATGTATTCAATGCAATCCTTCAGACAAAGTCAACTGTCTTGTCTAAGTCTCGCCAAGGCCGCCATGTATTTGTAACGCAATGACAAGTAATCAGTGTGCAATTTGTGTACAAATGAAATATGATTCAGCTCGAGATTTCGTTCTCCGGGCAACCTTTGCAATGAGGAGTCAAGCGGAGTTAGAGACACTGCTGCTGAGTGAGGGTACAGGTGTGGGGTACGGCTACAAGTGAGTACAGTCTGTATGTGGTGCTGCTAGGGGTCGGGGCTGCTGAGCGAGGGTACGGGTGTGGGGTACGGCTACAAGTGAGTACAGTCTGTATGTGGTGCTGCTAGGGGCCGGGGCTGCTGAGCGAGGGTACGGGTGTGGGGTACGGCTACAAGTGAGTACAGTCTGTATGTGGTGCTGCTAGGGGCCGGGGCTGCTGAGCGAGGATACGGGTGTGGGGTACGGCTACAAGAGAGTACAGTCTGTATGTGGTGCTGCTAGGGGCCGGGGCTGCTGAGCGAGGGTACGGGTGTGGGGTACGGCTACAAGTGAGTACAGTCTGTATGTGGTGCTGTTTTGGGCCGGGGCTGCTGAGCGAGGGTACGGGTGTGGGGTACGGCTACAAGTGAGTACAGTCTGTATGTGGTGCTGTTTTGGGCCGGGGCTGCTGAGCGAGGGTACGGGTGTGGGGTACGGCTACAAGTGAGTACAGTCTGTATGTGGTGCTGCTAGGGGCCGGGGCTGCTGAGCGAGGGTACAGGTGTGGGGTACGGCTACAAGTGAGTACAGTCTGTATGTGGTGCTGCTAGGGGCCGGGGCTGCTGAGCGAGGGTACGGGTGTGGGGTACGGCTACAAGTGAGTACAGTCTGTATGTGGTGCTGTTTACAGTCTGTATGTGGTGCTGTTTTTTGGGCCGGGGCTGCTGAGCGAGGGTACGGGTGTGGGGTACGGCTACAAGTGAGTACAGTCTGTATGTGGTGCTGTTTTGGGCCGGGGCTGCTGAGCGAAGGTACGGGTGTGGGGTACGGCTACAAGTGAGTACAGTCTGCATGTGGTGCTGTTTGAGACCAGGGCTGCTGAGCGAGGGTACGGGTGTGGGGTACGGCTACAAGAGAGTGCAGTCTGTTTTGTGGCTGTCCTGATAATCCTGGATTATACAACTTACTGCCACCAGATTGAGCTCAATACTTACCTTTTCCCAAATCAAACTTCCAGTTCCTGTTCGTGTCAGAATCAATTGAAATAATTAGTGATATATGCTTCCCTGTATATATTCATATATTTGTCTATTTATATATCTTGTTCTGTAGTTCAAATGCAATTCAATGTAATTCATCCATAGGAAGGAGGAAAGAAGTGAGAAAGGTTTCTGTATCCAGATTATAAATTACCGTAGATACCCTTAGATACTGACCCCAGTACCCTGCTTGTGTGTAACAGCCTGAACTACGCCAACACTCAAGACGATGTCCGGACACTGGTCAGCTATGAAGTGGCCCCCCTGGACAACCAGCCCCGAGCCCTTGTCAGCAAGTACACTGTTGGGTGTGACGGCGACAACACCAACACCACCGGTCCATACTTTCACTTCAACTTGTACGTATCTGTACTCATCAAGTCGGTCATCTGAGTGTTATAACTTCTGTATCCAAGGCTTATAATGCTGGCATGGGAAACCCTACCAAATGTTTTATAACTTCTGTATCCAAGGCTTATAATGCTGGCATGGGAAACCCTACCAAATGTTTTATAACTTCTGTATCCAAGGCTTATAATGCTGGCGTGGGAAACCCTACCAAATGTTTTATAACTTCTGTATCCAAGGCTTATAATGCTGGCATGGGAAACCCTACCAAATGTTTTATAACTTCTGTATCCAAGGCTTATAATGCTGGCATGGGAAACCCTACCAAATGTTTTATAACTTCTGTATCCAAGGCTTATAATGCTGGTATGGGAAACCCTACCAAATGTTTTATAACTTCTGTATCCAAGGCTTATAATGCTGGTATGGGAAACCCTACCAAATGTTTTATAACTTCTGTATCCAAGGCTTATAATGCTGGCATGGGAAACCCTACCACATGTTTTATAACTTCTGTATCCAAGGCTTATAATGCTGGCATGGGAAACCCTACCAAATGTTTTATAACTTCTGTATCCAAGGCTTATAATGCTGGCATGGGAAACCCTACCAAATGTTTTATAACTTCTGTATCCAAGGCTTATAATGCTGGTATGGGAAACCCTACCAAATGTTTTATAACTTCTGTATCCAAGGCTTATAATGCTGGCATGGGAAACCCTACCAAATGTTTTATAACTTCTGTATCCAAGGCTTATAATGCTGGTATGGGAAACCCTACCAAATATTTTATACATGCGCCTGTCGTAGGAGCCTGGCGAACACCTGGCGAACACCTGGCGAACACAAGCAGTTTACGTATTTGTTGAACGTGTTTCTGTCCACGGGTGATTGCCTCGCCCAGTCGTCTTTGGCTGGGCAGAGTTGTGTCCGTTAGACACGTTCGAAGTTTAGGATTGTGAGTTTGAATCCCCGTTCGCTCTGATTACGTTTCTTGGTTTGTCAGCACGAAGGTTTTACCAAACTTTACTCACTCACTCTTCTATATATGCAAGTAGAGTTTATAATATAGGCACAACCACACGAATGTTGTACAAGGCGAGTTTATAATGCAGGTCCTACCACACGGATGTTGTACAAGGCGAGTTAATAATGCAGGTACAACCACACGAATGATGTACAAATCGAGTTTATAATGCAGGTACAACCACACGAATGTTGTACAAGTCGAGTTTATAATGCAGGTCCAACCACACGAATGTTGTACAAGTCGAGTTTATAATGCTGGTACAACCACACGAATGTTGTACAAGTCGAGTTTATAATGCAGGTCCAACCACACGAATGTTGTACAAGGCGAGTTTATAATGCTGGTACAACCACACGAATGTTGTACAAGTCGAGTGTATAATACAGGTACAACTACACTGATGTTGTGCAAGTCGAGTTTATAATGCAGGTACAACCACACGAATGTTGTACAAGTCGAGTTTATAATGCAGGTACAACCACACGCATGTTGTACAAGTCGAGTGTATAATACAGGTACAACTACACTGATGTTGTGCAAGTCGAGTTTATAATGCAGGTACAACCACACGAATGTTGTACAAGTTGAGTTTATAATGCAGGTACAACCACACTTATGTTGTACAAGTCGAGTTTATAATGCAGGTCCAACCACACGAATGTTACACAAGTCGAGTTTATAATGCAGGTACAACCACACGAATGTTGTACAAGTCGAGTTTATAATGCAGGTACAACCACACGAATGTTACACAAGTCGAGTTAATAATGCATGCAGGTACAACCACACGAATGTTGCACAAGTCGAGTTTATAATGCAGGTACAACCACACTTATGTTACACAAGTCGAGTTTATAATATAGGTACAACCACACGAATGTTGTACAAGTCGAGTTTATAATGCAGGTACAACCACACGAATGTTGTACAAGTCGAGTATATAATACAGGTACAACTACACTGATGTTGTGCAAGTCGAGTTTATAATGCAGGTACAACCACACGAATGTTGTACAAGTTGAGTTTATAATGCAGGTACAACCACACGAATGTTACACAAGTCGAGTTTATAATGCAGGTACAACCACACGAATGTTGTACAAGTTGAGTTTAAAATGCAGGTACAACCACACGAATGTTACACAAGTCGAGTTTATAATGCAGGTACAACCACACTTATGTTACACAAGTCGAGTTTATAATGCAGGTCCAACCACACTTATGTTACACAAGTAGAGTTTATAATACAGGTACAACCACACGAATGTTGTACAAGTTGAGTTTATAATGCAGGTACAACCACACGAATGTTGCTCAAATGACGTCAGAGTTGACAAGCTCCTACCACCGCCAGGCTCGTGTAGCCCAGTTACCGGAGGTTAGGTACATACATGACGCCCTCCACGTCCTGGGCGACACTCACGACACCGACTACCCCATCTACAGGACAGCCACGCCCCCCGATGAGTACTCCACTCTGACCACGGGTGAGGATGACCTTGAAACGTAAACCTTTGTTTGTGGAGATCGCGATCCGATGTTCGAGTGCAGACAGACTGCGACACATGACCAGAAAGTCGGATCGCACAGTCGTGTTAAGTGGCATATTTGTAAGTCATGGAAAATACGATGATCTCTAAAATATTAGCGTCGAATAATGATACTTTGTAAGTTCGAGAAGAGAAGCTGCCGTGTAAAACGTGCCCTGAATGTCACGTATGTAGCCGACCCACATCCGGGGAACCAGCGTCTAGTCACTAGAGTAACTACGGAGAAGGATATGGCTGCAGATTAAATTTTATTTACCACTAATTCAAACCGCGATTTCAGTTGAGTATTAGGTCGATATTTTAATGCAGTTTCATAACTTTGAAGCTTTGAGACCGAGAGTGAAAAAATATCGTGCATCAATGTACGACATATCCAGATTCGTGAAGACCCTGGCTAGAATTGGTCTTCTGCAAACCGTGCTTGTCGCAAGAGTCGACTAACAGAATCGGGTGCTCAGGCTCGCTGACTTGGTTGACGTTGTATCTAAACTGAGTAGACCCATGCTATTGCTGTTGATCACTGGATTGTCTGGTCCGGACTCAATTATTGACAAACCACCGCCATACAGTTGGAATATTGCTGAGTGCGATGTTAAACAACAAACAAACAAAACAGAGAGTATAATGTTTCATGTTAATTTGATTATTTAATTTCAGCTGTCTTCAACCTAATGCTCTGCCGTCTGTATGTCTATGTGGACAACCCCTTTACTGGAAGTGGGCCTTTCATGACCTTGACCCTTCCAGCAGGACCCCAATGTCAGTGACTTTCGTAATACATTGTATATGTCAAATATCGGAGAAAAATTCACTAAATATATTTTTGAAATGTGTTCTTGTCCTTATTTAACTCCAACTGGTTCAGCAACAATAGCCTGTCAAGAAAAGAGTTCAGTTAAGCCTTGGTGCACTGGCAAGTTTTATATCGACATCTCGGCTTGATAGGCCGTCTTGACAGATATTGGCAATCTTGACAAGTATTGGCAGTCTTGACATATCTTGACAACACTGTGTATGGGTTTGAATGAGCACTTTCTCCACCCTGGACCGTCATTTATCCGCTTCATTCTCCCCGACAGCGTGGAGACGTTGTTGGTGGAGGTGTATATGTACGACATCTACCAAGACGACCTGCTCTACTCCGTCTTCTCCGCAAACACACAGATCTTACAAGTTTTCTCAGCTCTGGTTCATATGTTCTTTCCAGGGTTTGTATGTGGCTTCCCATTAGGCTATATGATAACAATATCCCTTCGACCACGATGGAAGTAGGCAGCTAAGTCATTAGGGGCCTTTTGGGTTATGTGTTTAGGATATGTTGGAAACATGGCTGAAACTGAATTTACGTGGGATGAGAAGCATTATCCATTGCAACTCAGGTGCCAGAGGAGAAGGATAGAGTTCATTTTCTCTCACGTGTCATCTCTCCTTTTTCTGAGTCCCAGCTTGATATTATAGCCCTGCATTCATGTTCAAGTCCAGAACATATATGGGACATGTTTCAGGCTGTTAGACATCAAGGCAAAGCAGTAGCAGGTCTGGATGTTCTGTTTAGAGTAAGTCGATCTCTCCTTGCTCGCCATGATGTCTCCACGCATGTGTCAGAATGGAATACGAATGTCTGAATCCAGTGCATGGTGTTGAAGGTCGTTCTCGTGGCCATCACACCTTCTCTCAAGTCTTCCATGACACCTTCATAAACAGTCATGCTTGTGTTAAGATATGTTGTCCGGTATGATATGTTGTCCAGTTTGATATGTTGTCCAGTATTATATGTTGTCTGGTGTGATATGTTGTCCAGTATGATATGTTATGATATGTTGTCCGGTATGGTATGTTGTCCGGTATGATACGTTGTCTAGTATGGTATGTTGTCCAGTATGATATGTTGTCTAGTATGGTATGTTGTCCAGTATGATATGTTATGATATGTTGTCCAGGATGATATGTTGTCCAGTATGATATGTTGTCTGGTATGGTATGATGTCCGTTGTAATATGCTGCCAGGTATGGCAAGTATGATATGTTATGATATGTTGTACGGTATGGTATGTTGTCCAGTATGATATGTTGTCTGGTGTGATATGTTGTCTGGTGTGATATGTTGTGCAGTGTGGTATGTTGTCCGGTGTGATATGTTGTCTGGTGTGGTATGTTGTCCGGTATGATATGTTGTCCGGTGTGATATGTTGTCTGGTATGATATGTTGTCTGGTATGATATGTTGTCAGGTATGATATGTTGTCCAGTATGATATGTTATGATATGTTATGTGGTAGAATATGATATGTTGTCCGGTATGTCCAGTATGTCATGTTGTCCGGTCTGATATGTTGTCCAGTATGATATGTTGTCCGGTTTGATATGTTGTCAGGTATGGTATGGTGTCCGGTGTGATATGTTGTCCGGTATTATATGTTGTCTGGTGTGATATGTTGTCCGGAGTGTTTTGTTGTCTGGTGTGATATGTTGTCCAGTATGATATGTTGTCCGGTATGATATGTTGTCCAGTATGATATGTTGTCCAGTATGACATGTTATCCAGTATGATATGTTATGATATGTTGTGTGGTAGGATATGATATGTTGTCTGGTATGTCAAGTATGTCATGTTGTCCGGTCTGATATGTTGTCCAGTATGATATGTTGTCTGGTATGGTATGTTGTCCAGTATCATATGTTATGATATGTTGTCCGGTATGGTATGTTGTCCGGTATGATACGTTGTCCAGTATGGCATGTTATCCAGTATGATATGTTATGATATGTTGTCCGGTATGGTATGATGTGTTGTCCGGTATGTCCAGGATGATATGTTGTCCGGTCTGATATGTTGTCAAGTATGATATGTTATGATATGTTGTCCAGGATGATATGTTGTCCAGGATGATATGTTGTCCAGTATGATATGTTGTCTGGTATGGTATGATGTCCGTTGTAATATGCTGCCAGGTATGGCATGTTGTCAAGTATGATATGTTATGATATGTTGTACGGTATGGTATGTTATGATATGTTGTCCAGGATGATATGTTGTCCAGGATGGTATGTTCTCCAGTATGATATGTTGTCTGGTATGATATGATGTCCGTTGTAATATGCTGCCAGGTATGGCATGTTATCCAGTATGATATGTTATGATATGTTGTGTGTAAGGATATGATATGTTGTCCGGTATGTCCAGGATGATATGTTGTCCGGTCTGATATGTTGTCAAGTATGATATGTTGTCTGGTATGGTATGTTGTCCGGTATGATATGTTGTCCGGTATGGTATGTTGTCCGGTATGATACGTTGTCTAGTATGGTATGTTGTCCAGTATGATATGTTATGATATGTTGTCCGGCATGGCATGTTGTCCGGTATGATATGTTCTCCGGTTTGATACGTTGTCAGGTGTGGTATGCTGTCCGGTGTGATATGTTGTCCAGTATTATATGTTGTCTGGTGTGATATGTTGTCCGGAGTGTTATGTTGTCTGGTGTGATATGTTGTCCGGTGTGGTGTATTGTCTGGTGTGATATGTTGTCTGGTGTGATATGTTGTCCGGTGTGGTATGTTGTGTGGTGTGATATGTTGTCCGGTGTAATATGTTGTCCAGTGTGGTATGTTGTCCGGTGTGATATGTTGTCTGGTGTGATATGTTGTCTGGTGTGATATGTTGTGCAGTGTGGTATGGTGTGTGGTGTGATATGTTGTCCAGTATGATATGTTGTCCGGTATGGCATGTTTTCTGGAATGATATGTTGTCCAGTATGATATGTTGTCCGGTATGATATGTTGTCCAGTATGATATGTTATGATATGTTATGTGGTAGAATATGATATGTTGTCCGGTATGTCCAGTATGTCATGTTGTCCGGTCTGATATGTTGTCCGGTATGATATGTTGTCCGGTTTGATATGTTGTCCGGTGTGATATGTTGTCCAGTATGATATGTTGTCCAGTATGGCATATTATCCAGTATGATATGTTATGATATGTTGTGTGGTAGGATATGATATGTTGTCCGGTATGTCCAGGATGATATGTTGTCCGGTCTGATATGTTGTCAAGTATGATATGTTGTCTGGTATGGTATGTTGTCCAGTATGATATGTTATGATATGTTGTCCGGTATGGTATGTTGTCCGGTATGATACGTTGTCTAGTATGGTATGTTGTCCAGTATGATATGTTATGATATGTTGTCCGGCATGGCATGTTGTCCGGTATGATATGTTCTCCGGTTTGATACGTTGTCAGGTGTGGTATGCTGTCCGGTGTGATATGTTGTCCAGTATTATATGTTGTCTGGTGTGATATGTTGTCCGGAGTGTTATGTTGTCTGGTGTGATATGTTGTCCGGTGTTGTGTTTTGTCTGGTGTGATATGTTGTCTGGTGTGATATGTTGTCCGGTGTGGTATGTTGTGTGGTGTGATATGTTGTCCGGTGTAATATGTTGTCCAGTGTGGTATGTTGTCCGGTGTGATATGTTGTCTGGTGTGATATGTTGTCTGGTGTGATATGTTGTGCAGTGTGGTATGGTGTGTGGTGTGATATGTTGTCAAGTATGATATGTTGTCCAGTATGGCATGTTTTTTGGTGTGATGTGTTGTCCGGTATGGCATATTGTCTGGTGTGGTATTTTTTCCATTATGATATGTTATGATATGTTGTCCGGTATGGTATGTTGTCCAGTATAATATGTTGTCTGGTAAGGTATGTTGTCCAGTATGATATGTTGTCAGGTATGGTATGTTGTCTGGTATGATATGTTGTCCAGTATGATATGTTATGATATGTTGTCCGGTATGGTATGTTGTCCGGTATGATACGTTGTCTAGTATGGTATGTTGTCCAGTATGATATGTTATGACATGATGTCCAGGATGATATGTTGTCCAGGATATGTTGTCCAGTATGATATGTTGTCTGGTATGGTATGATGTCCGTTGTAATATGCTGCCATGTATGGCATTTTGTCAAGTATGATATGTTATGATATGTTGTCCGGCATGGTATGTTGTCCAGTATGATATGTTGTCTGGTGTGGTATGTTGTCTGGTATGTGTTGTCCGGTGTGGTATGTTGTCCAGTGTGATATGTTGTCCGGTATGATATGTTGTCCGGTATGGCATGTTGTCCAGTATGATATGTTGGCCAGTGTAATATGTTGGCCAGTGTGATATGTTGTCAGGTATGGTACGTTGTCCAGAATGATATGTTGTCTGGTGTGGTATGTTGTCTGGTATTTGTTGTCCGGTGTGGTATGTTGTCCGGTATGATATGTTGTCTGGTATGGCATGTTGTCCAGTATGATATGTTGTTCAGTGTGATATGTTGTCCAGTGTGATATGTTGTCCGGTATGGCATGTTGTCCAGTATGATATGTTGGCCAGTGTAATATGTTGGCCAGTGTGATATGTTGTCCGTTGTGGTGTATTGTCTGGCATGATATGTTGTCCGGTGTGATATGTTGTCCGGTGTGATATGTTGTCTGGTGTGGTATGTTGTCCAGTATGACATGGCCAAAGTCAAATCTCATAGGCACAGAATTTGAAGACTTCACTGACAAGTTGAACAACCAGGGCGGAAAGTTAATCATTTGTGGAGATTTCAACATTCATGTTGACAAAACAAATCACAACATTGCCAAACAACTGAACTTCTTGCTGAAATCCAAAAATCTGGTCCAGCACGTTATTCACCCAACTCACAAGAATGGACACACTTTAGACTTATTGATTACAAGGGCCAATGAAATAAATGTTTATGATTTCATCTATGACCACTCTGTTCTGTCCGACCATGTTGGTTTACTCTGCTCCACAAATCTTCACAATCC